GACCATTTGCAGCAAGATCAACAGGGTCATTCTCAGTTTTATGTCTCTTTTGCTCAGGCAACATTGCATTGATTTCCTCAAAATGCTTTCACTTTGCACCACGCTTCTGTCCTGGATCATTGCTGATAGTTGTTAACTGTTTAGTGTCTTGTGCAGAAACAAACTTGCTAATATCCTTCTTTACCTGTGAGATCTCAGGTTCTTTCATCTGTATGTCTATGTTGTTTACTGTCTTTTTGGCTCCCTTCTTAGGTTTCTTCAATAACTGCCAGTCGCTTTCTTCTTCAATTTTCTCGAGTTTAAATGGCTTCACCTGTGACCATTTGAGCTCAGAATGTATGCCTTTAGGTACATGCTCTGGTCCTTTATATGATCGGAAGGAATATATCAGTTGATTGCGAGTATTGCCCTCCACTTCACTGGCCAACTTCTTATAATACCGCAACTTGGTAATCTCATCCAATAACTCAAGCTCTCTGAATTCTTGCCTCAGATAACCAGTTAGACCACCTGTCATCTTTTTATGATCAAATTCTTGCACAATTATAGTGCCCTCATATGTGGATCCACGAGATAGATAAGTGTAAACAGACTGGTGAGACCGACAGCTCTGTAAGTCACAGACATTGTCCGGACGAGTATGACCCTGAGATCCAAAGTCTGTCATTGCAAAGTTAGGGATCACAGGAACTTGATATCGCATAATGGTTAGAAGTTTATCATTTTGCATATTACACTTTACTTTGATACCCTGCTGACTGATAGGTACAACATTCTCAGGCAATCCATCTAGCTGAACGGGTGTTGGAGGTGCAGTGAGTTTGATAAACAGTGTCTCTAAGGCATATTTATTATTTTCAAGTGGCTTTGACTTCCAGCCAACAACTATACCTTCCGCACCATTGGTTACACAGCATTCTGTGGCCTCATTTGTTTTAATCATTACAGGTAGACCAAGACAAATGGTGAGTTTTCCTGGGTGATGATTTGTACTCACATGAGGCAGTTCCCATAGTCTTGCTTGAATTCCTGACTCAATCTTGTTAGACTTCCGTTGTGGATTGACCACCTTCTGTTTGCAGTTTGGCTTGTCATCTGGTGTATCTGACCATTTGTCTACAGAATAGAATGTCTTCAAGTCCTGCTTAGTCTTTTGAGCAAATCATGCACATCCAAGTTCATTGATTTTATCTCGATGAGTATTCCATGCTGTGATCACAGACACATTTCTAAATCTTGGTTGGTTCAATTTGGGCTTGTCTGCTGCACAACCGGCAATTCTGGATTCAATATGTTTAATGTCTGCCATAGTACAGGATTTAAAGCGAAGGTTCTCCAAGGCCTTACACAGTTTGGCATCATTTGGATTCTGCAAGCACTGTCTCATGTTCTCACGCAGAATTACTACTATAGTAACTTGATGCCAGAGTGCCTTGCCTAGTGTGGCTTCTTGGAGATGGTATCCATTGGTTGTATGTACATTACTAAGATCAACATGTGTTCCAACCTTATGTGAATATAAAGAAAAGGTAGGTCCAGCCGGTGGAAGCTGTGCAAAATCACCAGCAAATATCATATTGATCTCTCCAAAGGGTATACCTTCATTCTTGAGAGCGGTGCTCATTTTTGCACATATATACATGCTGTTGCAGTCTACCATAGACACCTCATCCACAAATATATAGTCAACATTGAGCAGTCGTGCACGTACTTGCATCAAGGAAGTCTGAGAGTCACCAAACTTGCTAAAACCAAGCATAGAGTGATATGTGGAGCCTGCAATCAGTGCAGCAGCAGAGCCTGTAGGTGCAACACACATAAACCGATAGCCTTCCTTTCGCTCACTAAAGAAATGAATCAGGGCCTTAATAACTTGAGATTTTCCTGTACCTGCCATTCCGCCCAAGTACATCTTCAGTTGCTCACCACTGGGATCAGTTGCATGGTTTGCAATAATTTGTAAGGCATGCTCTTGGTCAGTATTGAGACTAAAGTTTTTGACAGTATCATTAATCAGGGTTTGATCTGCTTTGTTCTTTGCCTCAAAATTCTTATCCAGACAAGACTGATCAATTACCTTCACTGTGTTCACATCCTTGCTTATACACAGTCCCATCTTGGGATCTACTTCATCTGAATTGTTATCTACTGCCTGCTCCTCTCATGTACGAAGGATCTCTTGTCACTTCTCAGCAAGTAAGTTTTTCCATTCCACTGCTGTTTTATCTTGACCTGTAATAGTCTCAGTAGGAAGATTCAAAATGCCCACACCTGTATCCATATTGTCCAGCCATCCGGATGTTTGCATAATTCTTTCAGCTTGCAGCATACTGCTAATTCTGATGAGCATCTTCTCACTCACTTGATCCCAGTCATCCAATTCAGGCATCAAGTCGAGATCATTACTTACACCTGCTGTGGCTTCGTCTTCTCGATATTGGATATCAAGTTCATTAATTGCATTGTTATCCATACCAAAGGGCATTTGTTCATGGAACTTGCCTGCCTTACATGCAGCAGCAAAATCATCTCTAGCATCATTGCACAGCGTATATGGAAGAATTTCATGAGCTCTAACTGTCTGGGTGTAAATTTATACTCGTCAAAGGTATTGTGCCAGGATGTATTTGTATCACATTTGAGGTTAAGCCCAGTATGCCAAGGTTTGAACAAACTAAGCATTGTCAGGCAATATTCTTCACAATCACCGGTGTCACATCTAGGCAATAATCCACCTACAAAATTGGGTACCAGACTGTCTGCTTCAGCCAGCAGTCGTACCTGGTGAGTTGCTTTTTGAGGATGTTCTACAGTAAAGTAATCAGGTTTCAATTCCAAGGCCAGATGCTCCTTCTTCTCTTGCGCTGCTGCCTTCTTTGCAGACTTTGTGGTTAGCAGAAGTTCATCTTCACTTTCTTCCTCCTCCGTCATTATATTGGAGATCTGTTCATTGTAAGTGACATCTTCCTCTTTAAATGCTGCATTATTAACCTCAGGAATCTCAAGAAACTCATCATCAACTGCATAGTTATTTTCAAAATCAGTTTCACTGGCATCTTCATTAATGTCAGGTTCTATAGTCACTGTATCAAAGGCATTTAAATTGGCAGGTCGGGCATCTTTCTTTCTGTATATTGGTTCTTTCTTACAGCGATGAATCCAGTCATATAAGCTTACAGATTCATACTTTTTGGGCTGATAGACATAGTCTAACACTGGAGATAAGGCAACATACTCTCCTTGAACATTACCTAGCATGATTTTTTCTCTGTCATGATGTAAAGGATCTAAAGGTGCATCAACATTTATTTGATCAAAATCTGGTGTTCTAGTCAGCCATGCTTTCTTGGCTTCATTCACATAGTTTCTCCAGTAACAGATCTTGAATTTATGACCGGTGTAATGATCACTATGACCAAGTAAGTACAGAGAGGCCATTGGTCCACCAATTTCTAGATTAGCAGTCAAAGCATTCACAATCTTGGTCAGTAGTACACGCACCTTCTGATGTCTTGGCATGTCGCCACCAATCAACTCAACATTTCTGTCAAATACTCGATGGATAGCATCAAACATGACATGTGTCTTCAAGGGTGTCTTGGTAATGTAATCTGTTACATATGCAATCACTGACTTAATTGCCAGACAAAAGACTGGTCACATCGGTATTGCATTGCAAAAGATAGGTGAGTGTTGGTGTAACAGTATTGATCCAGGCTTCACCTTTCCGCATATTAAGTGCACCAGTCTCAGAATCAACAGTCTCTTTGAATAACTCATGTGGAAATCTGGCCTTACAGCCATACTCTGGATTCAGACATCCTTTATGACATGTATGGCAGTTAGAACGATACAGGAGTTCATCTACAATGTGGGCGCTACAATGGGCACTCTGCAAAATGAAGCTGAGCCGGAACTTCAAGATCTAGGTCCCGAGATTGAGATTAAGATAGAGATCGCGTGCTCGATCAAGAAGATATTATTGCGCTCCTCAGTCTCAGAGGCCTGGCAGATCCTATGTTCCCCCCATGTCTCTCCCAGTCCCATTTCGAAGCTCTCATTACTGGACTTACTGTGCTCTTGGACGAGACCCCCCAGACTCCTGGATCGAACACGCCCAATTCAGACGACTCACAATACATGGAGCCTGCCCCGAATTTACCTATAACTTACGTGGAGGATGCTAAACCACTCAGATTGCCCCCCCTTCCTTTCTCCAACCTCTCCCCTGCTGCTATGACCTGCCGTGATGATTTCCCAGCCTGTGTTCCATCGCAAGAGTGTGAATACGCCATGCACATGTCTAGCTACACCGGTCCCACCTCGATATTCCGCCGCTGCCTGAGCATCCTATATTAGGCAACCTCACTCGTGACACCCGTGGAAAGTCGATCTATGACCTGTTGAGTGATGCAGTTTCCCAGTACACTCAATACAGGCAGTACAACATGTTCTCATCCGTCTGCCTCAGTTCTCCTGCCACTATCATCTATGCCCCGATGCAGGCCGACTGATGGATATCGTAACTTGACCTGTGCCGATGACTGTGCTTGTGCCCATTCCGTGGATCGATGTTCAAGGAAATAATGTCGCAGTTTCTGTAAAGGAAGCCTTACCCATGGAGATATGTCTTGTCACAATGCAACCAGTTGAGTACTCGACGCACATGCGTGACTTCGATTCTGATCATATTGCATCTTCACAGACTAGGCACCCCCAAAATGCTGAGTCAGAGGGGGGTACATCGAATGAAGTTTCAGTTGGCACTGAGCTCAAACCGCCTGCCGATACATGTTTCATTTTAATCACCCTGCCGCTGATGTCTGTATCTGTTACACCTGAAAGCTCGAGCACGTTATCTTCCGAGGATCCGCATAGCCCAACTACTGTTCCTGCCATTCCTGCATGTAGTCCCACACTCACCACTGCGCCGATTGTTCCTGCCGCTACTCCTGCTGCGAGCCTGACTGTTACCACACAATGTAAAGAGGAATGTTTCTATGTTGCCCCCATCCACCATTAGTTCACTGCTGTACTCCCCAACTGGACATGCTGTGCTCGACCTCGCCATTAAGGAATTGCTGGTGATGCCCGATCATGTGCTTAACCAACCCGCCCGCCGACTTTCTCGATCGCCTGATATGACCGCACCTGTTCTGCTGCTGCCAATTTTACCAGTGAAGGATCTCCTTTACCCCCCTTCCCCTTCCTCCAATATCACATCTCTCACCGCTATGATCGAACACCAGGAAATGATGGAGGACATGGAAATAACTGACTTAGATGCCTCGAAGATGATTTCAAAAGCTGAATGGATCACTGCCGTCATGCCGGAGAATAAGTTGTACATCCTCGCTCCCTACCTTGGTATGCGCCGCGACATGATTCAACTCAAGAATGAATTGTACGTGTGCGCTAAGCTGTATGCTCTGCCGTTTTCATTTGATCAAACCAACAATTTTCGCCATGCATTCATGGTCGCCTTTCATGCCATTATGTCCCACGCAAATATTGATGGTCTTGAAGATAGTAAAGAGACGAAGGACCCCTTCACTATGCATATTGCCACCATGGTTCGCCAGCATCACAACTACTCCGCACTCTGGTACTCTCACCTTGGAAACTTATTTCTTTGGCCCGAGGAATGTCTTGCACTTGCCGAAGCTGGAGCACTCTTCGAGCTCTACCCTACAACAGATGCTCAACACCAGGACCTCAATGATATGTGCATTATTCTCGACTTCATCGACTTCATGCTCAGATATGACATCAAACATGGATACGCACATGATATTCACTGCCATCATCGCTAAGGACTCTTTGGAAAGCCTGGCGAGCTGCCTTCTCCAGTGCCATCCCTGGCTTCTGGAAGTTGCACTTGAATGTGAATGTGCATGATACATTCTCGATGTATGGATTGAAACGTACAATGCTTACTTGCTATGTTCCATGCAGAAACTTTCCCTCGATGCCGCAGAGTGCAGGAATTCAAGAATAGACTGCCGCTTTTTCTCTTCTCCGTCTTGCCGCTGCGCCTGTAGTATTCTCAAGCTTGGACTCGACCGACTGAATGTTCATGTGTTTGTGACTGGTACACTGTTCAAAGACTTTGCTGCAATTGATGTTCCCTGTATGTTACCTGATGAGGACTTTGGTTTGGAGACCATGAATGAGTCGCCACTCGCTCGCGTGTCGCAACATGTATGGCATGGACTATTTCTGATGTTTTGGACTATGTGTTGTTACTTGGACTTATGTATGTGGATGCTGTGCATGGACTTGTACCATGTTTTTGCGCTTGGACATTATCTCTGTACACTGACACCTGGAGATCGTGGAATCGAGTTATGCTTTTCACGGAGTCTTATGGGTGTGATGAGGAAAAATCGAAATGAACAGATAAAAATAGCAGAAAAGGAAAAAGAGAAAAACATGCAGAAAAAGATACAGAAAAATATGGAAGACGCTGCACCCTCACCAGTGTACTATCTACATATCGCGGAAGAAGAAGCAGAAGAAGAAAACCCAGTACCAGAGCCACTGTACTATTCCATGGAGCCTGAAGATGATGAAGATTACTTGTTCGTGGAAATAGAGAATGAAGCATATGGAGCCTACAAATTCATGGACTGAAAAGTCAAGCCAGTTCCCGATGTATTTCCAGAAGATGCCCGTGTGCATCGTGCATTCCCCGAAGACCCACTTGCATCACTCCCGCCGCTTACACTGCACCTGCCAGACTTTACACCTGGAATGCGACTCACACAGGAATGAATGGAGGAGATGAACATAAACCCAGATGGATTTCTACACCTGAAAGAAGAAAAGCTATAAAAGCATATCCTGCAACTCAACGAAGCAGCTTTGGCTTTGAAGACACAGAACGAGGAATGTTCAGGGAGGATTATTTCTCTCCCTACATCATTCCAATAGTGCTGCATGAACCTTGGGAATTTTCAAATATTCCTATCCCCCCTGAAATTAAGGAGAAAGTTATCCAGCTTCTTAAGGAAAAGATGGCTGCAGGAGTATATAAAGCCAGCCAGTCCTCGTATCGCTCACGATGGTTTTGCGTGATGAAGAAAAATGGAAAACTACGGATTGTCCATGACCCACAGCCACTAAACAAAGTCACCATCTGAGATGCAGGACTTCCGCCCTCACTGGATGACTTCGTGGAACCATTTGCAGGAAGAAAAGTTTACACCATCAAAGACCTTCATTGGAGATTTGATGCATGCAAAGTGGATACAAGCAGCCGAGACCTGACATTATTCCATACTCCTTTGGGACTGCTACAAATCACATCACTTCCCACCGGCTTCACGAACTCGTCTGCCGAATTTCAAAATTGCATGACCTTCATATTGCAAGATGAAATTCTGACCAAAGCAGATATCTTTGTCAACGACCTGCCAATCAAAGGAACTGACACCAAGTACCCTGACACAGATGGGGAGCCAGAAGTATTATTGGAGAATCTCGGAATCAGATGTTTCATATGGGAACATGCATTGGATGTGCACCGAATTTTGCATCAAATCGAACACGCTGGAGCCACATTCTTAGGAAAGAAGTTCCAATTGGCCCCCCAGCGAGTTCTTATTGTCAGACAAACATGCACCCCAGAAGGACACCTGCCTGATGACCAGAAAATAGAGAAAATCCTCAAATGGCCAGTTTTGAAGACAGTATGCAATGTGCGCGCATTTCTAAAACTATGTGGAACTGTACACATTTAGATTCATCAGTACTCGTTAATCACCCGACCACTCACCGAGTTGACTCGCCAAACTGTCGACTTCGAATGGACTGACTGGCGACAAGATGGATTCGATGAGCTGAAAACCGCTATCACTTCTGCACTGGCACTTCACCCAGTTAACTATCAGGTGGACAATCCTGTGGTATTATCTGTGGACTCAAGCAAGTACACGGTTGGATTTATATTGGGACAATATGATGATGAAGGCCAAAAGCATCCAGCGCGCTATGGATCGATCCCCATAAACGAATGAGAGTCAAGATATTCACAATTGAAATTGGAGCTCTACGGACTGTACCGAGTGCTGCATGCCTATTGGTTATACTTGATTGGAGTATGGAACTTGCAGGTGGAAGTGGACGCAAAATACATCAAGGGAATGCTGAACGAACTGGACTTGCAACCCAATACAACTATCAATCGATGGATACAAGGAGTCCTGTTGTTTCACTTTACGCTCATCCATATGCCCACTGACAAACACAAAGGACCCGATGCTTTATCACGATGAGAATTGGCATCTGATGAGGAAGCAAATGAACATGATGATTCCTGGTTGGACAATATCGCATTATACATGGAAATCAGAGCTCGAAGTCGAAGCTATGGATCAGTGCTGGTTGGATACATGAAAGGAACCCACGGAGATGCAGTCAAGGGATACACTGTTACTCAAAGTGATCAAGACGAGGCCCTCAGTGATTACAAGCATTTTCTGCAGACCTTTGAAACACCATCTTTCCCGAACACTCAAGAGAAGCAACAATTTATCCAGAAAGCTTCACAGTTCCTTATGTGCAATGGAAAACTATATCAAAGGAATGGATGAAAGCCCCCATTACGAGTCATTCTCTCCGTGAAATCCTGACAATCTATTTTGTTTCAAGCAAACGAAGGACTTGGACACCGAGAAGAATATGCTGTCATGCAAACTCTGAAAGAGCATTTCTACTGGCCAGGAATGTGGAACGATGCACAGCAACATGTCTGATCATGTCACCAGTGTCAAATCTGAAGTGTACGCAAAGTGGAAGTGCCCATCCTGATATCAGCCCCATCCATCATATTCACCAAGGTTTATGTGGACATTATGTTCATGCCGACCGCCAAAGGGCATCGCTATATCATTGCAGCATGAGACAATCTTTCTCGAGCAGCCAAAGGACGAGCGCTATGCAAAGCGAATGCTAAAACTGTGGCACAATTCATTTGGGAAGAAGTATCTTGCTGATACAGAGCAGTGGGACGAGTAGCAACTGACAATGGGAATGAAGTCAAAGGAGCATTCTCGGAGTTAATGTGCTGCTATAAAATTCCTCAAGTGCGAATATCAGCCTACAATTCAAAAGCAAACAGAGTAGTCAAATGTGGACACTTCACGATATGTGAATCAATTATCAAGGCATGTAATGGACAAGTCAACCACTGGCCCAATCTCATACATCATGCATTCTTCACTGATCGCAGCACCATCAGCTGCTCAACTGGTTTCTCCCTGTATTATTTGCTGTATGGAGTCCACCCCGTGCTTCCTTTCGACCTTACCGAAGCAACGTTCATGATGGAAGGATATCATTCAGGAATGACAACCAGTGACCTGCTTGCAATGTGCATTCACCAACTACAGAAGAGACCCGAAGACTTAGCCCGTGCTGCGGACACACTACATCATCATCGCCTCCAATCCAAAGAAGCATTTGAGACACATTTCAAGTGCTGTCTTACCAAGGACACATACGAAGGGAGAGTTGGTTCTTGTACACAACAACACAGTCAAAAAAAAGATGGATCACAAACACAAAGACCGATATTTGGGCCCCTATGAGGTGGTACACCAGATGATGAATGGAGCATATGTTCTAAAGGATCTCGATGGAACACCTTGGAAACAAAGCATTGCTGCATTTCGCCTGCTGCTGTACATGCATCGTGACGACCCAGGCCTTATCAAATTAGCCGAAGAAATGGAAAATTATGAAAATGATGGAAGCAGCAGTTCAGATGACCACTCTGATCATTCAAGCATCAGTGCAGAAGATTCTGATGCTTCATCAAAAACCTGAATGGTCTGAGGAGAGCAACTGGGGTCAGTTGCATTTTTTCATGCCACCCAGATGTCACCCACCAAAAGTGTTTGGCTTGTGAACACGTAACCACCGGTGAAGCGCTTGACGAAGAAGTCATGTGACTAAGATGGAATCTGAGAACGTTTGGCCGAGCGTGTCACCTGATGCTCACATTATGCGATTGGACAGGAAAAACTCGGAAAGTGCTTTCTCCCTACTTCTCCCTGCTCACTTTATGCTATTGGACATGGAGGTTTCAAGAGTTTTGTCTTCCCTGTTTCTCCCTGCTCACTTTATGCTATTGGACACGAAGGTCCTAAGACATTTTTCCTTCCTACTTTCCCCTTTGATCATGTGATGCTCTTATTTTGCTATTGGCCAATCTGCCATGTAACACTACTATGTAACGGTCATAATAGGTAACACCCGAGGGGTGTAAAAGGACCCCTGAGGCACCCCAACCCTCAGTCTTCTCTCCCCACTTGTAGCACCCCTATAAGTGAAGAGTTCTCCCTCTGCTTGTAGCTTACCCTACAAGTGATAAACTAAAAGAATAGGAGTTCATTCCACTCCTCCTAGTAACTTGTTACTCGTAATAAAAAGGATCCCGATGAAGTCAGTTCAGCGCAGGCAGTGAGTTGTTATGAACACAACTACTGCACTCTCGTATCATTTCTTTTGGGTAAGTCTAGCACACGATTGCTAGATACTCAAACCGTTCTCGGAAAGTTCTCAGATGACATGTAGGAAAGTTATCGGCCAGGCACATCGTATTAGGACACATGCACTCGGTAAAGCCCTGCACACAGTTGTAGGCACACGGATAAAAGAACACAGAAGACTCAGTAAGCCCTGCACACGGTTGTAGGCACATAGATAAGGAGACGAAGAAGACTCGGAAAGCCCTGCACCAGTTGTAGGCCTCATATAAGAAAACTCGTTAAGCCCTGCACTGGTTGTAGGCATCATATAAGAAGACAGAATGCAAGCCCTTGCACACAGTTGCTAGACATCCCCCTCTACACTCCCCCATCTATATTGTGCAGACTATCATCCCGACTTCAGACAACGAAACACACATATAGCTCAGGCATCCCTAACCCACTATCATAAATTTGATATCAATGAACAACTGTGATAGCCCGGCGTACTTTCCCTTTTGCCACGCCCGGTGAATAACAGCGAACTACCACTTACTTGACCTGGAGTCAAAAGCTCCTCCGGCCAAGGCCCGTGCATACCCCGAGTTGACATCACACTGGAAATGCTTGGAAAACATTGCTTCTAGAGAAGTGGGATACAATTTTGCAAGCTCAAGAGACACAAGCAGCAGCTAAGAAGTCTAGTCAGTCTACTACTGAACCAGTCAATTCCATTGACCAAGTAAAGGTTATTGACCGGTCATATCTTGACAAGTCATTCAAAGCATCAAATAAGGATAGTCAACAATTGATTGACCCAACAGTGCAGACATTCAGTCTGAATAAAGAACAAGAGTGTGCATTTCGCATAGTTGCTAATCATGCAGTTCAGCCTAGTGGAGAGCAGTTGAAAATGTACTTAGGTGATATGGCCGGCACTGGCAAGTCACAAGTAATTAAAGCATTAATCGATTTTTTTTACTAAGCAAGAGGAAGGCTATAGATTTATGTGTATTGCCCATACCGGTGCAGCTGCAGCATTAATATCTGGTTCAACTTATCACTCTGTACTTGAATTGAGTCACTTCAGGGTACCCTTCTGACCTAGCTCTTAGCTTCAACATAATCTATATTGTGTAGTGGTTAAAAGCCTCTCAGGTGTCAGTCAGACCATGGTACCAATACATGTCCCAGGGCATTATATACGATTACCCAGGGCAAAGGCAGGGCAAAGGCTGGTCCAATGGCACAATTATCATATGGGATGTCCTATAGTACTAGGGCATTGATATTTATATCCCAGTATTACTGGTTGTCCCATGGTGCCAGGGGTACATAGAGATGTCCCACTATTAGTAAAAGATGTATTTTCAGGCTATTGTATGGTAGTTTTTTATACTTTGTTCTACAATCATATTGTATAAGCTCTAATTATAAAAACAGTGACTAGAATACTGTAAATAAGTGTCTTATTTGCATTTTATATATGGTGAAATATTTATAGAAAGCAGGATATCCCATATCAAGTATTGTGTATACATTTATAATGTTATAAAGACTATATTACTATTGGTAGCATGTACAACAACTTCATTACCTCATATAACAACTAAGACAAGTCAAACAACAATGTTTATTCTCGTGTTTTAAAATCAATTTTACATTTTCGGACATAATGTTCAGACTAACATGATATAATCTTTGGCATATAGTATGCATCATAGCTATACTACAACTTTCACCAAGTGTCTCAAGAAATAGAACAACTCAGTCTACTAATATACTAGCAAAGGAGATATATTCTTGTCATGTCTCCTATTATATACTGTATTTGAATGAAAAAAGAAAGGCATTTGACCTAAGACTTCAGTCAAGTTACACTCAGAAATGCATTCACTGAATGACACCTTTGTATTATGGGATGTCCCTTTATGTGATGGGATATCCCATGTAAGGACCTGTCACTTTTAAACCTTACTAATTCAACTGTTAGTATAAATCTCTAGATAATTATAGTAGTTAAATAGAAACTTCAGGCTAAAGAAGAGACTAAATATCTGTAAATCTTAAAATAACATCTTAGGATGTCCTAAAAATGGGAGATCCCACCTTATATAATATGCAAATAAAGTGCTTGTTTATATTACTATAGTCACTGTTTTTATAATTAAGGCTTAGATAATATGATAGTGGAATAAAGTATAAAAAAACTACCATACAATAGCCTGAAAATACATCTTTTACGAATAGTGGGACATCTTTATGTACCCCTGGCACCATGGGACAACCAGTAATACTGGGATATAAATATCAATGCCCTAGTACTATAGGACATCTCATATGATAATTGTGCCATTGGATCAGCCTTTGCCCTGCCTTTGCCCTGGGTAATCCCATATAATGCCCTGGGACATGTATTGGTACCATGGTCTGTCCTGAGAGGCTACTACACAATATAGATTATTAAGAGCTAGGTCGGAAGGGTACCCTGAAGTGATAAGGGTGAAGAAGTGCTACACGATCTGTCTCCTGTTTCTTGTGTCACTCCTCTAGCTGTCTGACATTCGCGACATCGGTTGAGGTGCTCAAACGTTTTGCCAGAGATCTGCGATAGATCCAAGTTTCTTTGGAAGGATTGGCATCCTTGCAGGCAAGATAAAGAACATGTTTGCACTAGTATTATGTTCAAAGTCTGGCAAGGACTTCAGTGAAATAAGTAATAGAGTAAAGTGAAGATTAGCACCATCCAGTATATCTTTCAGCACTCGGGGCATGTTTCAGAAGATGCAGACACAGACAACAGAATGGATATGCACAAAAAAACAGGAGGCCACATCGTGTCACACCAATTATTGCATGTGACAGTCACACGGCACTTCAATGTGCGATGCAGCCACCCATGCTTTAACCTTTGGCCACATGCACTTTGACGTCCAACTGTTATGCTTAAAAGGCTCAGTTTGATGCTCATTCCTCTGCATTCCTTTCCTCCCATTCCTGTCATTTGCTTGATCTCCTTACATCATGGCATCTGATGCTGTTATCGATCCTGCCCTCCTGAATGAAGAACCCACTCGTGAACTGTCAATCACAGATATGATTGCTGAATTTCAGTTGACTCACCCTTCTCTCAGCCCTCATGCAAATGCTGAATACTCTGATGAATCATCTCCTGGCCTCAAGCAGGAACCTGCTTTGCCCCAAGGTACTGTTCAGACTCGCATAGAGTGAGAGGCCGAAGATGCCAATCACAGTGATCAGTTCAATGCAGTTGAGTTTGGGCAAGTTGTCAAGAGACAGCGAAACCTCTCTGCAGAGTCAGAGGCAGAGTTAGCACACTTTATGGAGGTACGCACCATCTTCTTCATCCACCTGCTCACTCTTTTATGCTCTATGTAGGCTCCGAATATGATTCAACATTTTATTTTCAATTATGCGGTCTCACTTGAGTATTGCGACCTCTTTTTCAGGCTGTCTCGTGACAGCGAGTATCAAGTGCTGGACATGCTCAAGGTGAGTTTTTAAATTTGTGTCACATCCAATGCTTGACATTTTGTGTCTCTCCAGACCACTCTTCTTGATTATGCTCACTCTTACATTTTCTCCCCCACCATTGACTCTTATCAGAGCCCTGACAATCTGAACAATGTTCTCGTAAGTCTTTTTTCACTTCTGGGGATCTGCGCTGAGTTGAGCCTAGTGCAGAGCAGGGGTAAACCCCCGGGTATTTTTGAGCATACCCGTACCCTTACCCGCAAGGGTACCATACCCTCGCTCGAGGGTACGGGTACTCAGGGGTATAGTACCCTCACGGGTACACTCACAGGTCATCAGTATATACAAGGTGTATCTACTCAGGCATGATGATATTGTCCCACCCATCTCCCAGTCCATCATCCTCCCCTTCGCCCTCTGGACCTGATGTAATTGCTAAGACATCTGTATCACGTACAAATCCCAGCCGGCTCCACTCCGCGAGACACAGCAGAGCATGCACAGACTGCGCAGACAGCCCATTGCGAATGTGCGGCAGCAGCAGCGGCCGCTTGCTGAAAAGGCGCTCGACATTGACCGAGGTGGCTGCAAAGGAATAGTTAGAATGCAGTTAGTATATGTAGCACGAAGGACGAAGGATGAGTAGTATACCGGGAATTGTGAGGTAGTTCATCGCCATACGGGCAAGACACGAAAACTCCACGCGGCGTGCGTACCACCATGCGACTGCATCCTGAACTTCTTTGGTGTTGGTGCTCAGGTAGCGTGTGAGCTCGTCGCGCTCATCTGCTGTCTTCGAGATGTTGCGGCCCAAAAGGTTGTCGAACATATTTGCTGATGGCTAGTACATTCCATGCCAGTGAGTAGAAATGAGCAATTTGTGAGTGAGCAAAGTACATACCTTGGGTGCTGGTGTCGCATCCAGGATGTCAGCATCGCGAGGAGCACAGTGCGCATATGTGCGCTCGAATTCCTCGCGCACAACCTCCTCAGCCGTGTCGATTCAGTTTTGCTCCCATCTGGCATTCTTGAAGTATTCGAGCTTGTGGGATGGATGGAGCACTACGAAGTATATTAGTTAATATAAATTTTAGACCATGCATGACTCACCCATAGCAATTCGGTAGACATTGGACTGGTCCGTCTTATCGTAGTAGCAGTTGAGAGTCTTCTTTGCGAGGCCGATCGCTGCTCGAATACAGGGCAAGTACTGTTCGTTGAGAGAGTGGTTAGTCAGGTGCTCATCGATTATGTCCATCGCCGGGATGACCATAGGTAGCGAAGGGGTCGAGCGCGAGAAATACAATGTCGCGTCGTTGAAGATCTGCCAGCAGAGGTAGGTGGCGCGGTATCAGAGACAGTGACATCCTGTGACTCAGTCTGAGAATGTCACGCAGTTGTTCTGCTATTGTCCATTCTTCGTTGCTCATCTCAAACTTATGCAGCTCTGTCGACCTATCCTCACATATTGAATCTATTGGCTTCCGGTACTCGAGCGCAAACACAAGCATCTTGAAAGTTGAGTTCCATCTCGTTGCGACGTCGCGTGGCATTTTGTTTTCTGCCATCTTGAACGTGGCGACGATCTTCAACCAGATGGGGAGTAGCTTGGTCGAAGAGCAAATGATCGTGCACGCGATCTTTTGCAGCTGTATCCCAGTCTTCAGCAGGTGAGTCTTCCAATACAACATACAATTACTCACCTTCACAAGCACGAGTTTGACAGGTTGCACGCTCTCCTCGAGCTCCTGGATTTCCTCGGGCGACAGGCCATCACGTTCGTCCTCCAGCCCTTCAATGTTGTCTGCGCGGTCCTCTTCTTCGTCATCACCCTTCGGCACATCCATATTCAGGTCCTTTGCAAGCTCAAGCAGTGCACGCTCTGCGTCATCAAGCACGTCGTCAGCTTTGCCCTTCGGCAGGTCAAACTGACGCAAGAGGGACTTTGCCACAAGGTTCACAACGTGGTCAAAACACCGCGATCGGTTGGCCTGCCCCTGGAAGCCCTCAAGCAATTCTGCCAACTCGTCAATCATGGTGTCATTTGACGACGCATTGTCTGCAGTGACCCCGAGGAGCTAAGTCTACGGTAAGCAAATGAATTCCATGATATAGTGGAAGCCGCTGACACACCTTAATAGCAATGTTGAAATCATCGACCATTTTCGCAAACACTGCAGCCAAATTCACGCCATTGTGCGAATCGGCAATCTCAATGACATCGAGCATCATTCGGAGCAGAACACCTTGGTGATGAAGGTGGACTGTGAATGCCACCAATGCCTTGTTGTTGGGCGACATCCAGGCATCTGTAGCGAAGTTCAGCTCACCATCAAACTCCTGCTGGTAAGTTTAGCATAGGCTTATGCTGAGTGAGATATTGGCTGACCTGCAGCATCCTTGCCACCCGCGTGCGACACCGCACGAAGACTTTATGGACATCCTGAGCCACTGTCCACCTCGAAGGTATCCAGTATTCCGGCCGCCCGGTCTTCATCAAGTTCTGGAATCCATGGTCCTCAACAATTGCGAAGGGGCGCAGGCTCTCAGACACCCAACGCACGATCTCTGCACTGGAGCAGAAGGTTCAGCAAATCTCATCTGCACGATGTCGCATCAAATTCGGCTCACCGAGACTCTGTGCGGGTGTGTTGTCGAACACTGTAAGTTATCTTGCCCTTTCCTTTACGCTCAAATGATGCCGTTATAGAGCCTGACCGTGCGAACTTCTCCACAGCTGGCCGTGCATCATCTGCGGTCTTCATCATGTCTGCCGCGGCCAATGCCTCTTCCCCCCAGCATTTCCGGATATGTTTCCGGAGGTTACCCATTGACGACTTATCCCCCTTGTCCGTCCACCGTGCGATCTTCATCTTACAGCCGCGGTTCACACAATGGAAAATATATGCATGCGCGTGCATCTTTTCATCCACCTGAATTGTCACATCCGGCTTATAGAATGCATATGCAGGGGAGGTCCAATCCTCCTGGGCCTCACCTGCCAATATGAGGTGAGTCAGGTCTATCTCCTCTCAGTGTGTGCATTCACTTACACAGCTGTTCCTCAGGTGTCTTCGCTGTGGACCTCGAGCTCGAGCCGCTCGGCGCATCAATGTCAATAATCTCGTCTTCTAATCCTACTCGTGTATTCAGCACCTCACCTTCATCTTCAACATCTTCAACGCGTGCACATCGGTCATGTGTCAGCTGCGCAGTGGGAGCATCTTCAACTTCACCTCGCTTCTTCTTCTGAGAACTTCTGTCAGATTGAGTTGCACGTCGCTTTGCCATAAGATTGATGGGGCCGTATCTCTGGTCTTTTTAGCCCTTTTATAGTTCTTTCCCTTGTGATATGTAGTTCATGAAATAAGGTTACGAGATATGAATCTCTGGGAGATCTCCGAGATAGTCTGAGTCCTGTTTAAGCCCACGGGTATTGGACGGGTATGAAGGGTCAGTACATGCATACCCGTACCCTTACCCTCCAGTACCCCTACCCCTAACCCCTACAGGTTACCTGTAACCCTGCTCTGCACTAAGTTGAGCCACACTGGCAGAACACTCTGCAGCAGCTCAATGTCACTCAGCTCCCTCCAGAACAGGAGACGGGACGCTGTGCGGTTATCCATACAATTATCGGCAAGGGCCTAACCAAGTGGCGCAACCATGTTAAGTCCCAGGTCCATCATTCACAGTTTGCTTTTTCACTGTGCTCACAACCATCTATTAGATTGTTTCCTCTATGGCAAGTGCTAAATCACCGATTCATGGCATCACCGCTCTCACATGTACATGCATCAAGACATGTAGTGCCCATCCTACTGCTGTGTTATATATCTGGCTGGTGTACATCGTGAGTCACCATTCTCCCTCTTCACATTCTCATCTCATGTGTTCCATCAGAGGTTTATCTTGGTCAAGTTTCCGAAGCTCAAGAAAGATGCATTTTGGATGAAGGTTGATTTTTCGATGAAAGACATATGTGAGAAATATCAGTCCTCAGGCATGATCAGCAAGTGTGTTCCCCTCCTTCTCTTCGCTCACAACCATCAAATACTCATGGGTATTGTTGCAGTGCATATCAAGCCATTTTTCGCAATGACAAGGTTTTGTATGGTGAGTCGGACAATGTGACTTATCCATTTTTTTTTTTTTTTTTGGCCTCATGTGTTTATTGTCCGTGAGGGCGAAGCCCTATGGTAGACATAGTACTAGTGTATGTAGGGACAAGAATACCTAAAGGGAATTCAGTGTAAACATAGTGCTCCGCAAAGCTTGAGAGGTGCTGTAAGATGGTATAGAGTGGGTAAGTATAGTTAGAAGTAAGAGAGGAGGAAGATAGAGGCCAATAGGCCGCCCTTGGCGATTGAACGCTAGAGACCGGGATCTAAACCTGTCGCACTTTTGGGTGACAGCTTACTGTCCCGGACAGTGTCTCTTGCTGCGTACAGAGATCCGTCCAGTGGTCCCCCACTGGCCGTCGAAACTCCTCCGATCTCTGGGGCATGAAGGGGAAAAATGATGTAGGTAGTAAGTAATGCATGTACAGCGTGAGTTGTTCATCTGGTGGGTCTGTCAAAGAGGCTTGTCAGGAGTAGATGGCAGAGGAACAGGGTCACTTCTCTGGTAGGTCGTTGAACCGTTTGTCTGAACTGTCAAGAGGGCCAAATATGCCCAGGAATCTACCGGTGGCGTGGATGTAGTGAAAAAGTGGTTTCGTAGCCTTCGGATTGGTGAGTAGTCATGACAAGGATCCCGCGGCGCGGCCAAGCTCCAAGTGGAGCGCATGTCGTTGGCCGGTGTATGCTGTGCAAGTGAGAAGGAAGTGCTGAACGGTCTCGGGGGCGAGATGACAGGCTGGGCATATCGGACTCGGAGTCTTGCAGATGCAGTGTAGGTGTTGGTTCAGGCCAATGTGACCTGTTTGGAGTTGCATGAGGAGGCTGGCGTGTCATCAGGGAAGATTCATTACGAGCTTCCCGTAGTTCTTGGATGGGAGAGAGGCATCGATGCATGCAAACTTCTGTCCCCATTCGGATTCCCTCCAGTGCATCTGTGCAGTCTCTTTCAGCCGTGTCATGTGGTATTGGCGTACTTTTGAAACACTGGTTGGAAGATGGCTGTGCAGGGACTGTGGGAGGCAATTTCGTGAACTGGAGTTGCCTCGCGCACCGCTTTGGCTTCCTTGTCTGCCCGTTCATTTCCTTTGACGTCCTTGTGACCTGGTACCCAACGGAAGGTTAGGTTGCGGCGATCGATGGCGTGCATGCGGTAGAGTGTGTCAATGTCGTGATGGAGCATGTCGATCAGGTAGTGGCCTGATGCTGGTTTTCACAGCTTGGTAGCGAGGATGGATGCTTTGTTGTCAGCAGCACAGGAGGCCGACCGTACACTGATTTCCCATTTCAATAAGTGGATGGCCAGGACAAGGCCGACTACTTCGGCCTCGTAGACCGAGTGCTCTTATGATGGGCCCAGATGGTATCTAAGTACCTTGACAGTGCTGGACACAGGATGGTATAGGACCGCGGAGGCTCCAACTCCCCCATCAATGTCTGATCCGTCGGTGTATACTCGGATCCCTCCTGCATCAGCCCATTTCAACTCGCTGTCTAATGCCTCTGCTTTGCTGGGAGCAACCTCGACTTGAAATCTCGGTGTCCAAGTAGGGTGTAAGTGTACTGGCTGTATCTTCTCCATGTTCCCCGGGAAGATCTGGTATGCATGGAGGAGCTCGTGTAGGGGGGAGCAGTGACTCTTGACATAGCGGGTGCTAGCTCGTGCGACTTGGTCGTGTAGGGGGTGTGACGGGGGAAGAGTGCAGAGTTGGGCAGCCGCTCTGTGGCAGACCTTGTCAACAAGAAGGCGGAACGGGAGAAGGGAGGCATGTGCATCGAGAGTGTCTGTGGCTGTGGATGAAAGTGCTCCCATGATGAGCAGGGCTGCTTGTCACTGAACGCGAGTGAGAGACTTGATCGCTGATACAGATCTGTGTGTCTTCGACTGTCCGGGAAGGGTGCGCATGGGTGTTAGGAAGACATCCGCTGGGTACAGCATGCGGGGTACAGTGACACTGATGTACAGGCGTCGCATGTATGGGTAGGGGATGCCTGACTTTGCCTTGGTGAGGCGGCAGAACTGCTGTACCCACGTCGTGCCTTTAGCGAGCGCATATGCTGTGTGTTCACGGAAGCGAAAGTGGTGATCGAGAAGAACACCGAGGAACTTGTATGTTGACGTGGGCTGTACTGTGCAGGAACATAACTGGAGGGCTGGGCCTAGTGATGGAAGCCTCGCTGAGAGGTTCAGCAGGCCGAATTTGTCTAGCAAGAATTTGGATTGGTGGTCTGCTGACCATGTCATGGCCCCATCCGAGCGATCCATACAATGCCGTAGGTTGTCATGCATTTCTTCGAAATTTGAACCTGTCGCTATGAGGGCCATGTCATCGATGTGTCCCAGTGCGAGTGCGAGCTTGGCTGAGTCCAGTAGGTCCGAATTGTAGAACTGGTACAGGATGATGGAGAGGGGGCAGCCTTGATCTATGCCGCTGAGAATCTCGAAGATAGCTGAGGCGAAGTCATCAAAAATTAAGTGGGTGCGGCGTCCTTCTAGGCGACGCTGGATCCAGTCTACAATCTCCACTGGGACCCCTCGCATGCGCATATTGTGGAGAAGACATTCTGGGAGAGCACTCGGAAAAGCTGCTTTAATGTCCAGAAAAAGGATAGATGCGACTTTATGACGGCGCCACACATCTTTCACTGTCTTTACCAGAAGGTGTAGGGAATTCGTAGTGGTACGGCCTGGTCTGCCTCCAATGTGTCCGTTTGCTAGTAAGTCATTCAACTCTGCTTCATGTACCAGTGTCTCTGTGACGCAGGCGGAAAGAATCTTGCCAACACAGTTTAGGAGAGTGATGGGTCTGTACGCTTTTGCTGCCATGTAGTCGGGCTGACCTGGCTTGCGGAGCATGACTGTGTCGGAGATCTTCCAACTGCTGGGGTATATCTTCAAAGAGAAGGTCGCTCGGAATAGTGGTCCTAAGTAAGGGAGTAAGATGTCGATGCACCGCTTGTATACCTCATTTGGGGTCTTGTCCGGACCCGGCGCCCTGAAGTCTTTGAGCCGTTTAACTACAGCTTTTATTTGGGCATCCATTGGCGGAGTGAAGAGGAATGCAGGAGGTGGGTAGGTGACATCGGCTGGTGGAGTCGCGGTCGTGCCTGGAGGGGGAAAGAAAGCATCGTAAAGAATTTCGCTCTTACCTTGGTTGTCTGATATCAGCTCTCCGACACCATTTGTCGGCATGAGTGGTGGGATCCGGGTCCTGCCCCCATCTGTAGGGCCAGCTTGGGTGAACTTGTTGATTGTCCAGACTGAGTCGCTATCAGCCGACTCCAGCCAGGCCTCCCAGTGGTCGCGTTTTGCGGTCCTGATCCGGTCCACGTAATGGTTTTGAGCCGAATGGTACTCCATGTGTATCGGGTGATGAGGGTTGGACCTGGCTTTGTAAGAACATTTAGTGAGGTGTCTTACTTGTTTCCGCATTGAGCTGAGCTCTCTGGACCACCATCATTTCGTGTAGGGAGTAGGAGTAGACACGGGGACATGAACGTCAATGGTGTATTCCACTGCTTGCATTACCGAAGTCAGGATGGAGTTGAAGTCCTCCATAGACTGGATTTCCCTGGTCGGTGCATGGGCACTGGCAAGCTGTTCTTGCAAAGTGTGACGAAATTCCGGCCAGTCGACATTACGAAAGTTGTGACATCTCTCGGACTCCTCATGATGTACGGAGACATCGATGGATGTGGAAATGGGAAAGTGGTCCGTTTTGGGGGGACGGAGCTCTGGAGTTACATCGCAGGAAGTCAGCCTGCACTCAAGTGAATCTGATCCAAAGACATTATCTGGGCGGGTAAAATTCTTCGTTCCTGAAGCTTGAAGCGTGGGGGTGGCTGCAGGAAGCAGCATCTCCAGGCCAAATGATGCTATTACATCTAGAAGCGGCTGTGTGAGAGTTAGTGCTTGGTCTGTGAAAAGATGGTGGTTGCACTCCTCGTCCCACATAGGATGGTGTCGGTTGAAGTCTCCTGCCCAGATGATATGTCCCTGCTGATCGTTGTTAGTGTGGTCTAAGCTAAGACTGCGAGTGCTTCGACTTAGCAGGTGTAGAGTCTGTTGATGCCCTTGGTCATTGTAAACGTTAAATATGTGCAGAGGGCCTATATCCGAGTTGACTGTAATAGCAGTAATGTCAGGGGAGTCAACCTGTAGGTCCCGCCATGTGCTAGTCAGGAGTCAGGAGCTAATGAGGATGATAGAGCGAGTGTGTGTGTCTGGATGTGGGTGTCGTGGGGGGTATACAACTCGCCAGTGAGGAGTGGCATGACTCATATTAGCATGATCTAGGTAGGATTCTTGGAGGAGGAGAATGTCGAAGTCGCGGACTGATACCGTGTTTAAAAACGCGGATTGCGCATCTAAAGACTTATTAAGATTCAGTTGGCAAATACGTAAGTTAGATGGGTTAGTATGGGACTCAGGCATAGTCTAGAGATTGTTGGGAGCGGCCGTCGTGTGCTGCTTCGGAGGAGCCAGCTTGGTTGAGATGGTCATAGATTAGTGTTCAGTTAGTATCGTGACGACCCTGGGATGCTTGGTACGCTTGCTTCCGCTGAGCTTGCGAGGGTCATTTGTTGCCATTCTGAAAGTGAAAGGTAACTGGGGGCTCATCGTCTGCCCAGCTTTGTGGATACTTCTGCTTAGCTCGGGACTGCGAAGGTTGGGTGCTAGTCATTGTACGAGCTGGGAATGCAGTTGTGTGGGCCATTGGATGAGCTGGCGTAACCTCGTGTATCTGTTCCCATGAAGTGGGGTCAGCAGTTGGGAAGAAACGGTACTTGCTCTCTGGGAGGCGGTCCATCATCTTCTTCTGCTCTTCTAGGAAGATGGGACATAAACGGTCCCAAGCGGCATGCCCCTTCCAGTCTGGGCGATGCGCGGCTTGGCAGTTAGCACAGCCGTAGTTGGTTGGGTCAAGTTCCTGGCAGTCAGCTGTTCTGTGCCTGACAGAGGCACACTTACTGCACGTGTCATGGATGGATTTGCAGTCTGCACTAAAGTGTGGGACTCCTATCTTTTGACATTTGAGGCATCTGCAGGGCTCTGGAATGAGTTTCCGTGCTGAAATGTCAGTTCCTGCGATAATCAGGCCCTGTCTGAGTGCAGAGTTTGCTGATTTTGGGTTAGTAAAACGGATAATGAGGTGGGCTTTACATTGGCCTTCGGATTGGCGTTCCGGAGGCTTAATCCATTGCGCACTTTCAATGTCACCTGGGTCGTAGTTGTTGCGTGATTCAATAATTCGAGGGTAGTGGGGTTCATCGGGGCGACAGGCTATCGGGACAAATTCAGCAATAATGGCATACGTATGTGTCTTCAGTTGGCAGTTACCACCACTGAAGTGGTCAAGAAAGGTCTTCATGATGTCGGTAGAACGTAGCCACTTGGCCGACGTCGGGCTGTTCATGTTGTATACTACCCCGCCATTTCGGAGTTTCTTGCACGAGCAGAAAGCGAAGGAGGGGGGAGCGTCTGATGCCTTGATACCCATCAAGCTGTATGCCATTTCTGCTTTTGCTAGGAGCTCCTCTTCTGTGAGCATAGCTCTGGAGGCGTTCTTGGCCAGGGCTCCGTCAACGAGGATCTGGCTGGCTAGGATGTCTTCGCAGGCGAGGGTGGATGCATGGGAGGTCGGGAGTACTTGAGTTATGGCTGCAGCATATGTCAGTCCAGAAGGTTGCGGCACGGCACCTACCGGATTGGTATGTTCTTTTGCTATCTCTTCGGATGTTTGTATCATCTTCGTGACAGCTTGTTCGAGTCTGGAGGCTCTTTCCGCCGAGTTTTTGTGCTCGGCCTCGAGCTTCTGGAGTAGTACTTCCGTTCGATTGACGTGGAGCTCGAACTTGGACTCCAGTTGCGTGAAGTCTGTAGCCATGTCGTCAAGGTAGCCCCACGAGTTGTTCATCTTGTGGACAACGTGTTCTATAAGCTTTCCAGCTGCTTCTTCCACCATTAGTCTACTAGCATAGTGAGCGAAAGCGGTGATGATGTCAACCATAGCTGAGGCTTTGGAGGCCGACTTAGCGATTAACGAAAGACCCTGAACCAGGCTCTTCACATTTGGGTGCTTGTCTTCAATGAGCTTGTTTTTGAGTAACAGCTGTATAGCTGGTTCCGTCAACGGTACCTTTGCCGTCATTGGGAGCTCAAGCTTGTTCTGAGACTCGGGCTTAGATGTCGATGGTGCTGGGGTTGTTGACCTCAGACTGCATTTACTGGTGGTTGTGTCTGCCGTGCCAGGCGGCTGCGGTGACATCGTCGAGACTGTCTAGTGCTATCTGGTTATGTACTACTTTGTTTCACAGGTGGAAAGTTTTTTAAGATGCTAGGATCCATGGTGTCGCAGCCTACTCCTATTGGCTGGAACCGTGGGAAAATTGCCTTAAGATGGGAGTAAGAAGCAAAGAGGAGCCCACTTATCCATTGACCACCACGCAATCAGTTCCGGCTTTCATCAACATCTTGAACACTGCTTCCTCCACCCGTAGTCAGGAATAGTATGGGTGCAGGATGCAGCGATGTGAGAGGGCTGCGAGTGGGATGTCAGCCGATGTAGACATGAAAATAAATGATGATGTTCATGGATTTTACTGTGCTTGAAGCAATTCGATTATGGCATTTAATCAGGCACTTTAGGATGGTACAAATGGCTCAAAGAAAGAATTTTGGGTGCTTATTCTGATATAAGGCTCCAACTATTTTATCTATTTACCATGTATATATGGTTTATTTAGTATACTATATACATTTATTTATAGTGTGACCTGTACATGGTAAATATATAGTACATAAATAGTATATGGTTATGGGCTGTACAGCCCACATAGTCTGCATATTCCCACATAAAACCAGAGAAAGTTTAGCCAAAAGCTATAGAGATAAGTTTAGATTTTCTGAATTATAATTGTAACTCTAAAATAGGGTTGAAGTGATGCTTGACCAACTTTGGCTCATGTTAAATATTGTCTCTGACTTTCAATAGTCATTATGAAAGTCATTAAATCTTAGCATTTAGTGCAGCCCTCAACTTTTCTGACTGCAGAAAAAATAATAGTAATATATATAGCAAGCTACAGTCTTATCTGAGGTGCAGTTCTGATAATTATATAAACTATATATTTACCTTATATTTACCATCTATCTACCATATACCATTTATTTAGTGATTGGAACTGTAAATAGATTAAATGGTTGGAGCCTTATTCTGATATGGCCAAGGAGAACAAGCAAACATGGGACCAGTGCACAATTTGAGCTTCAAACTGATCATTAATTGACCCGAAGACAGTACTACACACTACACTAATATACAAAAGACACTCTCTAATGCTTCTTGAGGATTCTGTTTTGAGCACCTGAGAGGCACACCTCAAGACTGCGATGAATGTCGAGGCAAGCTTTGATGGACAGCCTTCGCAAAGCCGCCATGTGACGCCACATGAACCTCACCTCTGGACGGAAGGTCAGTCGAAGCTTTCTTATTTATTTTTCGATTTCAACAGCTTGATCTTACTGACACATGGGTCCGAATGTCAAGTCGATATCCAGAAATTTCCGAGGTGTATATAGTCCTATGTAGCCCATGTAGACTTGTTGCAGTTTCCAGATGCGGAGCGTGTAACAGACTGCGACTACACATGTGGATGAGCCCAGGATGACTTCTTTCTCGGCATATTAAAAGCAGACTCCAGACCGCGACGGACACCCGGTGCAATCACAATGGTCAGATGGGATGCCTATGGCCTAGCTCTGCCGAGCTGCTCACCGTAAAAATGTCCTTGCCTAAGAATATACTTCAGGAGAGAGCTGGACAATTGCTGCGATGGCTTTGGTCCTTCGCACCCCTGATCTCCTGGAAGTTAAGTGGCCACATGATACATGCACAAATGGGTCTGTGAGACCGAGTTTGGGGAGACATGGATGGGCGGGACAAGTAGTGTAGTACTCTGACCCGCTTGAACCATCTTGATGTCCATAGTTCAGGTTGAAAAAACATAACTTAAGGACCAATGTCATGTTCGAAAGACTTGCCCGTCTGCAGACACTCTCAGCGAGCACGAATCTGACATGCGCTACAAAGGATCGGCAGGAATGGTTGCCGGGAATACAGTGGGCACCGAAGAAGAGAGGACGAGCATTTAGCGGACCGCCAGCGAAAGGAAGACGTGTCAGGTTGCATACTCACGTGATCGTTCCGCGTTACCCTAAACGCGTCGACTGGTCTCTTGTGCTTCATATTTGCCACGCTGACCATCGCCCCGGTCCGCCACCATGCGCACCGCATATTTTTCGGACGATGTGCTTTCGTCACTGGAATCCTCTCTGTCGCATAAAAGCGACGCAGCTCCCACTCCCGGGCCTCTCTCGACGCCTCGCCATGCTCTGGCATCACCGTTCTTCGTGGGCTTTCCCAGCCTTCCTCTCCTTGTTCATCGTCTTTTTTACCTGGCCTTTCACGCTCCGGACAGCTGCGTCAACCCGAGCCGAATATGCTAACCTCGCTGCTGCGTCCCCCACGCTCAAGTCGGACAACCTGACGGACGTTGTCCAGTGGGACAACTACTCGCTTTTCGTCTATGACCAACGTATTTTCTTGCAGTCAGTGTTAAGATAAATATGCTCCCTTCATGTGTTCTCAGCACATTGGCACTTCAGCTCGGGGGAAATGGCTACTTTTCGTCTCCCCATACCTGATCTCTGGCTCGACATCTTCCAGAAGATGGTCGCTGCCGGCTTGAACGCAGTCAGGTGAATTGATAAATCTGTATTTCCTCTTGGTGTTCCATGGCTCAAATATCGGCGCGCGATAGCATATACATTCACTGGGGGTTGACGAATCCCGCTCCCGGCGTGCTCGACTTCAACGACTGGCGCGCCCTCCAGCCGTTCTTCGACGCTGCGAAACTCGCAGGGCTTTGGATCGTGCTGCGCCCAGGTGCATTTTCTCTCTCTCATCGTTCCCTTGCTTTCTTAATGCCTCTCGCGCTCAGGTCCATACGTAAGATCTCTGTCACTCTCCCGCACGGCGCCGCTAACGCTCCTCAGATCAATGCCGAGACGACCGCTGGCGGCATTCCGCACTGGGTCACGAGTCTCGTCGCGGGTCAGCTCCGTACGAACGCGTCGGACTATGAGGCTGCGTGGCAGCCGTACATCGCCCGCATCGCTGAGAATGTCATCCCGAACCAGGTTTCTAGCGGCGGGCCCATCCTCGCCGTACAGGTCGGTAAGTATGCTGCTTGAGAAGAGGCTGGAATTGACGCTGACGTCGACACGGTGAAGATAATGAATATTATCAGGATGCGGTCACCGGGGAATACTTCGCCGAGCTCGAGGCGGCGTACCGCTCAGCGGGTGTCGTCATCCCCTTGTGAGTTTCTCACGAATCCGTGCAAGCTAGATAGTAGGCTGAAAGGCGGGAACAGGACGTACAACGATCCGGGCGAAGGCAGCAATTTCATCAACGGTACAGGCGCTGTCAACATCTACGGACTTGTACGTGCGCATCCTGCTTTTCCTCATGCCGACTCTAACGCTCTACTTCGTAGGACTCGTACCCACAAGGCTTCGATTGTTCCCATCCTGAGCAGTGGGCATCGGTCGTGACGAACTATCATCAGTACCACGAGGAGGTCGACCCAGGCGAGCCGTGGTATATGCCCGAGTTCCAAGGTGCCGTGCACAATGTTTTCATGTCTTCTTCGTGGCAACTCATCTTCGACATGACAGGCGGCGCATTTGACCCGTGGGGCGGTCCCGGTTACAACAACTGCGAAATTCTGACGGGCGCAGATTTCATGGACGTGTTCTACAAGCAGAATTGGGCGTCGAATGTAAAGCTCATATCCTATTACACGGTTTACGGGTACGACCTTCGTTGTGTCATCCCTTATCCATTCTGAGTCCACCCTTTTCAGTGGCACAAGCTGGGGAGGACTTCCTGAGCCTTCGGTATACTCAAGGTGACTTTTGGTTCTGGTTCCTCCTGGACTGACCATGTTCACCGCACGCAGCTACGACTACGGCGCGTCGATACGCGAGTCGCGGCTGCTGAGCGACAAGTACGACGAAATTAAGCGCCAGGGAATATTTATCCGCAGTTCACCTTCGTTCCGCAAGACTGACTGGGTCGGCGACACCAGCACTACGATCCCTGGCGTCACCGTCAACGGCTCGGGCGCGTACGTCACCCTCCTGTACAACTACGATACGGGGACCGGGTTCTACATCGCACGCCAAGCGGACTCGACCTCTACGTCAGTCGGACTAGTGCGCTGTCTATATAGCCACTGACAGCGATTGCACGCAGGACCAATATTAACTTCACCCTGACAGTTCCCACCTCGGCTGGCACACTCACGATCCCCAGCACGTCAGGCGCGATTGCGCTCGACGGGCGGCAGAGCAAGGTCATCGTGACCGACTACGCTTTCGGTGCACAGTCAAGCGTGCTGTACTCCACCGCGAGTATATTCTACGCCGGTACCATCGGCGCACGCGACGTGCTGTTCCTCTACGGCGACGCCACTCAGAGCCACGAGGTCGCGCTCGTTCTGAACGGATCTAGCGCTCAAGCGTCAGACGTCTCTTACTCCAACGCTGGAGGAGCAGGGGGAATCACGACCGTGACCTTCCTCCCCGGAATCACCGGGCTCGTCACAGTCTGGGACTCGGCAACCCAGCTTATACTGTACGCGGACCCCATCACGACCGCGACCTTCTGGGCGCCTGCAATCCCCACTGCAGGCGCGTCCACGGACTTCCCGAACTACTTCCAGTTCGGAACGAACGAGACCGTGCTCATCGGCGGGCCTTACCTCGTGCGCAACGCGTCCATCGCCGACGGCGAGCTCGCGCTCCGCGGGGACCTTAACGCGAGCATCCCGCTCACAGTCGTCGCCCCTCCCGAGGTGACGCGCGTATCGTGGAACGGCGTGCCCGTCGAACTCGAGTTCGCCTCGGCCGACGGCGGCGCACAGGGCGGGGTGCTCGCAGGGTCTCTCCAGATGAGCACGGCGCTGGCGCAAGTGACGGTACCTGCGCTGACCGGGTGGCGCTACAACAACAGTTTACCCGAGGTGTTGAGTAACTATTCGGATGCGGAGTGGGTCGTGGCGAACCATACGACGACGAACATTCCGGCGATGCTGTATGGGGACGGGCGGGTGTTGTATGGTGCGTATCTTCCGTTTTGTGCGTGGCGAGGGCGCGCTGATGCTTGGGGACAGGTTGTGACTATGGATAGTGAGTGTGGTGTGAGGTCTTTGCATTTCTGGTGCGAGTACTGAACAACCTTCTAGCTGCGAGAATGCCGTCCTCTGGCGCGGCCATTTCGAAGGTACCGGATCCGAGACTTCTGTCAATCTGACGATCAACGGCGGCACCGGTGTGTCTTCTTTTTCCACGAGTCCGACACTACGATAGGCTAAGTGCCCACTCTCCTAGCGTTCGGCGCTACGGTGTATCTGAATGATGTATTCCTCAACTCCACGTACGACATCTCGGCGGAGCAGACCACTGAGCTGTACACATTCCCTCCGGGCTCCGTGCAGGTCGGGCAGGACAACGTCATCACGGTCGTGCAGGTATGTGCAGGCCGTTCTCTTGTAAAATGCTGAGCCTGAAAATCGGATGCAGGACAGTTCGGGAAACGACGAAGATGCCAATGGTGATCGTTTCTTTACCTTTGCATGGCTAGATAGTCTAACGGCGTTGTTGTGCAGAGAAATCACCCCGCGGCATCCCCGGCTTCCAACTCAACGGTGGGAACTTCACCGTGTGGAAGGTCCAAGGCAAGCTCGGCGGCTACATGAAGTCAGTCTCTTCCTTCTCTGCATGTCTCCCGTTGTAACGCGTTTCGCCTGCAGCTACCCCGACAAGGTCCGGGGCGTGCTCAACGAGGGCGGCTTCTATGGCGAGCGCGAAGGCTGGCATCTGCCCGGCTTCGACACGTCCAGCTGGACCACCCGCGAGCTGACCGAAGGCCTCCCCGGCGGTGGACCCGGCATTGGCTTCTTCGTCACGACGTTCGATCTCGCCGTCCCCGCCAATTCGGACGTGCTGATGTCGTTCCAGTACGACACGTCGAGCCAACCATACCGCGCGCAGCTATATGTGAACGGCTGGTACTATGGCAAGGTGCGCGTGCTTGAATGCGTGCGCGAATGCGTGCGATATCAGATGCCCCTTCTCACGATAATTTGGTTCTCTAGCGCGTCGCGAACTTCGGCCCGCAGACTAATTTCCCCGTCTCCCAGGGCATCCTGAACTACAGCGGCACGAAGTGAGTGCCCCGCCCGACAGTTTGCGAGTCTCTGCTGACCAGTTGTCCAGCACCGTCGCCGTGGCCCTCTGGTCCATGGAAAATACCCCAGTCTCGCCCACGCTCGCATTGCAAGTCAACACCGTCATTGAGGGCGGCGTTGGGGCCATCGCTCTCAATAACCCTGGGTGGACGCCGCGTCCCTCAGCGTCTTAAACTCGACACAAACAGCGTCAGAAGAAAGAAACAGTTCGACAGACTTGGAATGGATGATGCGCGTATCGTTGTACCCCTGCTTTACTTAGTTGTGTTGCGTGCATTTTGTAGTACAATTCAAGTTCTATCATTTTGCTGAATATGTGTACAATGTTCGGTCCTTGCCTAGCTTGTGAATCAGCTCGACTTCGTCAATACTCTGGACGGTCTCCAGACTGCAGGATCGAGGTGACGTCAGCGGGCCAATTAAAGCACGATCCATGTACCGGCAGACTGTCCTTGGGACAAGCAGGCGAGGAATCGAAAATCAAGATTCGTAGAGAATTCGTCAAAAGCCAGCTTGGGAATTGTCACAAGATTCAGAAGAGCTTTTGATGGCACACCTCGCCTATCTAGTCACCGGTACCTTTCACTAGGGAATTTAATATTGCTCAGGTTTGCATTGTCTGGGGCCCAGCACGCGCCGCGCCATGGCGGAGTGAACAAGGGCGACGCGAATAAAAAAAACCGGGATGCAACATGTTTTGGCAAGCATAGGTGATACGTACACCACGAAGTACGGGGACACAAACTCTCGCTGATCACCATCTAAAAAATTCCTGGCTCGTTGGAGGATGCCCGTTCATGCATATGCTTCAATGGCTTGATAGGCACCGAAGCACATAAGCTGAAGGACTCACCGCGCCCAGCAAGGCGTACATGCAACAATCCTGGGCGAGGTTGGGCGCTTATTCAAATTGGGGGAGTGTGATTGTGACAGACGCGAGAAGTCACGCATGTTGTATGTCACGGAATATGAATCGACAGTTATGCATCGACGCGTTGTTAAAGTTGTTTTGTCGTGACTGATTACTTTCTTGTGCCATTAAATTTGCATATATCATCCCTAGTTTGCAGTAGAATTTCGAGAACACCACCGCATGTCTCAACGAACGACCTGAAGTGTGATCGATAAATGTTGCGAAACTTAAATAAGTCCGACTGACGTGTATACTTCCAAATCGTCCGACTGTTCCACGACGCGCTCGATACAAACAGGTGTGCAGGACACAGTGACAGAGGTACAAAATAACGCCCCAGAGACTTGTTATGCGAGATCATAAGGACCAGTGGTTACAAGCCCTTCTACCTCGCCGAGAAGTATGTCCGCCTGCTTCGTCGACGAGGCAAGCCAACCCTCTTCACCGTGGTACTTCCGCAACCAAAGCAATACGGCACAAGCTTTCTTCCATGCACCCTCATTAGCAGGTTTTGTCTTGTATCTCGTTAGGTCACAGTGCAGCAAGAAGTACTGCCTCTCAGACAAGCATTCAATGACAACAGTGGACTTCCATTCATTTAGCATGGCAATCTGGTTGTGATCCTCGCTGCCCTGCAGAAGAACGAAAGGAAGCATCCATATGAATGATTCGAGATGGTGGTGGTAGTGGCGAGTACCCATCCGGGCCATCCCACGGTTGCGATAGAATAGATCTAGTGCCCTGAAATTATGGGTTCCGATACCATTGGGCGAGGGAGACTCTGGAGAGTGTGTGACGTCGACACAGACATCGAGATCGATGAAAAGACCGCGCTTTGAAGCAGAATCATACACCAGGTTCTGCAGGTAGACATGGCCGAGCTGCACGCCTTTCGACCAGCGCTGGAAATGATCTGACAAGGCAGAGCGGTGAGTTGCACATAGGCACGCACAGACGAATGACCCACCACGACAGCAGTCTAACCATGCACTTATGAACTCTTCACCTTCTAGTTGATCGATACATATGAGTTTACGCGGTACCAGTAAGCGAGGCACTCGTCGCCTGCGGGCTTTCCTGAAGTCTTGCATCATGGTTTTCTCCATCGCAAGTTTCACTCCTCCCACGGATGTGGTAGGAGCCGCAATTGTGCAGGCCTCGTCAATGACTGGCGCAGGCTTTCCGATCGAGTCCTTATCCGCTTGTTCGCAGTCTCCAGAATGGATAGGTTCTGCCCCGTTGATCCAGAATTTTTGTGGCTTGGCCAGACTAGATTTGTCGACAGAGGTAGGAGATACATCCAGTGCTTGGAGCATGATGCTGCGGTGACAAACCCGGTTATAATACGGATATATTGAGTCTGTGGCACTACCGTCGTCCGGCGTGTTTTGGGCACACAGGCCTCCAGGGTATAAGCTGAGTGATCCACGTCTTCTACTATAATTGAACCCCGTAGCAATCCAGTTTTGTAACAGGTCAAACCTGGTGCAGAAGTGAATTATGTGTGAAATGGTCGGGGCGGAACATACTTAATGCATACCTCAACTTATGAACGGTAACGCCGCTCCAAGCAAATCCAGTAGTAATGATCATGTTGGCGAACGCCCACAGCCAGAAAGCACAGTTATCAAACATCAAGTTCAGAAAGCGAGAGCAAGTCGTTACGGAGGCCTAAAGACGTTTAGAAGGCAACCGTGACTGTGACAGCGTCCTGACTACTGGCACGTGCACGTGGCCCGATAAGGTAGGACCCCGGCGAATCAACTAAGAGCTCCGGCGACGGCATTTCTCGGCGGTGGCCAACCACCCATTATCGACTCTACTCTCGACGTTGTTTTTCTTCCTTTGTAATTTTACAGGCATACGAGTGTCGCGAAAGACGTGGGCTGCGCGTACCGGATTGCAAACAGTTTGTACTTAGATAGTGGCCGAGTGCGCGGTTTGTAGATCTGAAATTCTGATTGCATTGAATGTACACATACAGAGATATGTATACACGAAGTCGGTCGTGCGATAAAATGACGGTATCGCATACTTGCCGACAGCACGCACCGGTGGACAATGCCTTGCTGAGCAATATGGTCAGGAGAACTTCCACGGGCGAAAAATATGCAGAATGGAGATGGCGACATCCCTGATCACAAGTACTAAAGAAAGTTCACCTCGGCGTACCACAGTGTTTTTGCTGAGGGGTATGGCGAGGCCATATACTCAGAAGTATTGGGCGATATCGGAATATTTCTGTGTTACCGTCACTTCTGAAGCCCCGAAACTCGCACTGGTCACAGCACAGCGGAGCTTGAGCTTGAGCGCAGTCGTATTGGTGCGCAGTGACAGGAAAGGATGCACAGACAATGTGGAGGGAAGACGCCAAGCGCGGAATCCCGAGTCGCGACGTAAATATTCGCGCAATACTGCCGTTACCGCACAGAAATCCTGACCAGGAGGTAAGTCAATATTGAGCCCATGATACGAGAAAAAAACCAACTCACAACGTGTCCGCTTGACTGGGGAAGCAGCGAAACGCCACAGTGTGCCGATCCTGCGGCACGATACATCCTGTGTAGTTCTCTAATACAAGATCAAAAATTGTACGGGTCTTTATCACTGCGAAGAACTTACCTCGCGAGCTCGAACGATCGTCGCTGAAGACAATACTTGTTTATACACACTGCAAAGCGCCCTTGGCAGCGGGCAGCTCGGCACGACAGGTACTCACGCCCACGCGGAGAATGGCACTTTTTGCTACTTAGGCTGGGATGTAGACACGCGGTCGAGCAAGGAGTATACAGACGCGTGAAGACCCCGATCCGGAGAGACAGCCTTGGGAAGATGATTTGATTTTGAGATGACCAACGAGAACTTCGGCTGTGTAGGAGTGTTGTTGGTAGGAGCGCCAAAGTGTCGTACGTTGGTAACCACGGACGGGTGCTCGACAGGTCGGAGATCTGCTAACATGCGAATATAAGCATGCTTCGAGGTCAGGAGGACTCCGAATACTCGAACGTTGAGTTTCTCGAATGCGATCGCCAGTCGGGCATCGCACGGCGAGCGCGACAGCGAGTCTTCAATGTCGGATCACCATCCAGCACACCCTGAAGGGAGCATCCGGTCAGAGAGGCGCAGGACAAGATTGAGAGAGGAATTGGGGCACGTCAGTTAGCCCGCCTGAGCCGGAAAATGAAAAGGACATTGAAAACGCACAAACGCTAGTCGCCAAGTTTGAGCACCGCGGGAGAAGCGGAAGTTGAGAAAGGGTTGCGACGCATCATGCAGTGCGTCATGAAGTTTTGATCTTTCGCGCTACTAGATATGCTCTTCTGTCTCTGCGCCGGTGGCGATACTGGTGTTAACACGACCAGTCTTGAAAGCTTGGGTGGCTTGCTATTTCATCGGAGGCTCAGCGGTCAAATTGTGGTGGGCAGGATCAATGTACGTACCGTCGGGAGGAGGCTGACGAAAAAACGCCCGACGTTGGTGAGCTGTGAACGTCCGAAGTTGGCGTGGAACTAGGAGGAGGTACAGCGGCGACGTACGAAGATCAATGCTTCCTCAGTAACCGAGATCATACTTGGCGCGGAAAACCTCGTCGCGTCGTCGCAGGACAGGCTGCCCTGAGAGAGCCATCGAATACATGCCTTTTATGGAGGTCTCCCGTTCAACGAGGTACGAGGCATCGATATCAAGTACTGCTATAAATCAAAGACCCGCACCGGTTGAGCTCACCACTCACCCGTCTCCTTAGATCTTCAAAGATACCTTCAGCACCATTATCCCACACCTGACCCTATACGGTACGCCAACGAAAGTACACCATGACACGACAGAACAACCTAGGACTACGTAGATCCGCATGTGTTGCCTACACGCCTCGCAGGGGCGGAGAATGGCAGGGGGGATTACTGTCACCTCCGTCAATGTGAGGAATGCCAGTCGGTGATAGTATTGCACAGACGACCATGATTGACTACTGGAAAGATCTCACAGTCAATACCAGTCTGAAGTCACACACCTCACTTCCGAGACAATCCTTTGGGACAACCGTCGGGAGATCTATAAGTAAGTACTGTAGGTTCTTTCTCTATGGGTATGACCGCCTTCAGAGCAGGCTTCAACTGCATAGTCCGGACTCCGAGGCCTATACGAATATTCACCGCCGGTCGACTCGGACAAGATTCTGCAAATGCGCCGTATATGCAAGTCTTTCCACCCGTACCTTCATGTATTACCGCTGTATGGCATTCTAGTAAGCTCTTCGCTCTTCCAATCGCCGTCTCTCCATGTCCTTACTGCTGCAATGGCGTGCCTCAGGAACTCCTTCAAACTGAATCCTCGCGGACCTTGCCTTATCCACTGGATGCAATGCCCCAGATCCCTCCCATGTACCACAAGGCTCTGCATGCAGCAGCTCATTCTCGCGCACTTGCGTCACCTGTACAGTAACATAACCTCGAGTCCCACAAAACTTCTGAATTTTTATGTGAAGATACGATGTTACTCGATATGCTTTGCTTCTCAACATAGCGCGCTCTCTTGCGGAACGGCTTCAATTCAAAATTCTACTTCCGCATACGCACATTAAGGCGCCTGACCTGAAACAACATTGGCTACTTTATGCACGTACGTACGACATCTCCCACTCATTTCGATGGCTGATACAACAATCTGCGTCCGATTTACTGTCAATGCGCGGCTATCCCTGTTATGTGTATGACATGAGGGGCTGCGGTCGAGCGGCAGAGCAGACTTTGTATTCCACATCTTCGCAACATCTTGGCCCAGCGACACGAGGACGTCGATCAGTATTATTTGATCAACTTCCATCTGGTGTGGGCATCACGTTTCTACTCCCGCACCTAGGTGGCCTGCGAGCTGATCAGATGCCCCGCCTGAATCACAGCGGCGAGACATCCATTATACTGCACGCATGGCGATCAATTCAGCGCATAACATCTTCAAAATCAGGAGAACAGTATCAGAGATAGTTACAGATATCGAATATGCCGCGAAACGCGTCGCATATGACTGCTCTCACTCATAGAGGTAGCAATTTGTCCTTTCTTGCGCAGAGAGTAAAGAATTTAGCAATTCATTGTCGCTCATTCGCAGCGAGAAATAAAACATTTGCACCAAGAGAACTAATGACGGCGCATGATTGAGAAGAGTACGGCACGTAGGACTGAGCGATTCAGAACGTACCAAAGAGGCGCTGCATGCGTGCAGCCTCAATTCTGGTACAACAGTTCCGATCGGAACGCATTCGCTTGGTGAATAAGAACATATCGAGACCGTCCACCGTTGCACAGTCTTCAGAGAGCATTGAGGATACAAGATATCACTATCGCACGTGTAGTAGACCCGCACGAATGAGCCTGCAAGACCAGGCGACAAAGATGCACCATAATGATCGAATTGCTTCCAGGTGGACCTTAGCATGCAACATGCACGCTCTTCAATGCGTGCGTCTCACTCGCCTGGACCGGACTTGTTTACTCGTGAGGACAATGTTTGAGCTGCAATGAGATGAGATCGTGATCGATCTCCTGACACCGCGCAACAATCGTATCCAGATCTTCCTACAGCCAAAGCGAGACAAGGCCGAAACTCAGCGCGGCGTGCTGACCCCTGCGACCAACAAAATGGGTTTGGATGTCGAAAGTTCAGCATGTTCAGTGAATTTGCGAAAATCGAAGATCAGAATAAACATACTACATGCCCTCAAAGGGGGGCTCCCTCTGTTTGGACAACGTCGAAACCTTTCGTGCGTCGCTACCGGGCATCTAATGCACAAAAAGCGACGTAAGAATTGGAGATTTGAGCGAGATCGACTACGTACAGTGGACTCTGGCTGAGTACTTTCAGCGCTGCAGCTGGATGAGGGGACTCGAGGGTTGTTGTAGGTGACCGTTGCCGTCCGATCGAAGTTGATACGGCGATAGAGGGCGGAGAACGAGGGACGACCTGACGGAAGCCTTGAGTAGGTAAAGTATCACTGAGAACAATGCATAGAAGTCACTTGTTAGTGTAATAGTAAAAGGACCGTAACGCCTACATCTTTCAATCGACCCATCTACATTCATTCGCAAACTCCAGGATTTGATAGATCTGTCGACTGATGGTAGATCATGCTGCGATTGCTACGAGGAGTCTCCGCGGGAAGTGCGGAGAGCGTGAGAGATTCATGTTCAGTTTCTTCCCCACAAAAGCATCTTGCTGGAGAGGCAAACACGAGGTGGAAGTCGGAACGTGGGTACGTGAAGGGCATGCACCTGGATTCAAAGGAAGACTCCCGGTACTAATACCAAGGCCGATGACTGAAAACCAAGCATCTGGAGTCAAACAGAGACGCACCACACACCATCGCAGGAATGGGCGTCAGCTAGTGTCCTTCTTGCCTGAGTATAACGGTACAAATCATTATCCTCTGAGTCTACGTCGCATGCGTCGATTTCACCAAATGCAGGCTGAGAGAGTTTTGAGTTTTCGTCTTGCGTCATTGGAGTGCCGACGTGCATTCTAGTTGGGATAGGCCATACTATGCCTGACCGTTCAGTCGGCGCACCCCCCTAATCGGCGCCTTGCTATACCTCCGTCCACTTTGCTCCGTTTGTTTAACTACCTCATAGGTATCCTACATAGTATATTTGTACCCTTTTCGAGCTTGAACGACGGTGAATGGATGAATATTGGTTGAGTCCATCCTTTTGGTATGCGTCACGCTCAAGTCACCCTCGACCTCCTGCCGTGATGGACTTTAGCAGGGCTCCTGCCTTTTGGGGTGTTGTACTATGGGTGACACATGTGTGACCGCCGATTAGGAGGGTGCGCCGACTGAACGGTCAGGCATAGTATGACTGATGCGCCCTGCTGGAAATCCACTGCGAGCCAGCACGTCATCAGCTTCCGACGTTTTCATGTGGACCAATACAAAATGCAGGGACTACTTACCATGGATAGGCTCCCAAGCATTCAATACTGCTGTGGCGCACAGCGGGCCATGCGTTCATGCAGTATGGCGGATCCCCGGCGCTCATGCGTCGAAAAGAGGACATCCAAGGAGATCGGACCCCAGACGTCGCACTGCGGGAGAAACTCTGTGAACTCCGGGTCGAAAATATGGGTCTGATTCACTTCTTCGGAGACAGCGTAAATCAGTTGTCGGTCCCAACTCACAATGCCTACACGGACGAGCTGGGAGTTCCCTATTCACTTGATTCACGCAAGTTGACTTATAGCTCACCTCACACGTTAGTGTCCAAAGAGGGGTCCTGCACTGGCACGTATGCGTCTCATCTCGTGTCGGTGACCCCGCTGCCCTACTGCAATTCAATGAAGACAGCACACGAACCCCATGATGCCGCAAGTGAGATTAAGGGAGTGAGATTAAGGGAGAGAGCATCGAGCTGACTAGCACAAAGCCAGAGAAATGGAAACAGAGTTCGATGTGAGTAAACTTGAGCGGCTGAACCGCTGGAAGAGACCAAGTACAGGTGAAGATAATCGAGGCGCAAGCACTGAAGCAGTATTGGCACGATGCTTTTAAAAAGCGTAGGAGGGTTGATGGCGGAACAGCGGCTGTGTCCGCACCAGCTCAATCAGATATCTGCAGTAGTCGAGCTTAGCCTAAGGAAGCGGAGCGCTGGAGTGTCTTGGACGAGTTTAAACTTGAGCACACGTCATCGGCTGCATGCAAAAGGTTCGAACACCAATCGAACTTACCCGGTCGAGGTTGTACCCTGCAGCCGAACTGAACTTGCCATGAGCACGTCGCCGTGGGCGCCACTCTCAGTGCGTCTCGCGTCTGTCACGATCACGCGCTGGCGTGACTCTGCAACGCTACCCGCAAATATTGCGGCAGCGCTCAACGCTACACTCCATCCACTGAGATACAAGCGTGTGCGCCCACAGTTATCCTGTGTATACTCCCGAAGGAAGGTGGACCTTTTAGTTGTCATAATGACAGTAGAAAAGCGTGATTCAATCTTCCGGGATTTTCTTGGATTGTCATCGGCCGTGCATCATGACGGCTGCTGGGATTTGTGTAAGAGACGTACGTGTCTTCGTCTATGAACGCCTCTTTTGGACTCTAACTTTTCCAGAAAGTACGCCAACGCAATCATCAACGTAATTCCTCGTAAAGATCCTTGCAAGTACTAATGTTCATGTATGCGGCCCTACCCACGTTTGCGAATATACACCGCATTCTGGTCTTTCTTGTGGCACCTGATCTGTTGCGCCGCTTGTGTCGCACCTCGGGCGAATCAAAACAATATTTAGCAAAGCACTTGAAAAAATGAATTGAGGTGCGTTATTTTCTGGATATTTTAATGAAACAGAAGACGGGCGATATACGCTGCCAGGGCCATGCGAAAACCAGGATCTTAACCTTCAATCCTTCCTTCGCTCGCCCACGCCAACGGCACTCTGCCTGTAATCTCGCCATACCTGTGATGACAACTGTCCTCCAGCTTCGGTTGTGATACTTGTTGATACTGCGGCGGAAAGTGTACACCATAGTTTTCAATGTCGTATCGACTTTGGTCCCCTGGAGTGGGGGTTAGTTGTCCTGTTGCACTGGTTGGCGGAGAACTGTCTTGCGGAATGCTCAGGTGAGTGATATATTGTAGCTGTTACATTCCCTGCTCTCTCGCATCTTGCAGTACCCCGATCCCTAAGCTGATTTGTACTTTGTGATATGATAACTTCTGACTCCCGGCACATAGACGAATATCCGGTAGACTTCTCCTAGTCGCGATACCGCACGCGAAAAAGTCGGATTGGCCAAGGCACAAGTATGTTCATCGAGTTGGCCTCACCAGATTCTAGCCCTCGTTGAGCAGGGCACTAATGCAACGTAAATCTCGTGCAATGTATTTTAGCTGCATGAGGACGTTTCACTGCTCAATCCCAATTTTGCGCACCAAGTCTGCCTCCGCTCGCGTTCTCCTTGGGTCTTCTGGATGTTTTTGCATACTCGCGCTCAATGTCAAATACAGTATCATTCTCTCGAGGCTATTCTAGGTATTGACCTATGTAGGGGATTCCTACTGGCTTAACCCCTCCTACCAGCGACTGATACATTGTCAGTCCTGGGGGAGCCAAAATCTTTAGCTCCTTGTACGTTTTCTCCATTATTATGTACGAGCACTGCTCAGCCTCGTTCTAGGTCAACGAGCGCGTGCACCGCCTGGCAAGGTAGACGTGCGCCTATCCTGTGGCACCGAACCGCTGATCTGTCGCCGAAGCTACTACGCGTTCGTCGGGGTCCACTCCAGCTATCGGCACCGTCCATAACTTCGACATGCGTTTTGGACGTGCATGGCTATCATCGCATGCTGTGTGCATGTTGTTGCTGTGAGGGTGTGAGTTAGTGTGCTTAAGTTCTGCAACCGAAGTTATTTTTGTTATAGACTGGGCGTGAAGTAATGTAGCGCATGTCGTATTCTATGAGAGCACGAGGAACGAGCGGGAGCGCAGAATTTAGTCTACGCACGGATTAGGCAGTTGTGGCTGAGTGCTCTCGTCTTCCTACCACAACTGTCGCTCGTTACACGGCTAACTGCTGAGAAGTACACGTAGTTCTCGCGCAATGGAGCTCTCTTTTTCATTTGAATCTAGACACTCGCTTCTACAGAATACACTCTTTAAAGAATGGCTCGAATTCTTGTCAACCCCACAGTGGCAGAATGCCCAGATTATGCTTCCGCGACGTATGCAGTGACTCGCGCTCCCTTGATCAATGCCAATACCACTGAGGATGAAGCTGTTCAGCTTCTTAAGAACATATGGAAGGCCGGGAATGATGCAGACAAGGCAGCATGGGAGCAGCAGGTGAACGACGATGCAACTGATGTCGCCGATCAGATCAGACTGGCAGAAGAAGCAGAGGTACAACGATTAGACACCTTGAGACAGGAGGAAGAGCTATCCCACAAGGAAGAGCTAAAGAAGAACAAGGAGAAGTACCTACTCATTCCAGACAGAGATGCTCCGACGATAGCACCGATTCTCCCGGCAACCTATGCAGTTCGAAAGATGAAGAAAGGCCTCTACACCGAGATGCACTACTACACCAATAAGGGCCTAGACGAGGCGCTGAGCGGCTCGAGCACAATCGATGATGAAGCAATGATCCTACTGCAGAATCCAAACGGCACGACATCTTGGGTTCCGGCAGCCTCTGCCCGAGACTCTCGCGGCGTCACCGAAGATAAGGATCTCACATGGGAGGATTTCTGTCAGGCAGCCCCTCGCATGATTCGCGCTATGGAAGAGGCCAGCTGGCCTGAGGATCGAGTGGCAATGCTGGCAAAATTCTGGGGAAACTTGCAGATCCACGAGCTTCGCTCCTCTCGTGATCCTCTGGACCAGAAGACTCTCCTTGTTTATCAAGCTGAACAACGGAAGGCATGGCACCTTGCGATACCATCACCGCAAGGTGCATGGAACATCTCGCGGATCAATGATGAGATCATGCGAAAGGTCAAAGAACGCGTCTACTGGGAAGCACGGAACCTGAAGGATAATGAGAGAGATTTTCGTGTGCGTACCGTGTCGACAAAATTGCATTCACATCTGAAATACTGACCAAAAAACAATTCTTTCATATCTTCTCCTCGTACGCCTCCTTGAATGACTGAATGGCCTACACTGCTAATTTGTTCATCACATGCTGCAATCTGATCCTCCTCCGCTCCACTGTTTGCTCCATGCATGCCTGCGTGCTCCATCCATACCTCTGTTTGCTCCACGCATGCCTTCCTTTGCTCCATGCATGCCTTTCTTTGCTCCATGCATGCCTCCATTTTGCTCCATGCATGCCTCCGTTTGCTCCATGCCAAACAAATGCTCCCCTGCAATCCTCCGACATGTTTTTCAATCTTCCATAGGCAGACCAACGGATGGCAGGATACACATCTGGAGCCGTTGCGGCCCCTAACACTCCGCGGAGCCGTCCAGCCAGTTCACGTGGCTCAGAGACATATAATGGATCATCCACGTCTGATAACATGGTGAGACCATCTACGCAGCCTTACCCAGCCAGAAAGCCACATTTTCAGGCGGGCGCAAGTGGGAACGGGTACTCCGCTTGTGCCGTTTGTCTCGGACGTCACCCACACAAGATTGTGGAATGCAATGAGATCGTCATCTGGAACAAAACGTACCCCACAATCTCACAGAGAATCAACAAGGCGCTCTCACTCCGAGATGGTGGTCGACCGCTCTGCCACGACTGGCAGCGGGTCCAAGGATGCACTGCCACCAGACACGACAATTGTCACATCTGTTCAGGGTGTGGCCAGAACACACATGGCGCTCAGCAATGTCCTCGAGCAGAGAAAGCATAGAGCCCTTACACCGTACAATGCAAATGCGTGGGAGAGTCAACTATGCACAGCAGGACTTCTCGGACGATACAAGAACCTACCGGACGGGTTACGAGTTGGTTTCAGGATCAACATTCCTCAAATCACTCGTACTCAAGACCCTCCAAATAAGGAATCGATCGTCACATTTGCTCCGGAGTTCCTTAAGATCGTTAATGCCGAGATCGCCAAAGGCAGGTACATTGGACCATTCTCCCGTACAGATCTTGAGCACCTCATTGGACCCTTCCAATCATCGCCCTTATCCATCATCCCAAAGCCTGGCCAGCCTGGCCGGTTTCGCATTGTACAGAATTACTCATTCCCTCACACGCCATCCCTTCGTTTTCCCAATCCGTCCATTAACTCCACCATTGACTCAGATCTATTTCCAAGCACTTGGGGAACCTTTAATGCTATATGCCTACTCATTCGTCGTCTACCGCCGGGCTCTCAGGCTGCAATGCGAGATGTTGCCAAAGCTTATCGTACAATACCACTCCACTATAGTCAATGGCCGGGAAGTGTGGTACGGACGAACAAGCGTGAACTATGCCTTGATACTTGCACATGTTTTGGTGTCTCCCCATCGTCAGGCGTATATGGCTATCTCGCAGATGCTGGCACTGATCTATTTAGATCTCATGGCATGTCACCTTTATCAAAATGGGTCGATGATCACTTATTCGTCCGCGTTCTGTGTGAACACCTTGCATGGTACAATCAGCAACGTCAGATTTGGCACACCGGGCTGTCACAGTGGGGAAGACATCACAATGGAGGACGAATATGGTACGGTGGACGGCGCTTCGAGGATGGCACGCTCGAAGAGTTTGATGAAGATTGCACATTCCCATGTCGCGACCTGTCAGCACAATCACCCAGATCAGAAGATGATGCAAAGTATACATACAATTTTGCGGACATCAATGAGCTGTCCAAGGAGTTGGGTATTCCGTGGGAATGCAGTAAGGACGTACCATTTGCAACAACAGCAGTCTTCACCGGTTTGGTATGGGACCTGGAACACATCACTGTCAGCCTTTCGACGGAGAAGAAAGAGAAATATCTCCGAGCTATCCACGACTGGCAAGAACAGACGATGCACACACTCAATGATGTCCAGAAGATCTACGGGAAACTTCTCCACGCCTGCCTGGTGGTACCAAGGGGACGGGCTTACCTCACCACACTGGAGACCATGCTCGGGACATGCCATGATCGTCCATTCGTGCACTATTCCCCCGTTAAAGGCATCAGTGCAGATCTCCAATGGTGGAGTACCCTTCTCCAATCAGCCGTGCTCACAAGACCAATTCCAGGGCCCGTACAGCTCACTGACCTCGGAGCATTCTCGGATGCAAGCTCTGGCATCGGGATTGCCATTGTCATCAATGGGCAATGGAGGGCATAGCGGCTCATACCCGGCTGGCAAACCCTTGATGGAAAAAGAGAGATTGCTTGGGCCGAAGCCATTGGCTTCGAATTATGTGTCCTCGCAATCACCCGGACTCAATGTACTCGTCGCAACCTTAGGATCTACGGTGACAACCGAGTTGTCATTGAAGGCTGGTGGAACGGTAGGAGCCGAAACAGCTCCGTCAACACTGTCTTCAAACGCTTGCATGAACACTTGGAACAGTCAGGTAACTCCGAGTCCATCTATGCAGCATATGTTCCCAGCAGCTCAAATCCCGCTGATGCACCATCGAGAGGGATCTATCCTCCTGGAGACCTTCTCCTTCCCCCAATTGAGCTCCCGCATGGGCTTGACCGGTTCATGATTGACGCAACGCAGCCCTACACCACCACCGAACTTCGCCTCCACAGAGAGGGGCACTATCCGGCAGCCACCGCAAAGTGCATTGATCTCGCTCTCAAGCAGACTCGTGCGCAGGAGCAGTTTGATGCAGACCGACGCCAGGAGGAGCAGTTCAAGCATAGCTGCAGATGGGATGACTAGCAGGAACTCACGTTTCGCAGCTGTCTTGCCCGCTGTCACAACGCCAAATGGTAGACCTCGTGCATATCGTGAAGGATTGGTTCCAGCCCCTTCCGCACTCCGTCCACATTGCCTCGCGCGCGATCGTCTCCGGCTTTGGCAACCATTGGACACTCGTTCAACACGAGACCGTTGTGGACAGCACCTTAACCTCTCAGAGGCAGACCTTGAACGGATATTGTCGGTAATCACAGTATCTTGGGCAGAAGGGACACGTGAGACTTACGGAGCTGGATTGCTGCTCTTCCACATCTTCTGTGATCAACGTAACATTCCAGAGTCGCAACGCTGCCCAGCAAGCTCCATACTGATGCTCACATTCGTGTCAAGTTGCGCGGGTTCATACTCAGGGAAGACACTCGCGAACTATTTCTTCGCAGTAAAGGCGTGGCACACCCTCCACGGACAGCCCTGGGAAATGAACCATACAGAGATGAAGGCAGTGCTTGATGGCGCCGTCATTCTCGCACCGCCAACGTCAAAGCGCCCAAAGCGGCTTCCATTCACCATTGACTTCATCATTGCTCTGCGCTCGACCATGGACCTCTCCCTACCACTTGACGCTGCTGTCTATGCATGCTTGACGACAACGTTCTTCTGTGCAGCATGGCTGGGTGAATTCACCCTACCTACTCTCGGTGCCTTCAACACCACAATCCATGTCAAACGCTCCAACATTCGTCTTGGTGAAGACAGGCACGGGCTTCGCGTCACCGTCTTCCATTTGCCACGAACCAAGTGTTCTCCACAGGATGGTGAAGATGTGTATTGGGCACAACAGGATGGCCTGGCAGACCCAGCAGCTGCTCTCGCTAATCACTTCGCAGTGAATGACCCACCCCTAGGAGGTCCACTATTTGCTCGGCGATATCAACGAGGCAACAGACCTCTAACGCGGACTGACTTTATGAAACGGCTCGAGGCTGCGGCCGCGATTCTCAATGTTCCTTCACTCAAGGGACATGGGATTCGGATTGGTGCTACCTTAGAGTATCTACTCAGGGGAGTCCCATTCGAAGTCGTCAAATCCATCGGCAGATGGAATGGGGAAAGCTTTAGGCTATATCTGCGCCAGCATGCAGTAGTGATGGCTCCATACCTACAAGGCACCCCGATTCTGTTAGATTAGATAATCCATCAGTCTCTTAAGTGTCTAGACTCAAAGCAATGCAAGATGCTGTACACCTAGATACCTATTGATCAGGCTGCGCTATGCACTGCTATGTAGAAGCTATGCATAGCTATGCCTGCCTATGTTCATAACCACAATCCTGTGTTACTCACAGGTTTGTATAGCCACACTCTAGGTAGATATAAACCCCCTAGAGTCCACTCTGAGTCCTCAGTGACTCACTTCTGGACTCTAGGTGAGTAGAGTACTTTGTCCTCAATATTATTGAGTGACTCACTTCTGGACTCTAGCTGTGTTGCCCAGCTCTTCTGTCCTGTTATTTGAGTTCCCTACAAGGTCTGCATATTGCGACTTTATTAGGTTATGAGCCCCGCGCTCTAGCCCCTTTGCTGTTGCTTTGTCTTGGTCACTTTTCTGTGCCTTTCTTGTCCTTATAGTGTGCTGCATACCCTTTATTTACAAAGACACCAACTGTTGGGTCTGTGCACTTCAGTGGGCCAGCCTTTGACCTTCTTAGGAACATCCTGGTAATCATCCCAGTGACCTGAGTGGTTGTACAACTGGGTGTTTAGTAAATACTTACTGGTTACAATTACTATACCTCCTTTCCTGCACACACTCCTGAGGACTATCCTGCACTTTTTCAAGCACCAGACATAATCACACACAACCCTTTACCCCTTTCCACATCATGTCTTCCACCTCTACCCACACTCCCAACTTTGCCAAGCTCAATGACTCCAATTACCCTACTTGGAGCGGTGAAATGGCTGCCTGGTTGCGCTTTGCAAACCTTTGGAGACTTGTCAATGGCAAGCTTCCACAGCCAAAGCTCTCTGGATCACCTACAGCAGCTGAGCAAACCAAGCTAGACACTTGGGAGGCCAATGCAGAGAAAGCAGCTGGTCAAATCTATTTGATGGTGGAACCAGATCAGCGCACTCACTTTGCTGGTGTGGTGGATGACCCTATCAAAATGTGGGAACAGCTTGCAGCTGTTCATCTGCAGAAGAAACCTGGAGCGCGTTTCAATGCTTATGATGATGTCTTCTCCATCAGAAAGCAACCAGAGGAATCACTTCAAGGGCTTGTCAATAAGGTCAATGCTGCCATGCAGCGTGTTAAAGACCTTCGCCCTAATGACTTTAATCTGACAAAGCTGGATGAAGAGTTAACCTCCATGGCTATGATTCGTGCTCTTCCTGTGGAGGAATATGGCGCTTTTACCTCTGCGCTACTTCAGCGTGATATCCTGAGCAAAGATGTTGTCACCCAGGCTTTTGTCACAGAGGAAATCAATCGTCGTCATCGCACCACTTCCTCTCCCAAAGCAGATCAAGCACTCACCACTGCTTCCTCCTCACAGCTCACCTGCGATTTTTGTGAGGGTAAAGGACACACACAGTCCAATTGCTATGCTTTCCAGAATGCTTCAAAGAAAGCCAAGGAAAATCACAAAGAGCGCCGCTCTAAGTGTGGAAACAAGGCAAATGCTACTGCTGCTGCCACCCAGAATACCACTCAGGTTGACCCTACCACTGTCACAGAGTCTGCTGGCAAAGCAAGTCTCTCTGACCCACTTCAGCTTGATGCTGACTTTAACTGGAATGCAGACACAGGCGCCACTTCTCATATGACACCTCATCACCACTGGCTTAGAAATTACAAGCCTTTGGTCATTCCAATCAAACTCGCTGATAACACCATTGTCATGTCTGCTGGGGTGGGAACAGTTGTATTTAATCCAGTGATTGCAGGGAAAGCAGTCAGGCCTGTGGAATTCACTAGGGTGCTGCATGTCCCAAGGCTCAGGAACAATCTCCTCTCTTGTCTGTATTTAGTTCATCAGAAAGGCTTCAGAATTCACATAGAGTCCAAGTTCATGACCTTCCTTCACTCTCGTCAGACTCTATTTGTTGCCTCTATCACAGAGAACTACACTGCCTTTCTTGATGGAACTGTACAACCAGCTCCAGAGTCTGCACAGGCTATAACCACAGTCCCTCTTGATTTAAATCTCTGGCATCGTCGCTTTGCTCATCACAACTATGCCGATGTCCAAAAGATGATTAGAGAGGAGCTAGTGACTGGTCTTATGCTGGATTCAAAGCAGCAGCCTGACCCCATTTGCGAACCATGTCTGGCCGGTAAAATGCATGCCAATCCCTTCCCTACATCGGACAGTCATGCCTCCAAACCCCTAGAATTAATTCACACAGATGTCCATGGACCTCTGCCTGTGTGTACACACTCAGGATATCGGTACTGGATCACCTTCATAGATGATTACAGCCGATTCAGGGTTGTGCTATTGCTAAAGGCTAAGAGTGAAGCCTTTGATGCTTTCAAGCAGTATAAAGCTTATGCTGAAAATCTGCTTGAAGCAAAAATCAAGGCTGTCCAGGATGACAAGGGTGGGGAGTACATGTCCAATGCCTTTATACAGTTTACTCAGGAGGCAGGGATTGAGCGCAGACATACCACACGCAATAGACCACAGCAGAATGGAGTTGCAGAGCGAGCTAATCGCACAATGGACAATGACATCACTGCTATGCTAGCAGAGTCTAAACTGCCTCCTTCCTTCTGGGGAGAATGCATTGCATCTATGGTGCATGTCTGGAACCGTCTGCCTACAGCAGTGGTAAAGGGTGCAACTCCCTATGAGCTGTGGTACAAGCGGAAGCCAGATGTCAGCCATCTTCGTGTTTGGGGCTGTACTGCCTATGTGCATGTGCAGAAGGATCAGCGTATAGGTCTGGGACCACACATGCAGAAATGCGTGTTTATTGGTTATCCTGCAGGATACAAGGGGTGGAAGTTCTACAATCCTGACACCAAAAAGACTATAATCTCAGAACGTGCTGATTTTGATGAGCGCTACTTCCCTGGCCTCAAATGCACTCCTGATATTCCTCCTCCACCCTCTATGTCATTTCCACCTGCAGACATTATTCCTCTACCTGTAGCACCTGTACCTGGACAGGATTTAGGGGGAGATGGTGCACATGTGCCAAATCCTATACCCGGTCCAGTTGCTTCAGAAGCTGATCCACCTGCACCACCTGCACCACCTGCACCTGAGCATCCAGTAACTCCACCACCACCAGATCCTTCAGAGCATCATAGAGTTCCAACTCCTCCTCCATTTGAACCTATAGATCATCGTCCAATTGCTCAGCGCCGGGTACCTCGCAACATTAGGCCCACCTGGAAAATGCGAACTTCACCACCACCTATGCAGGATGCAGAGTCTGAGGACGAGTTGGATGTGATAGATGCAGATGCTGACTTTGTTGAAGTCCAGTTTGCTGGTCTATCTGCTGGAGCAGACCCTCGGACCTATAAACAGGCTATGGGCAGTCCTGATGCTGATAAGTGGCAGCAAGCAGCCAATGAAGAGATTATGTCTCTAATGGCCAATAACACATGGGACATTGTTCCACTGCCACCAGGCAAAAGGGCAATAGGCTCAGGCTGGGTGTTCAAGGTGAAGCACAATGCAGATGGTTCTGTAGAGCGCTATAAAGGCAGATTAGTCGCCAAGGGTCACAGTCAACGCCCTGGCTTTGACTACACAGAAGTCTTTGCTCCCACATTCCGTCAACCTGCATTGCGCCTTATTCTAGCTCTTGCTGCAGCAGAGGATCTAGAACTTCACTCTGTGGATATCTCATCTGCCTTCCTAAATGGAGACTTGGAGGAAGAGATCTACATGCAACAACCTGAGGGGTTTCACCAGGGTGGTCCAGAAATGGTCTGCAGGCTAAATAAGTCACTCTATGGCTTGAAGCAAGGTGCACGCCAGTGGAACAAGAAACTTCATGAGGTGCTCACCAAAATGGGCTTCACTCGTCTTCAGTCTGACAGAAGCATCTATGTGTACATTAGGGAAGATGTGCGCATTATTGTCCCAGTCTTTATAGACGATATGACACTTGCTTCAAAGTCCAAGAAGGCACTTGATGACACTGTCAAGGAGTTAAAGTCATATTTTAAACTCCGAGACCTTGGATCTACCCAGTTTCTGCTGGGCATAGACATTAAAAGAGACCGTGCAAAGCATACCATTTCACTCTCACAGCGCCAGTATATAGTGGATATGCTGGAGCGTTATGGTCTCTCTGACTGCAAGTCTGTCAGCACTCCTATGAATCCTGGAGCAGAGCTTTCAAAGGCCCTTGCACCTCAGACACAGGAAGAGGCAGAATATATGCACAAAGTGCCTTATCTCAGTGCTGTAGGGGCACTGATGTATTTGGCCATCACCACTCGTCCAGACATCATGTTTGCCATTGGATGTCTTGCGCGTTTTAATGCCAATCCTGGTCCTGCACATTGGATTGCTGTGAAGCATGTCTTCCGCTATCTGAAGGGCACAATGGACTTAAGGCTGCACTATGGTCCCAGTGATGTAAAGGAGTTCTTCCTAACCTACACGGACTCAGACTTTGGTGGTGAGAGGGATAACCGTCGCTCCACTGGTGGTTACCTTGTAAAAGTGGGCACAGGTGCTATTAGCTGGAGTAGCAAGCTTCAGTCCCTTATTGCCCAATCCACCACAGAAGCCGAGTACATTGCTGCAGTTGAAGCAGGAAAGGAAATCCTCTGGATGCGTAATCTTCTCACAGAACTGGGGTATACAGTGTCTAAAGCCTCTACACTTTACATGGACAATCAGTCTGCAATCAGTGTCTCTAAAAATCCAGAACATCATGGCAGAATGAAGCACTTGGATCTGCGCTTCTTCTGGCTTCGAGACACTGTGGAGGCAGGTCGAATTGCACCAGTATATATTCCTACTGCAGAGATGATAGCGGACATTTTGACAAAGCCCTTGCCGGCGGCAAAGATTATCTACTGCCGTGAGATGATGGGCTTGAGGATCTAATCGTCAAAAACCCGAATCTTGCCGGATAGAGCATATAACTCGGACATTGTCGGATCGGTGTTTTCTCGGATCATCTGTCTGCCACATATACCACTCTCACTGCTGCGGTTCAAATCATCTCTTTGCCCCTTCCACCACTATGAAAACCTTCGCCATTGCCCTTCTTATTACTGCAGGGGCGCTCTTCCCTGCCATTCTCCTTCTTTCTTTTTATTATGCCATCACCCGTATCTGGCCAGCACCACCCCCGCTCGACATCGAATTGGAACGCATTACCATTCCGGCATCCAATCAACTGACTCATCACATGCTTGTTCACCCGGCTATGCCACCTCGTGCTCACATTCGGCGACACTCACTGCACTTCACCACTCAGCAGTTCGATGAGTTGGACAACCTTGCATCTATGATGCTGCGTGACAGCGAGATGGAAGCCGAACATCCATTCAAGTCTAAATCGTGCGACGAGGAACATTGGGATGTAGTGGAATGAGTGGGTTCAGGGGGAGGTATGTGGAGCTCTTGCATTCTGTTGAAGAGGGAAGACTCGTTGGATTAAGGGGGAGTGTTAGATTAGATAATCCATCAGTCTCTTAAGTGTCTAGACTCAAAGCAATGCAAGATGCTGTACACCTAGATACCTATTGATCAGGCTGCGCTATGCACTGCTATGTAGAAGCTATGCATAGCTATGCCTGCCTATGTTCATAACCACAATCCTGTGTTACTCACAGGTTTGTATAGCCACACTCTAGGTAGATATAAACCCCCTAGAGTCCACTCTGAGTCCTCAGTGACTCACTTCTGGACTCTAGGTGAGTAGAGTACTTTGTCCTCAATATTATTGAGTGACTCACTTCTGGACTCTAGCTGTGTTGCCCAGCTCTTCTGTCCTGTTATTTGAGTTCCCTACAAGGTCTGCATATTGCGACTTTATTAGATTCTTGAGCCATTCACGCACTACACAATGCCGCCCCCTCGGTAGTGCTTCCAGGTATGTACGTTCGCCCGTCTCCTAGTATGGGGGAGTCTAAGACTTCGCTTAAACGCGTCGCGGGGCTCCTAGTCACTGGGTATCTCAGCTCATCTCAGACTTTTCCCCCCTCATAGGTCCGGACCGATGTTTCTGGTCGAAGAACCTCACGGTTTTTGCCCGTACAACCTACTCTTGTTCTCGTCTATGCCCGCATCTTCCTTACAAGCTTACTAATATTCTATTGTTAATCCACACGGAATTGACGTGCATAGACATGGCAAATTCTGGCAGTACATATTCTTAGATAAACAACTCGCATTCACCGTTCCGAGTGACAATAGATAAGGGCGGTGTACATAGTGCAAGAAGGGAAGACATAGCTTTTCACTGAGGGAGGTCAGACCAAACCGGAGACATCTCGCGCCTCGACGATGCAGAGCAATCCTTCGTCTGTACATTCCCGGATCTTAAATGCTTCGACACCGCAGTCGCCCTCGGTGCATGATAACACTTGCATATCTGCATCCGTAATGCTCCGACCAGCAACACACTCCCCCGATCTTGCACTGGCAGAATGCTTCTTCCAAGGTACCATCCGGATGGCGTTCACGGAAGTGCAGGTGTAGAAGGCTAGACCTCTGGTGAGCATTTCCTGTTTGACTTCATGGAAATGTTGCAATAATGCGGTGTTGGATGACGGCAGGGGTACGACAAATTTTCCCCCCTGCGCTGCAGGAGACGGAAGGCTTACTGTGCACATCGATGTGGTAAGGCAACATAGCTCAGACAGAAAAAAAGGTGAGTCACCAGGTGAGGCGGTCGACCTGCAGATCGAAGTATTCGCATTGCTCGGATGGTGGGTCACCTTCTGTGGTGCAATGACGTCGACACTCTCAGAAGACGCTGTATGGGATGATGAGGTGTGTGTCTTGCTGCGCTGTCGGTGCGTCACTTTGTCACTTGTACTGGTGCATGCAGATACAGCCGCTGTTGAAGTAATAAGGGCGCAAGGCGCAGCACCGCTCGGGAAATGAGAGTGAGTGGGGAAAGTAGTGGTGCTGTGCGGACTGTTCCAGGTGACGACGCGGGCCTCCCACGGTGTTTTGTCACTGTCCATTTTCAACGTAGCTGAAGCCTTGCCAAAAGTCGGTGATGGCGAGAGGAACAATTTGTCTGCAGCATGTTCATCTGTATACAGATGCTGCTTGGAATATTTGTCGGAGGTATCGGAAGCCATCGGCATTTCTGGTTGAATCTGAGCTAGGGCTGCTTGAGTTAGCCACAGGTAAAGGTAAGGGTACATGAGCCAAAAGGACACCCACCTGTCTCTCGCAAGGACTCTTCAAGTTTGGCCTTAACTTGTAGCCGTTTTCTTTCCTCGGCAGTGGTCGACTGACTCGTGTGTGGTCAGCATCGCGAAGTATATCAAGGGTTCAGAGCTCTTACAGAAATTTCGGCTCGAGCACCTTTGGATTCCATACACACATAAGAAATACTCCATGATAATCCCCTAAGCATTGCCTTGCACTCTTGAAGGAGTGAAGTAGCACAATGTGCCTGAAGCCGGAGAGACTCGGTTTGATTGCGCAATCTAGAAAAGTAGCCCGTGATATATCAGTTCCACGAAATTCAGGGATAAAAATATTTACGAATAAAGCGAAAGGCTCGTCTTCCGTTCGAAGGGTTTCCCAGCAAAAAGACCCTCCCTGAGAGACCTCCGCCACATGGTCTCAGTTTCGAGTAAAACTTCGTCGAGTTCCTTCAACTTCTGCGATGGAAGCTGCGACAGTATAATCGCATAAAACACAGGAACGGAGGACAAGAAACCCAGTATGCCGAAGACGAGGCCTAAAATATCAAAAGCAGAGGCCATGTCATATAATTCCGCGTGAGGTGAAGTGAACGCGATAGAATGTATCACGTAATCGGGATTGAGATGAGCTCACGCGCAGGTGAGTGGTGGTAGTCTGGAGGAAGGTGCTGAAATGCCGATGCACTCATTTTTTTCTCCCTTGAAATACTTGAAGTTTCCAGTCTTCCAGCACGCTGCAGAGGGGTGTAAGGCGCACCGTGCCACGGGCTTATAAGATAGACCCATCTCATTCTCGACTACTTCACGTGACCTGAATTGTCACGCTTGGCTGGTGAACAGCACAAAATGGCTTTCTACGCCTTCCACAGCACTGTATTTAAAAATCTGCTATGATCATATTGTTCAAATGACAGTTTCTAATGATATGATCGTGACTTTTTTTTTTCAAAGTTGATGTGGAAGGTGTAGTTTGCTCAGGACTGGTTTTCTCCCCTGCCAAAATGGACGCGGCGCGGGCTAAGTGTGACAACATTTGGCAGTGGCACGTGATATGTAACACTGTGACCATAGTAGTCGAAAATGAGATGGGTCTATCTTACCGTGACGTACAAAGTTTCCTTATCTAGACTTACACGTGCCATGCATATCCTGGCAAGCCCCATTGGTTGTCTCTGTCTCTGTCGCTGTCGTTTCTTTGAAAACATACTAACTGCTACCGGGTACTCCTAACTCCTGATGAAATGCTCAGTCTCAGATTTTCCGTCTTGGACACTCTGCACTCCAGATGAGGCCCAAGGTTACGCGAAGGCCACCGCAGAAGGGTTATATGCCCTTCTGCCGAATGAAATATTCTGGAGAGATCGTCAGGTCTACCTGGAAGAGCATGGATATCAATTAAGACCTCGTTATAGGCCTGGCTGGTCTCCGTCGTGGCTGGAGATGAATGTCACTCCTTCCTTCTGCGAGGATTCCATATCATTGCTGGTGTGTCTCGATGAATTACAGTAGTGGGCCACTCTTCACATGATGTGCGAATAGTGGCGCGATGTAATTGATGCGACTCGCAAAGCGGACGGCGAGCTTGTGTCTCTGAAGAGCGTGGAGAAAGACGGGAGCGAAGTTACTATTGCTCGATTCCTCTCCCGTCCAGAACTTCGTTTGGATCCCACGAATCATTGCGTTCCTATGGTAGACATTCTTCCTGATCCGATTGACTCCAAAGCAGCCATCTTGATTATGCTGTATTTGCGACCCTTCAATGATCCTGGTTTTGGTGCCATTGGGGAAGTGGTTGAATTTATGAGACAAACGCTCGAGGTAGTAATATCCATCCTCGGAGATTGCTGCAGACTTTCCTAACTTTATTTGAAGGGCCTTTGCTTTCTACACGACCAAGGTGTTGCGCACCGGTAAGCTGCACTCTGCATTACTTCATTTCGGAGATTACTGATCTCACACCAAGTGATTGTGCGGCTGCAAACATTATGATGGATGCTCGTTCATTGTACCCTCATGGCCATCATCCTATTCGCATTGCGGCAAGTCAGGATGGCATACACATGTTGGCGCCGTTATCTCGCTCAGACTGTTCCGTCCGATACTATTTCATCGACTTCGGCATCTCCTCATTGATCAAAAAAGGAGAGTCTCCATACGTTCTTGGTAGGCAAGGGAGAGACAAGGAATTGCCAGAACTTTCCTCAGAGATTACATATGATGCCTTTAAGGTAGATATATTCACTTTGGGAAACCTCTACAAGAAAGAGTTTCTCCAGGTGAGTGACAAGGCTCTGCCGGTTGCGTTTCCCAACTCTTTTAATCTCCAGGCATACCTTGATCTGGAATTTCTCGAGCCTCTTGTACAGAAGATGACCGCTCACAGTCCAGATCAACGCCCTACTGCAGCGGTCGCTTTCGCTGTGTTTGAGAGTATTCGACACCGACAAAGTAGTTCTCTACTACGATGGCGTCTTCGGAGAAGGGATGAAACTGCCCCTGAGCGCGTGGTATATGATACCATGGCTGCTGCGCGGGAGGGAATATACCGCTTGAGGCATTTCGTAAGGTAGACTGCATTACTAGACAGTAAGTGTCCCGATACCTTTGCATCTTCGTTGAGGTGATATTGTCAAGTCAGTACATGGACTTACGCCATCGCATCTCGCCTAGAGCTTCTACCAATTGAGATGCGCTATCGCCGCGCAATTGGTGCTTGTGAGTACGTCGCTTCGAAATCCTCAGACGTGTCTTGATCTTACCACGTCACCCACAGTAGAGCGTACGGGTCGGGACCTGTGTGCTGCACTGCAACCGGCGTTCATTAAGGACAGAGACCAGAGTGCGCCTGCGCATGTTCTCGCCGTGCCACCCTGTCCGAGCGGGTGTGGGTGGACGAGCGCGGGACGCGAGCTACTCTTGTGTGGACGCAGTTTCACGCGTCGGAGGGACTGGTTATACGTTTGAAGGGTGCCGTGTTTCACAATTCGTCCTTCGTACCCACAAGTGAGGACACGTCGTTCAACGTGTAGAGCATTTCGGACGCGCGGACGGGCAAACTAGCGTGATCATACCGAGAGCCGAATATCACCAGTTGACAAAAGTCACACCGAGAACTGTATGGGCGTGGCATCCAAAATCAATTGCAGTTTGTAAACTCCATGGATGGGACCTTAGTGCCAACAGCTTTAAGCTTTAGGCCTTTTAAGAGTGTATACGGTGTGCCCGAGTCAGTGTTCCGCACTACACCATGGAGCAACGAATCAATTTGGAGAATCAAGATCTAGTTATGCTATCTATTCAGTTGGAGTAACAACATTAATCGTGAGAGTACCGAGGTCCCCACGCTAACAAATAAACGATTGTCTTCCGCTATATGCATGACCTCACAGAGCTCCGTTCAGTCCCTAGCCCAACTCAACATGGAGCGCTGTATCTGGTTGTATGCGTACAACTGGGACGATAGATCGTAAACGCAGCTTCAACGCGCTCCAGCGGTCAAAGGAGATCTTCGACTTCGTGGAAGATCTTGCGAGCCGCATCCATCGATGGATCATTCCACAGGTCGTACACCGAGTCGCTATTGTCAACAAGTCGAGCATCGGTGCTGCTCCGGCGCTTGTCACACAACCATTTGACGAGGGCATACCCCACCGTCCATGGATGATCATTGGGAGGCCTCGCCTCCTGATACCAGTGAAGGTTTCTCAAAAACATCTCCTTTCCGAACTCGCATAGATAAAATCTCCCAGTGTTCCATGAGTCCACGACTGCCGGGTTCGTGTCACGTAGCAGAACATAAGGAAGGACCCAGATGAACGACTCCACATCGTGGCGATAAAGGTGAGTGATTTTCTCAGAGTAATAATCTTGGGTTAGCAAATCCAGTGCCATAAACGGGACAGTCACGGTACGATTCTTGCCGCACGGCGTCAAGGATCCTGGAGAACGCGCGACGTTGAGATCAAGGTCGCTCAATATGCCGCGCTTGGTGGCACGATCGTACATCAAATTGCGCAGACTGATGTCGCTACGTCGTATGCCAATGGACCAGAGATGAAAGTGACCTGGCAGAAAATGAGTTGCATGCATCCCATGAATAAAACATACTCACGACGATAGCAATCGGCCCACGCGCTCATAAACTCTTCTCCTTTCAGCTCATCAATGCATCCGAACTGACGAGTCTCCACAGCGGGTGGAATACGAAGAGTGCGGACAGTGTTGCTTTCCGCTTGGATCTCCAATGATTTCGATTCCGCGCTGATGCAATCCGAATAATAGTTGCAGTCGCTCGTAACATCGAGGACTTGGATCATCTTGGTCTCAAATACATTCGCCGTATGTTCTTTGGATACACGAATGGTCTCTGCTTTGGCGCTCCAGGATAATCGGGGGCAGATTATTTGGACCAAACGTTTCTTGGCGTTAGGAGGCAATGTGCATGCAGCACGGAGTAGGGTGATCCCAAAATCCAAAGAACTGCAATACTCGCATGATCGACGGGTTCCACCATCGTCCTTCGTGCGATGGACATGGGAATAGTTGACTGAGCGACGACATGGACATTCCCCAATAAGGGTCACGTCTGTGCATATTTTGGATTGAATACTATTGGACATATCATCGGGGTGAGATCTCTGCGCAGAGGAAGGAGACATCACATACCGTGACTGGACAGTAAGCATTCTTGACTTGAACTGGTGTTGCAAACAGACCAAGTGTCGGCAGGTGTGGGTGAGGTCGAGAGGGAGCTATAGCTGATAGCAGGACTCAGCCCCTGGGTCATGCGTGTTTCCGCACTGCAAACGCGTTGCAATATTTCTTCACCGAATATGGAACGGCTGTTCGGGCCGGATCACACTCCGGAGAATCCTCGAGATCAAGATCGTCTTGATCGTCGTTCGCCCGTGACAATGACGCCGGATGATATTCGGAGGACGAAAACGTCCGTCCACTCTCACCAAGCATCTTGCATCTGAACACTCAAGATGTCGTTCAGTCCAATCCGCTCGGCTCCAACAGACGTATGTTTTCTTTTTTTTACGAAACAAAACATACAACAGCCCTGGCTGTCTACTCATGTCACCAACATCCAGCTCGTGTCGGTCGCTGCGCAGGAAGAGAGGCTCATCTTTCCGTCCTTCACCGCGCAGATCGCTTTCGACCTTGGCTGCCTCATTCGCACCAGGCTTCAGGCGGCGTCGCCCAAGCCCGCCGTCGTAAACATCACGCTGGCGAACAGCAACCAGCTACTTTTCCATGCCGCGACCGGTTCCGGCACGCAGGCAGACAATGACCAGTGGGTTGCGCGAAAGCGTGCAGCAGTGCTCCGGTGGGGTTCGAGCACGTACGCGCTGCACCTCAAGTTCAACGGCAACGAGGCACTCTTCGCGAGTAAAAGCCAGCTGGGGCCGCGCGCAGGCGAGTATGCGATCCACGGTGGAGGCATGCCGGTGAAAGTACGTGGAGTGGAAGGTGTCGTCGGAGTAATCGTGGTAAGTGGTCTGACGATGCAGGAGGACCATGAAGTTATCGTCGAGGTCGTGGAGGAGTATTTGAAGAAGCTTCAGTAGAGTGCTGAAATACGAGAGGAGTCAAAGTCGAAGATAACGCTGTAATTGTAGATGAGTAGGAATTGTGACAGACGTCAGAAACAACACTCTTTGGCGCTGCCTTGGTGGGGTGAACCATATGTTCGGCAGTCGACCCTAAGAGATTCTGAATAGCAGTACGCGAGAGGTCTTGTTCAGTTAAAGGACAGTTCAAACCGAGAAACAGCAGCACATATACGTACAGGTATTCTTGTAAGAATGGTCGCGAATCATTGACCGAGCTGTCCAAGTTGCCAGTGAATATGAGACGCGGGGCCCGAAAGCTGGCCGCGCGAGAGAGACGGTACTCATTCGATCCGAGGGTCGGGAGCCATTTGCACCCGGCTCGCCAAGAGGCCCTTAACCGAAAATTATTTCCACCTAAGAAACTGCTAGTAGGAGGTGAGTGAAGGCTTATTCTCATGAGTTCCAGCCTTACAGTTGAAACCTATCGCAAAGGAGAGCTTGCAGCGCGTATCGGCGGGTGGTGTTCGGCCGGCGGTGGCGGGGCGGTCGGGGTCGGGCGCTTAGTAGGTGTGATGTCGGGTCACACAGCTAACAAACAGGTGACATACTTATGTAATCCTTTTTTGTAGTTCCTCGCCTTCCATATATAGGGCACATTCCCACGGAGGGAGGGGGCTTGTCCTTAACTGGATTTTCTGACCTCATGTGCGGAATTTGATTTTTGCATGCCTCTTGCGGCTCGCCACAGAATCGCCCCGATCTGCATCCCGTGTATGTTTAGGCGATTAGTTTCCTCTTTAATAAATTCCTTGGGCTTACCTTCCCTTACTTGCGGCGATACTGCAACGAGGAAGTAACATTTATGCTCCGGAGTCGCGTCAGCCGGAGTTTGAGCCTGCCGCATCACCATCAGGATCGCGCGCCACCGACGCCCAACTGGCTATGCTCCTCCGCTCGGACAAGGTCAGATACTCGCACTGTATGTCAATTAGAGAGATCTCCTCGTCCCATCTTGGTGGATATATTGCTTCTTTGTATGACCTTCCATGAATAATGATCTGGCCGATGCTGGTTTCTGGATTACGTTGCCTCTGCGTCCCTGGTATCCGAGCATGCCAGAGGTTTGATGTACTGATTTTGTGATTCCAGTTCCAGCATGTTTGATCGGTCCTGAACCGCATCATTGCCGAATGATCCAGCTACGTTGGATGACAGATAAATACGAGTATCCTCTCAGTGATGCACCTGTCTGGACATTGTCCTGACTTTCCGCGAGCCCAGTAAGCACTATGTCCTCCTCGCCGCCCTCGATTCCCCTCGGCGCAATTGCCACCATGAACCTCGATCCAACGATGGGGGCATTGTTCATTGGCATCCTGCTTGCTGCTATGTAAGCACTCTGGTCTCCAAGTCGTTGCTAGCTCACTGACCCACGCACCCATCAGATTTCACGGTATCACGACACTGCAGACGATTTTTTATGTACTTGTCCTTCTTATCCTCGCATGCCTGATGACTATGCTGACTGGTTTGAAGTACACGACATATCCGAAGGATAGAGGTTTATTTAAATTCTTGGTGCGTATCGCTACAATGACAAGTGTGTCTTGAGCTAGACCGAGCGTTTTTAGGTTGCATTTGTATGGGCGCTAGACACTCTATCCTTGGCAATGGTGTCATTCGCAGTATACATGTATGTTATCAAAGACTTCGGGAATCCACTAGCTCTTATGTATATAAACTGGTGAGTCGCCAATTCTTACCGATTGAAACCCGAGGAGATTGTGTACTGAACTATAGATGTCTAGGGGTGTCGCAGTGCGTTATTTCCGGCTTCTGTGTATTCTCTATTTTTCCATGATTGACCATTTACATTGAAGGCCGAACCAGCAGTATCTGTGAGTATTTATATGCAATCGTAGTGCGCTACGACTTACGTGACTCCAGGGAACCATAGCTCTCATTGTTCACCTGTATGCACACCTGAAACCCATTTCATACGTATGTACTGAATCTTCTTGCAGCTTCCTTTCATCTCGTATTTGGAAGTGTAAGACCGTTTTATGCGCTTATCTTCGTCTTCTGACGATTTACTGGTACAGTGGACAGAAGACTAGCATCTTTCGCCATTATCCTCGTAAGTATTACGCCTTTGTGCACAGGATATTGCTGATCGTCATCAAGTCAGTTATCGCTTTCGTGCCGTTTGGTGAGTAGTCGTTGATTTTCCATGATTTTGGAAATTAGCTTAAGCCGTCCCTCACTAGGCATCAGCTTCGGTGAGTATCTCTCAGTGACTCCACTGGAAGACCGCTCACAAATCATTCTACAGCCTCTGTGGGAACAATGTGGGTAATGACCGACATCTGACAGCTGAGCATATAAGTTGACTGCACTGCAGATTGCACAAGGGTTCCCATTCTCTCTGGACCGATGACCGAGACCTGCGCGTGGGTTCCACATTATGCGCTGCGAGGCCGATATGTCTGACGTACACCGTTTAAAGTGGATGTCCATCACTGCAGATGTCGTGACGGTCGCGCTTGATCTTGGAATTTCTGCTACTATATGTGTCTTACTGTACAAGAGTCGAACTGGATTTGGCAAGTGAGTGTCGTTGTGCTTTCCGCCTCCAGTAACGAGTCGTTGACGTTTTGCGTGGCCGAATTGTAGGACAGACAAGATTATTACTTTCTTAACAATTTACACCATCAATAGCGGACTACTTCCCACGTATGCAATAATTCTGTGTGTGTTGAATATTCAGCGCTCATCTCGAATTATTGCAGCATGGTCAGCATGGGTGGAATGATCGCGGTCAGTACGCGTGGCGTTACTGTACCTGTATTTTTGGCTTATTCGTTTGCTAGTACCTGGTATCCCCGAGCACGCTCATTTTTGAGGCCTTCATTGTGACTATCTCTAAGGGTATGTTGGACCTCACTGCGCCTACTGTCCGTTTACTGACACCACATAACGTAGCCTATAGCAACACGTTCCTTGCTACGTATGTCATGATGCCTCAACTCTGTTCTGCAGATCACTGTAACTGACTATTCCTAACAGACTGAATAGTAGGCAGTCTATTATGGGTCGTGCAATGGACGATTCGAGTCTTGCCGCGACGTCCGGTAAACAACAGCTCCATCTTCCATTGCGAATCCCACCACTCTCTTCGGTCAAAGAGTCCGACTTTGTTGACACCGACTCCGAAGTTGTTTCCCTGGCAAGTGTAGTTGTCTTCCTCGTGTTCAGGGTATTGACCAGCGTTGCGAACTTGGTAGACGAAGTTGGGACATGGTGACCGGAGTCGCGGTAGCAAAGGCGGGATCGAGGTCCATACTATGGTCGAACAGATGGTGGAGCCTTGATGGACACGGTAAGCAGTGATGGCCACACATTGTAATCACTGCTGACAGACGCATCATCGGAAGTCGCATGAGCTGGTCTACAAATTTAACTTATGTATTGTGTTCTTGGCAAACAGTACTAGTGTATCTTCACTTAATAATTACATGTGTGTTGTACAGTAGCAGCGAGGACATAGTGGACTTCTGAACCATGTGTCTGACATCTGCGTGTCGAAACACTTGCGGTACTGGGATTTAAGTGACCTGTATATACTACTCTGTCATATTGAGACAGAAACTACATCAACCCAGCAACTCGTCGCGTGTTTGAGGAACGCGACTTGTGATATCTTCAGATTTCCTTCGAATGAGACCATCATGTGCCGCTGATGAATGTATTGAGACAGAAGGAACGAAGGCAGCAGACATCTCACAGACAGGTATCAGCGCAGCAAAACAAAAAAGTAGAAGTTATTTAGGGTTAAAGCGATGCTTATAGAGTATGTAAGGTCCGTGTAAAAGTTCGATGTCCATGTCCATGTCCATCAATCCAGACCGAGAAGGCGCACGAATACGGGATAGCAGCTGGAGTAGACGTACTCTCCATTATTGTCTGCAGTTGGTTGGAAGACCACATTGTTCTGCGCATTTGCGCCGTCACCCGTGAGGCAGAGAGAGAAGCCGTCTGTCTGCTCGTTGACAGCAAGCATAGGGTACATCGAGCCTCCATTAGGATCCGTGTCGGCCTATATAGCGGCGGTCAGCCCTTAGTGTACAGGCGTAGGAAGCTGCTCAACTCACCACAGCACAGTAGATTTGAGCACTCGGGTCGAGATCCTGAGACTGCGTCGAGTACTCAAACGTGGGTGGCGAACCAGCAGCAACACTGAGATCAGAAGAGTACATTCCTGATTCCTCGTAGTTTGGCAGTAGTGCGCCACTGTTGAGAGAGAAGCTCGGAAACTGGTTATAAGGATAGGAAGCGAATGTCTACGTGTCACCGCGAGAACGTTAGAAGTTTTTCCAGAGATATATCAAGACAACAGACCGAAAGCACTCCGAACTCCTTCCCCTCTGTGCTCCCCGCTTGACCGAGTACGAGTTGAGCGCCACCTGAATCCGGAGTAGTGGCATTGAATGCGGAGAGCGTGAAGTTCCGCGCTGTGTCGAATGCGCCACCACCAAGATTTGCACACCATGATCCACTACTCTGGCGAACCTGCAAGACAGGTAGAGCCACAGCGTATACGCTAAGAGTCAAAAGAGTGACAGTGGTCCACATCATGTACGAGATTTTCATAAAGACCTAAGTGGCGACGTCGCGAGCAAAGTGTTTTTGTACGATGTAACCTCCCTAGCAAAACCATGATACTACTTACCTGGATGACTCGACGGGAAAGATTAATGGCCAACTGCAGCCGGTCAAGAGCAAACCAGGGCAGGCAGGCGCGGACACGCCCATGTTGGACACTCCCGATTAGATCTGAAAATAAGTGAGAATAAAGTACCTCCCTTATAGAGGTGACAACTCCCAAATTTGGGATGTCGGCAAACAAATTTTGCTTTGAACGACTGTCTTTCTGCTCACCTCCATCGCGCACAAAATGCAGCCTGTTTCTCGCCCTGCTTCAACTTCAACTCGACCAGCGATATCGCCAACTAGTCGCCCCCACCAGGTGAACACACAGACAAAAGTATTTGACACCAGCCATGGCCGACTCCTATGCATTGCCGATATTCGTGGTCGCCTTTCTGCGCTAAATGATCTCGCTCGAGAGGCTAATGCGTCTGCAATCATTCATACCGGAGATTTTGGTTTCTTTGGTGTGTACAGGGTCGTATTTTGGACCAACATTCGTCCTAATCGCTTGCAGAGGCACACAGCCTTGAAAGAATCAATGAGAGGACTCTCCGCCACCTCACGATGTACTCGCCGCTCATTCCGACGGCGCAGCGGAACCATCTACTATCGAACGACAATCCGCCGTCGGTGATTCGCTCGACGGTGACCATCTCGCTGCTATCTGAGTTCCCCCTACTGCTGTCGGGCCAGATCAAGCTGCAGGTGCCGGTGTTTACAGTATGGGGTGCGTGCGAGGATGTCAACGTGCTGGAGAAATTCCGGCTGGGCACGTACGAGATCGAGAACCTGCACGTCATCGACGAGGCGACGACGCGGTGCATAGACATCGGCGGGGTGAAGCTGCGGCTGCTCGGGCTGGGCGGGGCCCTGGTGCCTCACAAGATGTTCGACAACGGGGACGGGAAAGCGACGATCGCGGGCGGGCAGGGCACGATGTGGACGACGGCGCTACAGATAGGGGAGTTGGTGGACACGGCGCAGCGAGTGTTCGACCCGACGGAGACGCGGCTGCTGGTGACGCACGCGAGCCCAGGGCGGGAGGGGATTATAAATCAGCTCGGACTCGTGCTCAAGGCGGACCTGACGATCTCCGCGGGGCTGCACTTCCGGTACGCGTCCTCGTACAACGAGTTTAGCGTGCAGGGCGACTTTGACGGTCTGCGGCACAAGTTGCTGATCGGCAAGGAGGGCTTCGACAAAGTGTGGGAGACCGTGAAGAGTCAGGTGGACGCGGTTATTGACGAGCCCCAGAGGGTGCTCCTCGACAAGGCGTTCTCCGTCGTTGAACGCATACCGCCGCAATCACACGCGACGCAGCCCGGGCCCGGACAGTTCCCTGGCGAAGAGCCCGCTTGGAAAAACTGCTGGAATTGGAACTTGTGTGACGCCGCGTACGGCTCGCTCGTACTCGATATCAAAGACGGGCGGGTCAGCGCCGAATTGAAGAGCCAAGGTGTGTAGTACCACACTCATGTGTCATACTTTATTTTTTCTGAAGGTTATACAGGTTTCAACTATGCATATCGCCGCACTGCGACGCCGTCTACTGCCACTGCAGGTACCCCAAGCACGGCTGCATCTGCGCTCCCTGCCTCTGCCGGTGGTGGGCCTTCTTCGAGAGCAACTGGTACACCAATTGCGTCCGAAAAGCCCCTTCCTCCTCATTTCGCCACCAAGTCAACGACCTCTACCCCGCCGCCGCCACAGTCGCAAAGTGTCTCTGGGCGCGAGACCCCCAGGGATCCCAGGCTCAATGGTGCACCGAACAGCACAGCAGGTCTAGACAAGGCAGAAAAAGAGCGCTTGAAGCGGGAGAGAAAGAAGGAGCGGAAGCAGCAGGAACGTGTTGAACGCGAGGCTGCAGCCGCTAAGGAGAAGGAAGGGCCGGGTGATACAGCGCCCTCCGGCCCTAGTGCCAGCAGCCCCACATCCCCCGCCGCAGCGGAGAAAAGTGAGGTGGACGTTCCCCTACAACCCAAGTCCGGTAAGGCTACGCCGGAAGTACCATCTGGATCTGCACCGCCGCGGGAGGACGGGGTGACGTCTCCTGCGACGGAGAGTACGGGCGGCAGAACGCCCACGAGTAGAAGGCCGGCTAGGAATCCATGGACGATCTTCATGAGGATGACAGTGCCTGCAGGTGAGCAAGAGGTGAGGGAATTCTTCGGGGAGGCCAAGGTTGGGGTAAGTGCAGCGTTAAAATACAAAGGTAACGCAGATTAACTTATCCATAATACAGATTACGCGCGTCAATTACCCGCAGAACTTCCCTGGACGCGCGCAAAAGATGGTATATGTGGAGTTCGGAGATGAGGACGCTATGAAGGCTGGCTTGGAGAAGCAGGGAGAAGTATGTTATCTCGCATCCTGCGCTCTTTTATCAATCTACTGATGCATCGTCACCTCATTTTGCAGAAGTTGAATGATGCTATACCGGAGCTGAAACAAGCGACGGATAAGGAGTCGCGCAACGCGGAGAATGGGGGTCCTCTGAGAGGCTTTGGTGGGCGTGGGCGAGGCGGCCGGGGCGCGTTTGCCGCAAGAGGATTCGCTGCTGCAGGATTGACGAGAGGCACCCCTGCCGAGAGAGGACGACCAAGCGGTGAAGATGGTCCCAAGCCATCGGAGGGCTCGTGAGCTATGGGTGTGGAGATAAGTTCTACTTTTTGTGATGTATTCTTCCTTGCAGTTTGTTGGTTGACACTTGGAGACTCCTTTATTTTCCATGTGCTATGCTGTTCTTGATGTTGTTTGTTCTGCTTATGCTGCGCCACGGATATACTGCACATTCATAGTTAGTATGGTCATGGTAATTCTAGATCCTTATGCACGTCTTTCAAATGAGTTTTCCTTACGATACTGCTCTACTCTCTTCATCGCCGTCGTTATTTATCCTGGTCCACGTCCTTGTAAGATCTACATAAAACATACGTTATGTTTTCCGTGAGGTCCGGGTATGTGCGTCTTCCGAGGCGGAGTGCAGCGGGCGCTTATCCACGTGATTACCCCAGATTCTGACCCGTTAGTACTGAGCGGGGCGGCCGGTCTGGGGAGCACAAACTCGCCGTCGGCCTACTTTTCCCCTACAGCGACCCTCTCCCATCGCCATGTTGCGCACAGCTGCTCGTGTCATCAAGCCCTCTGCATCGCGCCTGCGTAGCGCGGCGTTGGCTTCCAATGTCTCTTCAAGGTTCGTTCGCTTTGATGCACTGGAACCGTCATCTATTTATTGGGCATCTGCCAATCGAGCCGGACGAGCTGTATGAGAACCAGCTCGGGCGGATTTGCGGTGAGACTTCTAGTAGTTCTTACCTTTGGCTCTCAGTAGGTCATTCTCGTGCTCGCATGCACGCGCCTCGGAGGGCGTTCTGAACTCTCTCGACACGTTCACCGAGGAGGAACAGATGCTCCGCGAGTCCGGTACGTCTGCTTGCGATATTCATCGCCAGGAATCATGGATTGTTAGCTGAACTGCGTGTTGTATAGTCGCACGATTCGCACAGGAGGTCATTGCTCCTAAAGTGCGTGACATGGATGAGGCAGAGTTAATGGACCCCTCCGTCATCAAGGGCCTTTTTGAGCAAGGGGTACGTGCATTTATCTGTGAAATGTTGTCTCACCTCTGTTGTGGATACACTGGACGTAGTAAAATTGTATCAATTCTACAACTTCTTGCGAATTAGTTACGCGTTTATCAGCAGGACTAATTGAATCTCATATTCTCAGCTCATGGGTATCGAGACTAGCGCGGACTACGGCGGTGCTGAGTCGTCTTTCACGTCCGCCATCATCGCAATTGAAGAGCTCGCCAAGGTCGACCCATCTGTGTCCGTCCTGTGCGACGTCCACAACACGCTCGTCAACACGATCTTCCGCAAGTACGGGACTAAGGAGCAGAAGGATAAATATCTTCCAGAGCTTGCCGAGTCCAAGGCGCGTCCTACTCTCTGCACCACGCATTTCGCTGACCAGCAATCCAGGTTGGGTCGTTCTGCCTTTCGGAGCCCGCGTCGGGCTCGGACGCCTTCGCGCTGCAGACGCGTGCGCGTAAGGACGGAGATCACTGGGTGATTAACGGCACGAAGATGTGGATCACCAACTCGTATGAGGCCGACATCTTCCTGATCTTTGCGAACGTGGACCCGAGCAAGGGCTACAAGGGCATCACCTGCTTCGTCGCTAACAAGGACATGGGCATCCAGATCGCGAAGAAGGAGCAGAAGCTCGGTATCCGTGCTTCGTCCACTTGCTCGCTGAGCTTTGACGACCTACGCATCCCTGCGGAGAACGTCATTGGTGGCGAGGGTAAGGGGTACAAGGTATGATATCAGCACCTCCATTTCATCGTCGCGCTCATGGCTTGTTTGGTCAGATTGCCATCGAAATTCTGAACGAAGGTAAGCACGGGCATAATGGTTCCGCCCGAGTTATGCTCATCACGTGCAGGTCGCATCGGCATTGCGGCGCAGATGCTCGGTCTCGCACAGGGTGCGTTTGACAAGGCAGTCCCTTACACGTATCAGCGGTCGCAGTTCGGCCAGCCCGTCGGCACGTTCCAGGGAATGGCGTTCCAGCAGGCGGAGGCCGCAATTGAGATTGAGGCGGCGCGACTGCTGACATATAACGCGGCACGCAGGAAGGAGGAAGGCCGCTCGTTCGTCCGCGAGGCGGCCATAGCCAAGTACTATGCCAGCCAAGTTGCGCAGCACGTCTCCGGGGCGGCGATCGAGTGGGCGGGTGGCGTCGGCTTTACGCGGGAGACCGGTATTGAGAAGTACTGGCGGGACTCGAAGATTGTACGTCGTTCACTGGTCTCGCCCCTCTTGTCTGACTGACCACTTCCCACAAGGGTGCCATCTATGAGGGAACGTCCAACATCCAACTACAGACGATCGCGAAGTTCATTCAGAAGCAATACTCATAGCTTGAGCGATCTTCGGCTTTTCCACGGGATTGATGGGTGGGAGATTTGTCGCATAGGATATGACCTATAAAAATTCTTGCTGGTATGCGGAGCCTGACTCGGTTCATCATACTCTCGTGGGTGGTGTGAACGTTGGACGTTTGAACGGGCACGTCCGAGCAACTTGGAAATTTGAGGTCATCTTGAACAAAAAATACCAGGATCTGCCGAAGTACCGTGACCTGCGCGCCTATGCAAGTCGGGGTTCGCGAGTCCGGAGTCGATGGCAGGTGCCTATCCCGCTCATTCCTCATCGTCAGACACGATGTGCTAGTGATAAACTGCGACTGCCAGCTGCTTCTGCTCGAGGTCATTCCCTTCAGTACTTTGAGACTGAGAGCTTCGCCACTTAACGGCAGCTAAATCCTGCTGCGTACACCGAGTTCAGGTGGCAGTCATTAATCTCTCACCTCGGATTCTCCTGTCCTTTCGATGGCGACGAAGGCTCACGCACTTTCCTATGACAGCACTGGTTCATCTGTACTCGCTCAGTTTCCACTTCCCATCTCCCTGGCTTCACCGGTGCTTACTTCAGTGATCTCACTGGCCGATAGGCCGCTCATTGCGTACTCCGTCTTCATTCCTCCGCCATCTACGAATTCATCTGATCATCTCAACTGCATCGAGCTCGCGCGCAGAACAATCATATCACGAAACGGCCAGTCTACAGTGCTGGACTCTCTTTTACCCAGTGTTTACATCGCCAAGGACATCTGTAGGCTCTATGTCTTTGCATTTAGTTATAGTGACAATATTTCCGCGTCACATACTGCCCTCGCAGCTTTGCAGTTTGATGCATTGATATGTGAGTCTTCTCCTCATAAAGATTGTTCGTCCATGCACCACGATCGGTCATGACATATCGGTTGCTTATTTCATGAACGGGGTCATGGCCAGTTCGTCTGCGTGTATTTGATTCGAGTCTCTCGGAGATGTCGCACCTGGTTATGCGCGATGATGTGGTGCACCTGTGTCTCATGATGCTGCAGTATTTGCGGTCTTAGGATATGCCATATATCCACAGTGCATGCAGACGTACAGTTCAGCTCCCTTATGAGAAGCAGTTTTCTCTGGTACATTGATATTATAACCTATCACTTCGCTCGCATGGTAATCATGAGTATACGAATCTGACACTCTATTTTCAGTGACTGAGTCAGCAACTTTCACACCGTCCACCATCTATCCGTGCTCAGTTGCGTGCTCTGAGCATGCAATTCCGTGCCCCGATTGCTTGGATCATTCCCAGACAGCGAAAACGCCAGCGCAACTTTTTCCACGAAATTCTCTCCGTACACCTGTTCATCAGTTCCTCCAAGCTGTTCGCGAAAGATTGATTGACGATATAGCAGCAGCGTCCAATTCAGGCCGTCCCGCGATGCGCTTGAAAGACGGGTTTCTTCTCGGTCCTACCTCCGCCTCCTCAGAATGGGGTGCCGGATGGGATCAGCCTGCGCGTATGAGACCACTCATATACTGCCATATCCTGGTGCACCTTTCCCAGATGCCGGCACGCTTGACCATTCATCCCATTCTACGGCCCACATATTACGTGCCCTTGTGCAGCTCCTTGCCTCTTCCGTCTGGAACTCCTATATCGCTCCTTCCGCATGGTGTGCCTGGTTATTATTTGAGCTCCTACGCCGGTCCTACGGCTGCACTGACTTCTCAGTTTGACGAAGCACTCATTGGTCTAGGTGCAGGAAATTGGAAGTATACGCCTTCCAGTAATATAGGTACTTCAGCGAAGAAGGATTTTCCGGTGTATATCATTGCATGGATATCTGTCCAGAACAAGCAAGGAGAGGATAAAGGTATGCCAGTCATCTGGCCCGTACGGCTTTGTCTTGCGTACCATTCAAGTTCGCCATCACCTCATGCTCGCATGCCGCTTCAGCAGACGCCTGAGCTACCGGCCCAATTGCAAGCCTCGCCTCCTCCTCCCGCAGCCCCAATACCTTCCGGTGGACCTAGTTCATCCTCGTTTCTGTCTTCATCAGATGCTAAGACCCGCTCGAGCACACCCCATCCTCTGTTAAGCACGCTTCGTCATCCTCCCACTCTCATTTCGTCTCCTTCGAGCGATGCTGTTCGCGCGTTCAGTACTCTGACATTCACGACGAAGCCTCATGTGAGAGACTTCCGGCAGGTTGCTGCGGAGGTGAGTAACTATGTTGATGCAGTAGCCAAGGAAAGGGAGCGCGAACGAGAACGAATCAAGAGGGAGAGAGAAATTGGGAGTACCAGAACGAGAGCCGGAAGTACCAGTACGGCGGGCGCTGTTCCGAGCGTGCCACCATCGTCTGTACCACCTGCACCCAGATCCCCGAAGGTCGAGGAAGCTCCTACCCCTGCGATTGCCGTCGCCCCTCAGCCTCCGGCGGACGAGGCTATGGTAGATCAGGAGACTGAGCCTGCAATATCGTCTGAGGATTCTCTCGAATCGCTTTTCTCTCCTCCACCGTCGGCCTCAGACCTTCCGGAGTCGGATGATGCAATTCAGTTTGCTGCACAAGCAGTAACTGATACAACTTCCTCAGTTCCCGAGGAGCCAGTGCCATCTGTAACCCCGCGACAAGAAACCGAGCCATCTGCGACGTCTTCGTTCGATCCCTTCGGCACGTTCGATGCAACCTGGTCCCAGCCTTCCAACGGGTTCCTGGAAATGAACATAGACAACATAGACTACGACATGGGTTTCAGTGGCATGAACATCGATTCGATAGGCGGCGAACGCAATGGCGATGAGGCTGCAGGCGACTTTGACAAGGACGACGGATTCGGCATCTTCACTGATGACGACTTCGATTTCTTCGACACGCCGGCAGCGAATGCTCGTTCAGTGGGTACTGTGCCAGTTACTAGCGCGATGGATATGGGCATGGGCCATACTGTGGCTGCAGGTCCTGCACCTCTTGGTCTTCCACCTCTTGGTCTTCCACCTCCTCTCGCGGGCGATGGTATACTTTTTTCCGGCCCTGGTCCTCCTGCTGCTGTATCCAACCAGTCGTCGCCCTGGGTCGTCGGTTCTCCTATCGAAGGATTCACCCCTCGTGGTAGCGATTTTCACCGTCGTGGGGATTACATCTCAGCTCCCCCAGATTTGGTCCCCCCAACTCCGACGAGGACGCCATCAACCCAGTCTGCTCCTGTGACCCCTTCAGTGCAGCTGTCCGATCAGGACGATCCTCGACAGTACGAAGGCTGCGGTCCGAGTGTGTTTGACCCCATTCCCTTCGCACTGAGTCATAGACTAGCTGACGGCAAATACGCCATTGGAAAGTTTGCACTGCCTAGTCCACCTGACGAGGAGGACCGTACGGAGCCTATAGTCTTTGCGTCGGTGCCATCATGGGCGAGTGGATGGAAGCTCAAGTATACAGAGGCTACGGATCCACGCATCGGAATTGTGCGCAAACTAATTGGAGTGAAAAGGAAGAGCTTCGACCAGGGCATGCGAGATGGGAAGATGTCTCCATCATGGGTCACGGAGCACGAAGAGTGGGAGAGCAGTTCACCGTCACCGGATGTTGAAATGGCGGACGCCACCTCGGATGTATCTGAAGACGAGGAGCCGTGGGTGGAAGAAGACGATGCGATGACTGCACGCCCTTCTACACCTCCCCCGTCGTACCTTCCCATGGGCCCCGTCTTACTTCAGACCCAGTTCCATCATTCTCATTTACTCCCTCTATGCTCGCCGCTCCGACCTTCGGGGGCAGCGGTCAATAACCTCACCGCCAGCACCCCGCCTATGTCAGTGCCTACTCCAGTCTCCCCAGCTGCCGTGCTCGGCGCCGCATCAGAGAAGTCCAAATCTCTTGAGGCGGCGGCGCAGTTACTCATGAAGGAAGCTGTCGAGAACAGTGCGTGGGCCGATGCCTGGCAACTCAATGCCGTAGCGTCTGTAGCCTCGGCCAGTCCGCCAACGCAGGTGTGGCAGGCTGATGTAAAGTATGTAAGCTGGCTTCTGGGTAGCATTTCCTCTGCGCAGTCAAGTGTCAATGTTGAACAGCTTGTAGTTCCGCGTAAGCATTGGACGTTTGCCGTCTTTATTCCTTATCTGATGCTGAATCGTAGATTGTAAAACTGAGCACCATTCTCAAGTTTTGCTTCGGTTGTTGGAACCTCCCATGTTTGCGGTGGGGAAGTCTGATTCTGTGGTGCAAGTTTTACCAACTGCGGTGCGATTTTGGGAAAAGCTAGGTCTTGGTCCTCGGTCTGGCAAGAAAGACGTGATTGTATACGTGTTCTTCGAGGGTGGAGGGGACGAAAGAGAAAGCGAGATTGCACAGTGGCTTGACATAGTCTCAGCAGCGTATTCGGTATGCACTTCGGGCTATCACGCCATCCAAGTGCTCATTAAAATTTTCAGGCAAAGAACTATGGGAAACACGCTGCCGGTAATTCAGACAGCTGTACAAGAGCTGGCCTTGTCCCGGTGCGACTTGATGCTGTAAAGAAGATGCTAGGTATGTCACCGGTACTTTGTCCTATGTTGATGCGCTCATTATATGTACAGTAAATTTTGTCGCTACTCTCCCCCTGTCAGCACTCTCTTCTAGTCTCGTCTTCTATTTCATTGTTCCTCCTGCCATGATATCGCTTTCATCTCAGCCCCTTCGACACCTCTTCTCCGCCATGAAGCGTACTACGAAGACGCATATCGATGCCCAGATCCTCTTCCATTTCGTCCCCGAGCCGCTCACAACGGCTATTCACTCTGACCCGTGCACCAGCCGCGCCGAACTTGAGCATTTTGTTGACAGTGTGTACGATCGCGTACTCCAGCCAATTGAACGAATGATGTCCCGAAAATTGTTCACGCACGGAACACGTACACGGGCTTACTTCCATGCACCCGCTTTTTCACTCGTTCGTTCACGTCCTTCCACACGCCCGTCACTTGTCGGAGAATTAGGCCATGCAGCACATGTGACTTTCGCGCTCGAGCCGCATCCACTCTCTCTGGATGTTGTTGATCGATACACGTTGTTGCACGTTGGGTACAGGATAACGCCTTGTGGGCGGTGGCTCCTTGCCGCGTGTATAGATGCACGAGGCGAAGAGCATGAACTAGGTGCTTGGTTATTACCTGGAGAAGCGGTGGAGACATATGTAGTGAATCAAGTGTGGGCATTCGTTCACACATTCTCCATTAGGGCCAACGTAGAGTGGAGGATAGTCGTGGCGAAGATGGGTGCTATGAGTTCGACCGAACTCAACGGTAAGTAGTGAAAGCATTTTATTTGTTCATTTGTGTTGATATTCCGTCATTGATTTAGCTTGGACCACCCAACTCGATATAGCAACTTCTGTCTCGACCGAGCATCCCGCATTACATGTTACGCTGCTCTCGATCGAGCACGAACTTCCTTGGACTTTCCTTGGCCCCACTTCCAATGACAGTATGAAACGCATCATGTCTCCGTCTCCGACAACCTCCACGCGCGTCTCTGCACGAATCCCCTCCGGTGCTGTTTTGGCAGATGTCTCTTGCGCGACATATGCGCTCCTCCCTCCTATCAGCTCAGCGTGTATTCCTCTCCCGGGTAGTATATCCTCCCCGGAACACGTCCCTGGTTCCGCCGATGCATCTTTCATCCCAGATTGTGAAGACGATGAGCCATCACTACAACATCATCCCAGTATGTTGGCTCGGCGAATCAGTGCACTAATTCACGTTCCTGCGGGCACCGATTACACAGCAATCTCCATGGTTCATTTATTCCATCTCCATACGGCGCGATCGTTGAAATCATATTCATGGGAATCAGACCTGCGCAAGATGAGTGCAGATGCTGACTTATCTGGCGACGCAGGAAGTGCAGGACACCTGCCGCAATCCTCCTCGGATAAGGAGGAAGACGAGACTATGGGGGACATTACGCGGAACTATCATGAGCTCGCGGTACTTGCGCATACCAGGTGGAAATTCAGCCCATCGACGGCATTGCCGTTCCATCTGGCGGCGCTAGAGGTGATGAAGATGACGCTGAGTGGAGATGGCACGGATCCATGATGAGTATGTGTTGGTGCTGCGTATTGGTCCATGCTTTGTTGTTGTTGCTTTCGTGTACATCTGTTTGCATATCCAAGATCTTCCATCCTGTGTATCATCCGATCGCCGTTATTCCTTTGTTCAATCACTCCAATGTACTAGATTTACCCGATTTGCAGTCATCGTCATCTCCAGTGTCACTTATCATATCTGTGCTCGTGTATGTCTACTAATAGTACTAATATGTGGCTCCTATCGTAGTTTTCTATCAACCGGTATCGAAATAGAGATGAAGTATTGCACATTGACCTTCGTGCCAAACTCCTTCAACCTCGCATCTGAATGTCCAGAAATGTCGTGATCGTATGTGCGCCCAAGTGGTCTTCGTCACGGTGGACGGCGTATCTGAGACATTAGATACATACCTTAAGGTCAACTGGACATGACACGCCCAAATGTGAGCGAGGTAGGATGCACCCCGAGTTGCATGTAATAAGACGTAACTCCTGGGCTTAGATTCTCAATAATTTCTGAAGGGATGAACATCTCGGAGCAGCACCGCTATGGAGCGGCGGTTATAACAACTGCAGTCAACGTGAAATGACATCTGAGCCAGGCAACAAACTAACGGTAAGGATCCGAGTGGGACACGAAACAATGATGCATTGCGAGAGCGACATAGCAAAACCACCTCACAGAACAAAAGCTCGACAACATCCAAAAAGTTATGACGGATCTAAAAGAGGCCAGAGAGAGCAGCGACGCCGCGAGCAGCCACACCACCAATACCCGCTGCAGTGGCATAGCCAATGACGGGCACAGCGCCGCCCATGGCGATGCTCTGGCATATAGCGAAAGAGCTTCCAGCCGCCACCGCTGCACCCTGCATCCCCGCGGCTATGCCCCCTGCAAAGACGAGCACCTGGTCAGAGGAATGGAGGATTACGGGGAGAAAACAATGTCTAACCAGCGATAGGCCCAGCCGCACCAAAACCAACAACTCCAAGTACTGCGGGAGCAGCTATCGGTGTCAAGATGAGTGCTCCTACCGCACCCGCCGCCAACGCAATCGTTCCACTCATCGTGTAAAACCCAAGTGATTTCGAGAAATGGTAAGGTGCTCAACTTTCTTGATAGATCAACTTAGTAAATTCCATTTGATTAGCACCAAAAAGATTTTTAAAGAAGACACTCACCGTGAACTCTATCCGTTGATGGCGGTAAGCAAACTGCTGGCGCCTGCAGCGATGCGAACATAAATACCTCCCGTAATATGTAGCTTAGATAATCTCCTCAGGAGCCGCTGTCCGCCCATAAGTACTTCCTACCCAGACCTCCGACACACCACTAATTGACCGTACAAATTTGTCTGTCTGGTTTATACAATATACATGCAATCGAGTGCTACGTCCCGGAATTGATTCACCGCCGTATCAGGATTTCCATGATCAATTGCTGCGGACCTACAGAGAAGCAATTTTAAGACCACGCATTGTTCTCGCGGGCGAAGTCCTCCACAGTCTTCCACTTCCAGACACTCTGGTCTGGGTTGACAAGGTCGTTGTTGTTGTCCACTGACAAGTCAAGTTCGCCTTCTGCCATGGCAAGACTGCAACAGCACATGCGAATAATGTTTAATATGAGACAAAAAAATATCAGGAATAATAGCATACCGAAGATAGGGAGCCAGTGAAGCCTTCGGGTCGTGCGGGAACGCTTCTTGTGTGCTCTTCTTGAAATTCTCCAGGTCCTCGCTCTTCAACACAATTTCACCCCGGTCGTGTCCGAGCTCCTTGCGGACACGTTGCACGCTTTCGCGGATGTCTGTGATGTTGATCGTTTCCCCGGAGAGGCGGACATAGTCAGGAACTCGGGTGGATAACTCGGGCGAAAGAGCGACGAGTGAAAGTTCTGCAAGAGCACGTCCGATGTCTCCCTTCGACGTCCAGGAGACTCGCTGGTTGGGCGAGCCATAGAACGTGTACAGGTTATTTGCGTGGTCGAATCCAACTGCAATCGATACAATATTAGAAACAAGATGTGGTGTGTCTCCGATGTTAGATCACGTACGGAATGGCTGAGAAAGGTAGATGTTAGATCTGCACAAGGAGCGGGACTACTGGATAGAAACACTCACAGTAAGGCATAGTTCGAGGAAGAGACCGATGTAAACTTCGATGACCTTCAGCTTGCCTTGACCACGCGCTCGTGCTCTCCGATCGTGTTCCCTCTTTCCAAGCCAGGCGGGATGTTTATATCCCCAGTAGTCCTTGCGATGGTCACTGCAACGTTGTCAGCATACTGCTGTTCCCTGAGGAGCGCCAGCACGACTCTCACTCACACTCCATATTCGCTGGGGAAGTACACCTTTACGCCGCGCTCCACACTAGCCTTAACTAAGGCATCCTGCACATTCTCAGGGCCTGGCGGTAGTGCGTTCACAACGACGTCTACCCCTTCCAAAGCCTTCACCAGAGATGGGAGAGGATCGGACTCGCTTAACTGATGGAGCTCCGCGCCCTTTGCAGCCAGGGCTTGTGCTCCGCTAGAAGAGGGATCGCGAACGAGCGCGATCACGCGGGAAAAGAAGGGGCGATAGCTGCCCAGAAAAACTGCAGTAACCTCTCTGCCTGTGCAACCATGGTGGTCAGCAAGTCTCGATATTGAGCGGACCCCGTAAGAAGACGTACCGAGAGTGCCAGTCGCACCTGCGATGGCGACGACGTATTGTGCGCGGCTAAGCCTGGTAGATGTTAAGTATGACATGTACGAATCTGGGGGAAAACGCTGGAGAGTGGGGCTCTGGGGAGCTATATACCTCAGACCCCTATCGAATTGCGTTCACTTGCGTCAGTGATCCCGGACCTTCTCAGGAGCTCAATGTAGGACCGAGAACACTCTCAGGGAACTTGGAGCTGACCAAGCCATCGAGCTGACATATTCTTGTCGTATTCTACCGGCCTCGGCCTGTTGCAATTCATGGTCGCAAGCCACGGCGAATTTAACAGCCAGTGTCTAGCAGGCACCTGGCGACGCCATTTGTGAGATCAATCTTGTCGATCCGAACGTTCAAAGCAGTATTAGAGGTACCTAGAACGTTGGAAAGAAATGTTATGTCGGGCAGTCTACCCCGGAAGTACGAGCTTGAGACGGTTCAGGCTGTAGGAGTCCGGACTTCTCCGGGCGCTGCTTTCTGATTCAGACGCCCAAGAGGCATGCACCGGCAAAATCCGAGACACAGGGGGTCTCCGAGGCCCTTAACCGGAAATTATTTCCACCTAAGAAACTGCTAGTAGGAGGTGAGGAAAGGCTTATTCTCATGAGTTCCATGCCTTACAGTTGAAACCTATCGCAGAGGAGAGTTTGCAATGCGTATCGGGGGTTCGGCCGGCGGCGGGGGGGGGCGGGGTCGGGGTCGGGCGCTTAGTAGGTGTGATGTCGGGTCACACAGGTAACAAGCAGGTGACATACTTATGTAATCATTTTTGGTAGCTCCTCTTTATGGCAATTTTTACGGGGGGAGGGGGGGTCTCGAAGGTCCTTAACTGGATTTTCTGATGACCTCGTGTGCGGAATTTGATTTTTGCATGCCTCTTGCAGACGCCCCCGACTCGGAAAGAAATGTACCCGATCATTGACAAAACGAAGGCTCAGCTGCACAATTCGCTGGATAATCTCATTAATACTATTTCAATGGTCGACAGCTTCCGCGACTCTCTTGCCACACGAGATGCTTGCATAAAATTTCTACATCCTCGCGGAAATGTTTCCGAGCACCGACTATCAGCCACGTCTGTCGTCATTGGCGCGACATCGCGCTCTCTACTGCCGACGAATGTCCCACTCGAAAATAACGAACTTGCTTTGGAGTTCCTTACTCATTCCAAGTTAGCACCAATCGGTTTATTCGCAGAGCAAGACCAAACAATTGACCCAGAGCTAATATTATGCGTGAAACCCCATATGCATCGTGTCAAGAGGTTCCGTGCCTTCTCTGAGGATGAAGAGGAGAATACTTGTTGAGGAGACTTGCCAGGTGGACCTCTGCACCCCGGTTACAGGAGCTTGAGCTTTTCACTGCCAAAGAGACATGAGTCATGGAGAACATGTTTGGAGACCATTTGCCCTCCTTGCGTTCACTGTGGCTCTTGCACGTTTCCATACCGTGGACATCGCCGATTTGCAGTAATCTCAGCGATCTAGTTCTCGAGGGTCAGCGTCGCTCCGCTGCTCCGACGATGTCGGTTTTATCGATGTTCTGGCAAGATGTCCCCATCTGGAGATCTTGACCTTGCGCATGGTGGGACCCCTTTCGTACGACGTCACTACAGATTGCAATTTACCCCTGGTGCACCTTCCTCACCTCAAGGAATTGGAGTTGTCAGAGATCCTCCAGGCGATGGTCCCAAACATTCTAAAGCACTTATGTCTCGCAGCCACCACACGCATTCTGATAAACACCAGCATAGCACTCACTTTGTACAATGAGTCCGTGTTTTCTCCTTCTGTGCTTCCTCCCGATTGCAGTGCGCTGACGAGTTTTGCGGAGCACCGCATGATCGAGTTCTTCGATGAGAGAAACGATGGGCTCATCATTCGCCCTCATCCCAACACGAATGCCCTCTGTACCGAGGCGTTATTCAAGCTCGAGCTCACTGACGTGATCCTGGATCTTTCCTGTCTCAGCTCGTTCGACCTCCCTAAAATCGAGGTGCTCGTCCTAGGGGGTCTTCGTATGGTGTCTGTCGATACGTGGTCTAATCTCTTCGCTAATCTAACAAACCTGTAGACGCTGCGTCTGATTAGCATAGCTCCCTTCGCTTTGTTGGCCTGCATTCTCTCGCCGAATACAGGCCAGGGACGGTCTCCCGAAGACGCGGACTACAGCCTTTTGCTGTTATGCCTGCAATTGAGAAGCGTCGAATTCATCAATGCGCGTTTCGAGCTAGGGCTTTAGACGATATCGTTGGACTTCGTACGCACCCGCTCGTGGAAGAAGGGAAGGAACTTGCGCTGCTTGGAGTTGATCGAGGCCGTCGGCTATGAAGATACAGAGGTCGACGAACTACGGAAACACGGGGTTAAGATTCTTTTTAATGACAACGATGGCACTTGAGGATTCTGCGACTATTGCTTAAGCGGACGAAGAGGTGGGCACGGCCAGGACCACAGGTGAGAATGCGCAACCTTCTCACCATAACGATTCTGATAAAGTTCTCATATTCATAGACATGGATAATGGTTATGCAGAGGCGGCTCCTCTTGACGGTGCAGCTGACAACTGATGGGCAGTCGGGATCTCTTATACCTCGCTGTATACCTGCGGCTGCGTATCAGGTGCGCACTTATTATATCTTACTAAACTAGCATACCCATGTAGGGGGGAACTACGCACAACGACTCAATACTTTCTTACTTACAACTGTAACGCGACGCGACGGTGGTGTGGTTATCACATGACACTAAGACAACGTCGTTTTCCGAGTTACAGTGGATCCAAAATTCTCTGTGGAATTCCTCCCCTATCATGTTGCATATTAATTTATTGACATCGTTCTAGACTTGTACTGTTGTCTCTGCCCACACCGATCAGCGCTCCGGGTCGCAGTATCCCCGCTCCATTGACTTTGCTGAACGTGCGCATGGTGCAATGAAGCTGTTTCCAGCAAGTCTATGCAGGTCTTCTACTTCAGCGTGTGCATGCGTTAGAGTGGCAGAGAAGACTTGCTAGAAGGAGGGTGCTCATCTTAACAGTGGTATCTCTTTGTATAGGGCGGTGAGTGCTAATATTTGTGGAGCGTATCTCGGAACAGCCAGCTCTCTTGTCCGGTTGCATGGACGTCGAAGTGCACGAGCGGTGGTATTGTGGACTCGGAGTTGCGAATTCTCCATCGTGCTTCTCTCGTAGAAATGTGAGTGATCGCGTTCTCACCGGCCTCGGACAGGTTCTGCTGCTCAGTAACATAACCCTGGCCATTGGACCACTGAAACCCTTGGATATGACGTATTCAGGAGTTGAATCCAAGCCCGCCCGCGCATATCACACCTGTTGTCGGTATTTCGTGCTGCAATGGATTATTAAACATGTGATATCCTGTGATTTCCCAGACGGCACAAGCCGATAACGATTCTCTCGACGTGGTTCCTCCATCCCCGCTATTGTATTCATCTTCTTAAGACACTTCCATATGGTGGTCAGTCTGTATGACTCTCGCGGCTGTCGCCAGTATCATCGAATTAATGATCGTGTTCACCAAGCGCGATGTTACTCTCTACGACCGCCGACCGTCAAAGCTAAATAGGGATTTGTTGTCTTTCTGCACCCTGCAAGTCTCCGGTGCAGCTCATCAGTTTTACACAGCAGAAGCCGCAATGATCCTCTCGAGCCGCCAGGAGCCACACTCTCCCTAGCAACGCTGGCGTTTCAGTATGCAACCTCTCTTTCGGCCCTTAGCTCCCGGTTGAGCTCACTGGTGGAAGATTTTGTGTCAGCGCCCGCGCACAGCCCGAGCTTGGGCGGATGCCACGACAAAAAAATATAGAAGTCGGTTTAAAACCTTCCATCGCAACATGAATGTAAAAGCATTGCGGTATGCGGTCAGTACGCTCTGCTTCTGTACAGTACACGTTAGAAACAGTCTGGACTCTACAGTCAATGTCGTTCACTCGCTTTCATCTGAGTGGTCCTTCTAGATCTCGGTAAGGCACGGGCGCGCCGATTTGATGAAGGGAACCCGAGCACGACCGGCATTTCGCATTGTGCGGTCCCTTCGCTCGGTCGTCAAAAAGTGAAGACAATAGTTAGAGCTTGATTCGCTAGTGCCGCAGCTATGAGAATCGCAGTGGATGACTTCTACGAAGTTTCCGCTTGCTGTGATTGAGCTGGAGCTGGACTAGAGAAAGTTCGTGCGTTGCAAGTGCTCTGCCGGAGCCGCGTACGGATCTCGGTGCAATGCTCCTAGTTGGGACACCGAGCATGCACCTGCCATCTTCAATCAATGTACCATGACTTTTCGGGAAGCGCATCCGCTCAATTCCTTGACTGCCTCAGCTAACGCGATAAGCGCAGGCATAGCATCGGCCAGGGCCTATCATATAAATATTAGCATGTCCGCCCACTCGCTGCTGCAGTATTCACATCCCCATGGCCCTCCCCAAGCACCTCCCGCATGTGCTCCTTAAGTATGCGATGGTGACCGCGCTGATGGCGTTCATTACGAAGATGTTGTACGTGCTTCGTGACATCGTACAGATATCGGCCGATGCTCACATCGTGCGTAATCTAGCGTGGCTTACGATGATTTACAGCGGTACGAACCGCATTTCTCCATGGTCGACCATCCCTACGTTCCCCCATCCAAAGGAGACAGTCGTTCGCCATGCCCTGCGTTGAACGCGTTAGCCAATCATAATTATCTGTGAGCATCTCACCTTCTTCTCTCCACGGAGATCCGTCTGACCTTGACCACAGACCACACGATGGCCGAGGAATCACCCGCGATGCTTACATCCGCGCCCTGCGGGACGGCTACAATCTGTCGATTCCCCTTGCTACGCTCCTCACATACGGCTCGCATATGATTCTCGCGCAGTACAGCTCGCTTTCGCTTGCCGACCTCGCGCGGCACAACTTCATTGAGCACAGCGAGTCCCTCGGCCATGCCGATGTCATCGGAGATGAGGAATACGCACCCTCCGAGGCGGACCCTCAGCTGATATCGCAGCTTATCAATGCATCCTCCAATGGGCATTCCATGGATATCCACGACTTCACAAGGGCGCGGCTTCGCCGCGAGGAACCGTACGAGCAGCCGCTGGATCCTCTGCACGAGGAGATTGCGCGCGGGGAGATGTCGATGGTCCTCGGCATCTTTGGACAGGGCAATGAGGCGGTGCCCGTGCGGTGGTTGAATGACTGGTGGCTGAACGAGCGATTCCCTGAGGATTGGGAGCCAAAACACGAGCAGACGTTGCTGAAGACCGTCCGCACGTCGTACAGGATCAAGCAGCTGATGCAAGCCGCTGAGGGACAATAGGGGGGTGCTTGAAGGCATGGAGGGCACTGGTGTCTGCTTGCTTATTTAATCTTTTCTCAGTGCTAAATTTCGTGGAATCATGTAGCGGTAAGTTTGTTGTACAGAAATGGGCGATACCGTACGAGATCGATGTATATAAAGTAATTAGTAAAGCTTTCACGTTCGTCACGACGGCAACACTACTCACTTCCAAACACGAACTTTCGTCCCCTGGAGTGCACGTTTGAGGATCAAGGTAGAAGCCAACGGGTTGTGTCAAAGCACTCTCGCTCTCTGTGATACTGTCTGCAAGTAACGAAGGACAATTACTTATCAGCTACCGGTAAGATCCTGCCCGCCGTGGAGTCCAACGTGAACATGCTGGATCAGTATGGTCTGGTTCACAGCAGTGCAGATTTCTGTCTTTGAAATCGTTCTACAGATAGGTTGGCAAGGAATATTTACCGTGGTAAGCTGGACATTGATGTGGAAGTTCAAACTGTAAACCGGAAGTTCAAAGAAAAGATAGGCACGTGATAATGTGACACGTCGCGCTCCATGAACTGTCGCGACTCTCTCACTTGGGCTTGCCCATGCGACTTTGACTCAATCTCCACCTTTAGTTTCACATTGATACTCAGATCAGGAGCTCCTGTGCCTGCGCAAGCCTACAAGGCTGTTTAAATTACTATGCAGTGCGACGGATGTACGGGTGACACGGTATACAACAGCTACCGGCTATCTGCGCTGGTAAGGTCTGGCTGGACCTGCAGTCTCCAGTAGGTGTTCTACCATGGCGGTCGTCATCGCCAACCAGTCTTTGGACGGCATTCTGGTGGGCGGATATGCGTGAGCGACTTCATGAGCACGAAATTGCCTAGTCATGAACTATTCCGAGTCAATAACAATATAACGCGTCGTTACACAGGTGGGGTTCACTAGTTATCTTTTGATTGTGAACCATGATCGCGTATCCTCTATCCAGTAGTGGCGGTGGTATCATCTACTCGGTCCGAGGAGTAGCCTAAAGTTTCTGGCTCAAGAAGCTGACAACATCTTGACAGTGTCTCTGTAATCGAGCTCGGAATAGAAGAATAAAGCTCAACTATCATACCCTGGTCTCAGATACGTATATTGCTGGCAAACTCGTCGGCACATCTATTTGCCCAGTGAGTTTGATGTTCCTGTTCGACCTGCAAAAGACTTACTAAGTTGGACCTACCTGATCCAAGGAGATTTTGATAACCATTTGCAGAGCAAAGCCTTGCAGACCTTGATTGCAATGCCAGATATTATCAGAAATAGTCCTGAAAAATGGCATATCAATCAAGTACCTCAACTGAAAAGCCACTCGTAGGGTTGCATATGACCCTTCCTCTCAGGTCCGTGCGTTTCTCATGCCGAGAGAGTGCGGAACGCCTACGAACCACCCATCGATGTCAGTCTGTTTGCATCTTACCGTACCGACAGCGTGGTATCTACCTTCCGAAGGTACCCCTCAAGGCCTGCAACGTATCACATGGGACGATATATTCATAACGATGGAGAAGAGCTGCCGTCAGTCCCAGTCTTTTTCGGTAACGTATTGATCATGCTCCTGATCACCAGGACGAGCATAGAGGGATGATATATCATCCAGCGCCATCCAGCGCCATCCGTCAGGTCGCATGATAGGTTCCTGTCTTACCTGATTTCTCGGTTTTATAAGTACGACATGGTCGAGCGTCGCTTCTTTATCCGTCTCTTGCCTGTCTTCTTGACCCATCATGTCTACACCTCGCCTTCATCCGCCCTTCCGTGCCGATCACATTGGCTCACTGAAGCGCCCTGTGGCGCTTCTCAAAAGGCGCAATGACTTCGACGACAGCAAGTGCACTCTAGAAGAGTTGCAAGTGGTAGAGGACGAGGCAATCAGGGAGATCGTGAGGTTGCAACGCGAAACTGGAATAAAATCAATCACGGACGGCGAATTCAGGAGGTATATAGTGGTGTTCAGTGTGCTGCGCACGTCGATGCTCAGTGCCGTTTTCATGGTAATATTTGGCCAGACACATGTTTTTTGATGGCGTTTTCGACAACTTGGAGGGCATGAAGTTTCTTCCCAATGGTGACTTGGTGTCCTCATATTGTCCGAACGCTTGATACTTACCACTTTTTGTAGCGAATCCTGCGATGCTCATGGTTTGTACACCAAAGATCCAAGAATGACATCACCGACCGACGCTGTTGTGGTATGTAGGAATATGTCCCGGATATCGCCGCGTTCAAAGCGACCGGCTTTAAGGGCGCTGACTCGTACATCTGCGTTGTGAGCATGAGCGTCCTCACCCACTTTATGCACGCATGCGACTTGACGTCACATTGTGTTCTTTCGTTAGTCCAAGCTGCAGCGCACTAAGCCATTCTATATTGCGCAGTTCGAGAGCTTAAAGAAGCTGACTGCTCCTGAAGTAGGTGCACTACAAGGAGTTACGTCGGCGAATGCTCACGCTTTTGCTCGAAATAGGAGCACAAAAACCTAAAGATCACTATGTGCGCCCCGGAATGGTTCCATCTGCGCCATGGGCCTTATGCCTACAATACTGAGGTATACAAAAATGACGGTACTTATGTTTTCTGATCATCATTGAAATTGACGTTGATCTTGTTCCACATGTCTAGATGAATATTTCGCAGACATCGCAATAGCGTACCAGGAAGAGATCAAAGATCTATACGCCGCGGGATGCCGTACGCGATACTCAGCCTATTGGCCGTATTTTGCAAATATTGATGTGTCGCATCATAGGGAATATCCAGTTCGATGATCCGATCCTGGCGTACTTCTGCGGAGACTCTATGCTCAGCGGGATGGAGGAGCGTGGAATCGACCATGTTGGTCTGCTCAACACATACATCGGCACGTACAACAAGTGCCTTGAGGGCCGTCCCACCGACATGACCATTGGAATTCACCTCTGCAGAGGTAACTTCAGGGTACTCTTACAGCATCTACGATGTTCGTTATCGGCTAACCTTCCAACTTGGATACACAGCATGGCATGCATTTCAGCGAGGGCGGCTATGACCGCATCGCCATCAAGTTGTTCCAGGAGATCAATGTCGATTGCTACTACGTAAGGCTGTCCTGTCCTGTCCCACAGACGGTTATTGATCTTCCTGTTAGCTGGAGTATGATACCCAGCGTGCAGGTACGTTCGAGCCGCTGCGTTTCCTTCCCCGCAACAAATCTGTCGTCCTTGGCCTGGTCTCGACAAAGAGTCCAAAGGTGCGCTTCCCTTTCTTTGCCTTTCAGCACCTGCACGTCTTTGTGTTTCCTCGCAACGTACTGATAGCAGATTTAGATGGAAAACAAGGATGAGCTTGTCAGGCGCGTCTACGCAGCTGCGGAGATAATCGCTGACGGACAAGAGAAGCGGTCCAAGGAGGAGGCTCTAAATCAGTGCGTCTTTCCTTACTCTTCTACTTGCGAATGTCGAGCTTCTCTATTGCAGAATATGCATCAGCCCACAGTGCGGCTTCGCGTCACACGCAGAGGGTAACTCTGTGACAGAGGAGGACGAGCGGGCCAAGCTGACCCTAGTAGTTGAGACAGCCAGAGCAATCTGGTCCGATTGCTGAGCATGATTAGAATCTGGGACTACGGACTTGGGAGAGCAGAGAATGAGAGCAAGGACCCGACAGGCCAGGATGATGCCCCGCTGTGAAAGTTCGACATTACTGATATCCTGTTGCTATGATTCAACTCCTTTAGCACTGCCTGTATCTGTTTGATGAAGCTCTGATAGTTTTCGCCACCGTGTAACCCAAAGCATTCCCAGCCAGTGTTCTGGCCAGACTGGCACTTCTGAGCCCCGAAAAAGTATGTACTATTGGAGGCATTCTATTAGCATTCTATTGTCACTGTTCACGGAAAGGCGACACGAGCTTGATAGCAACGAGGTCAGTCTACGTCGTTGAAATTACATCTTGAATTCTTACGTACGCTTGTTTCAGACGCGCGCCCATGTGGTCCGGCTTACGAAGTCCCTGTTGAGCTGTTACCCGTGTGTTGGTCAGGCTGTCCCCCACTCGATTCAACGTACAGTATATCCATTCTAAGCTGAGCATTGCACAGGTTATGATCCGGCACTTCAGATTTAGTGCGCCAAGTTTCTCATCGCAGGGGGCGATGTGTTAGATGGTAAGGTTAGCATTCAGCAAAGCACGTCGGCCCCTCCAGGGATTTTGTTTGTCCTAGTATCAGGACGCATTAGAACAAGATGTCTCTATCAGTGCTGCGGGCCTAAACTTGCAGCCTATAAGCTCCTTCCGCCGGTTTATTTCCTCAGAACATAAGCTAGGATCTATTTTATAGTTTCCAACTCGAGTCTCGCATGTTTATACATGCCACATCCTTCAGGGCTGACTATGGCCCAAACACGGGAAGGTACTGATGTACGCCGAATCCACTAGAGCATAGGATGGGCCCGGGAGTGTTGTCTAGTTTCCTTTCGTACAAGGTGCTCCAACGCCTCCTCCGCTTGCTCCCACTGCAGATCGAACGGTTCTTCCCACTGCCACTTCCATTGCTCGCGGATGGCTTCACCAAGGGCCTGCAGCTGCAGTCTTTCTCCATCGTCATGGGGCGCCGTTCCATCGTAGTACCCTGGTGCATTGAATTCGTACAGCAGCCCCGTCTTTCGAGTTGTCCGGATAACACCGCTGCCGAAGGGAAGGCGAATACCCTCATAAATCCGCAGTACGTCGGGCACCAGCGCCAGATTTGTGTGAGGGTGCGCGAGAAGTCGACCCAGGATGTATGCGTCCTGTCCGTCAGTGTCCAGCGAACCATAGGGACAGTCAATTACAGTACAAGATGCGAACCTCGATGGCTTGGCCGGCGCCGGCGCCTTGGTGAGTCAACATGGCGTGCGCCTTGGTTATGGATTCGTCAATGAGTGTCTGTCGCCCGATAATTCAGGGAACACGAACTGCATCTCCTAAGAGCGCCACCTGATTCGCAACGCAGAAGGGCAAAGCGTCCACGACATGAATTGCCCATTGCGAAGGCGCTTCCACACACTGCTTCCATCAATCAGTTTCAGTATGAACGGTGAGGCACCCTTCTTACCTGAAGCAGGTCCTGGACTTCGCGCTCCCATCCGACGTATTGCTCAGCAACTTGTTCCTTGGATACAGCTTGAACCCATTTCTCATTGTATGTTGTCCCCTCTGCTCCAGGAACAGTGCAAAATGCGACGACGTTCACAAGTCGCCCTTGGGAGATCGGATATGTTATGATATGCTGCCGAGAGGCGTTGGTATTAATTCTGTAAGGAGTTTAGCGTACGTACCTTTCCTTTCCCGCAGTACTAACGGTAGCAGCGTTAGCGTCATGCTCGATAATCGAAAGACAAAAACAAACCGAAAGCGTGACGCCAGTGGCTGTGTGCTGAGGGTTTATCTCTCTCAGTCTCTCAGTGGAAATGAGGCACCGGTATACAAGGGTCCCGCTCCATTTTGGTGTGGCAGCGGAACACCGCGAACACGCACTTCTGGTTTCTCTAAGAGCACAGTCCCGCGTATGGGCGAGGTCATAAAGCGTGGTACGTGTGGCGGACTTGATGCCATCTGCCCCAATCAGTAGGTCCGTCTCCGCTGTTGAACCGTCGAGAAAATGCAACTTCAGCACCGTCCTGCCACTACATAAGTCTGTCACCTCATAATACCGAAGGAGCCGTTTCGACGTATGGATCGAATATGACGGTGGAAAGTTGCTGCAGAGGATGTCGACCATGTCCGCCCGATGCATTGTCGTAGAGCCATCTGGTACCGTGAGCTTACTTGCGTCAGGCATCATTTAGCGAATACTTACTGGGCACTGTTAATTCGTGAAAGATGAACGGATCATGAAACCGATCCGACTTCCTGTACACGAAGCCAATCTCTGCAAACAGTGATTTATTGATCAGCGGAAGCAGCGAGACGGCACTGCCACTTACTCTCTTCCACCGTCGGTGGTTCGACTGACGCATCTGCTACCTGGTCACGCAGTCCTAGAAGTTCTAGCACTCTCCATGTGCGCGGCCAGACGGAGATCCCAGCACCGATAGTAGAAATCACCTTCGCTGCCTCGTACAGGTGCACCTCGAGCGGAAAGTCGGGATGCTCGTAGCGGCCGAGGGTGCTGGCAAGTGCGAGACCTCCAATCCCACCCCCACTAATTGTCACATTTTCTAAGATTCATTACGACCCAGTCGATCGATCCAAAGAGAGATGCGCACCATATGGCTACCCGAAATTTGGGTCTGGCAGTCTGGGGTAGTGGTAACGGCATCAACTAGTGCCAAAGGTGTTGCGGAAGATGTAACCTAGCGTTCAACTTGTTTACCGAAACTACACGTTCTGAGGCGGCTCTCCTAAACTCCGTATGTTCTGCTTCCTGGAGTTGTAGGGCCGAAGCGATAATGGTCTGTTCACACGCATTGGCAAGAACAGAATTGACGAAGATGCTACAGATCAGATGAAACGGTCTTATGACTGGCTTATCGGAAGAGAAGCTTTGGGTATATCTCCGGAGATGTGGCGAAGGTGCGTGCGGTAGATCTTAACGGGGTACTTGAATGGCTGCGTGCAACAGTGGTCTGCAGAGGGACGGAATGTTAATGCCTCTATGACAAGGACAAGCGCACCATCGACAGTCTCATCGTTGAGCGGACGATCTGTGTGAACGCCAATGGCAGGAATCTGCCCGCATAGAATGAAAAGAGACTCGTACCACAATTTGACGCTATCTCTCGATGGGCCACAGGCGACAGAGGCAAAACGCAAATACGTGAATGTTCACAGGCAATACATTGCTCTGTTCGTTGTTGCGCAGCTCGGCGCGAGATACTATGGCTAGCTGCCAACGAGAGTGTGCGTTGGTCAGAATCATACGTAGGATGATACCATAAACCGCGACAATCTACGCGACAGACATTATCCTCGACTGGAAATCATGCTAACGTTGAGATAGAATGTTCGAGGGTATTCAAACATGAATTTTTCCAAGTTGGATGTCAGACCACTTTCGCATCGGGCTCCCTACCGAAGTTGGTTCAGAATTGAATTATACTGGCTTACTGATGTTGACACTATGTATAAGAGTCAAACGAGCAAAAAATGTTACCAAACCTTGTTCCTGTTGGCTGGGCGCAGAGGATCAACGTACCATCGGGCTCCACACACACCAGGCACTGAGGATGGTTCGACATTGCAAGTCCTCAAGGAAGTCCGAGCGACCCGAAAACATCCAAGTCAAGCTTTTGATTGGAAGCCGAGCATGCTGGAGATGGGCAGGAATCAAGGGTTTAGATATGGAAATTTTAGAGGCTCTAAAACAGACAAAAACGCGTACAAATACAAGAACAGTTTCGGTGAAAAGCAGAGTGTTAGTTGCAGAGTGGCTTGCCCATCGACAAAAAAAGATGCACATCTACGTTGCTGGTAGCTGCGAGAACCTTCAAAGCCATGAACGTTTCTTGGAATGGAGAAACCCTAGCTACATGGCCGCGAAACAATGATATGAGATCGTGACATTGGACGTCGACGGAGGTCATCGGGTGCGTACGGTGGTCGAGAATCTCCTTCCTTTTACCACCGGTATTTCTCTGCCTACTGGTAGTGTAACCTGAGCTGAGGACGTGTCAATTAGGTGGAGACGCCGGATGCCTCATCCGGCCGGATTCGGGAGATTTTGAGGCCGTAGGCCGGACGTTTGGGGGGGGAATGTCAAGCGTCGGCGCCGGCGTGGGAACTGCTATACCTGCCTTATATAGCCAAGGCGCAGTGGCAACCCGGAAATCAATTCCCCGTTTTTTGCCTTCTATCCTCCTTTTTATCTCAGACATTGAATTGATGCATTGACAATCCTTCTTTGGACTGCCCGGATCAGCATATTTGTGAGTCCTTGACATTGCCTTGACATGCGCCCCATTTTACAAGGCTGTCACATGAATCTTTGTTAGTCGTGTTCGCGTTCCGAGGCATTCTGAATCACTCTAATCGATGTTTCTTCTTGGTCAACTGACACGAATGACGAAGTATTTGCCCCCCATGCTGCATAGCAGCCTCCAGGTCTCCTTAGGCATGGACGGGCCGCGAGATTCGGCAGAGGGGCCGCGAGGAGTGATACTCCTCGCGGTCGATTCTTCCGTGTCTATTTGAAGATGACATTGAGAAGAGGGTGCATTTTATTCGCACAGGTCGGGCGTATAAGGAGGGCCGAATATTGTCTGACACAGGCTCGGACGTTCTTGCGGAAAGGCGGTCCTCCCTCTCATCGCCATGTACCACTCGTTAGGAGCTATCGTCTATACTACGCTCTGGCTGTGTTCCTCGTATGCCTTGCCCAACAGCGTGGAGGTCTCTGTACCCGCGGTATCGCCAAACACCTCGCAGCCGCTGTATCCCACCCTTTTGTCCTTCTCTATCGAGCAAGATCGGTGGCCCGACTGGAGTGGTATCGATGCACGCAACGAGTTCACGTACAGCGCTCTGCAAGGGCTGGCCGAGCTCACCGGAATGCCTCCGAAAATCAGGGTAGGGGCGGATTCGGAAGACCACACTGTCTGGTCTCCGACTATGACGGTGCGTTTGAGTCCCTGTGTCGCTGAAACGTTCTCCGGACGACGCATCTGACTCACCCCCTTTTTTTGCGTACTCCTATCTCTAGGTCAATCAAGATTTGTTTCCTCCTTCCAACGCGATCACCCCTTACCCCGAGGCAACGTACATCACCGTAGGCAATGAATACTACACACTTTCACGCTGGCTTCCAGCAGGTACGGCTTGTGAACTTTCCAAGGTCATTGCACCTGAATTTCGCTTACATCGCCAATATATCTATTTTCGTTGATGCTATAATGCGACTTTGATCATGCACAGGTACTCATATGGTGTGGGGCGTGAATCTCGGGTTCAACAACATAACCAACGCGGTTAATATGGCAAGAGCGATCGTCAGTGCCTTCCGCCTGCCCTCTGTGATTAGTTCTGGCGTCGTCCTCGAACGCATTGAAGTTGGTGAGTAAAACTACTGCTCGGACTGAATAACTCCAGTCATATCATCCACGCAGGTAACGAAGCAGATTTGTATGGCGACAACGGCCTCCGCTCATCATCGAACTGGACTGTCGAGGCATATGTACCTGATTGGGAGTCTGTTGCCGGTCCTGTAGTGGAGGAGGCGGGTATTGAGAGTAGGTATGGCCCAGTGACGTTACAAGGGGCTGCGTTTGCCTCGCAGGCATTCACGCCTCGCGAGATCTTCGCGCTCGGGATCTTGGAGAGTACGCCAGGATCGACGATCTCAACGTGTGTGCCTTCCTGTTGCAAGGTGTATCTCATCTGATCTCGCGCAGCATCTCGCAGCATCAGTATTCGGCTGCATTCTGTAATGGTGGCGCATTAGGCTTGGTGTCGTTCATGAACAAGACATCTATCCGCGGCAATCTTACTGTGTTCGAAGATGACATCGCTGCGACGTACGCGAAGGGACTTACCTATGTTATCGGGTGCGTCATGTCCATCACTTCGTGCTTCTACAAGACTGACTGAGATTGGCACAGAGAGACGAATAGTGTTGCGTGCCATGGTGCACCAGGCGTGAGCAACACAGCCGGTGCCGCACTTTGGGTGATCGATGACACCCTTTTCGCATCAACCATCTCGATCCGAGAGCTGTACTTCCACGAAGGTATCGGATACAAATACAACTTTGTGAGTGTCCATCCGCCATCAGGCTTAACATTTCATCTCGTTATTTGGATTGATAATTGACGCCAGATCCAACCGGTCACTTTGAATTACTCCACGATCGACGGCACCCCACTCGATCCACCAGCGCCCCCACACATCCAGCCCGCGTACTACGGCGCTCTAGTCATCGGAACCTTTGTCGGCACCTCCGGATCCTCCAAGATCGTCGAGTTGGACGTGCCCAACGCGAACGTGAGTGGTTACGCTGCGTTTGAGGCAGGACGGCTCGCACGTGTGGTCTTCGTGAACCTCCAAGCGTGGATCACGAATAGTACTGGCACACGGCCATCAGTACACATCGACCTCAACTTCGCTTTGAACGGCGTGGCCACGTCTCCACCTGACGTGGCGAATGCGCGGAGGCTCGTCATCCAGCATGCCGACGATACACAAAACCTCACGTGGGCGGGGCAGAGTTATGAGGAGACGTCGGACGTGAGCCCTACCGGCCCGTTGGTGATCGAGGGTGTGGACCTGGTGCAGGGATTCGACTTGAACGCAACGGAGGCGATCTTAATTGAGTTTTCCTAGGGTACCTGGAACGTCTGACTAGGAATGTTGTTCTGTGTAAAGTTTCTAGTTCCCATCAGAGCGAAGCTCTGTGGTAGACAATGACTACCGTAGGTACCCATCGGTTGTTCCAACAAAACATGGTGCCTTTGCAAGCACAGGACTTGTGAGAGGGGGGAAGAAAATAGACCTACAGACTTGATGTGTAGGTGGATGACATATATGTAGGAATGTACTTCAAGATCTCCGCATCCTCGTGAACAGCTGTCTTGTGCATACTCCATGATGCCAATGGTAGAGCTGTATAAGCCTAAATGTTCATGTTCAAATTTTAATGTGTTGATGAATCTGTTCATCGTGTCAGTTCTCTGGATATGCGATTTGAGCCTGTTAGTATAGACACAAAATATGATGTGCAGAAGGAACCTGCTAGTACTAATCAGCGAAAGTCAAATCTGCTTAGCCTCCTTATCTGCTTTAATAAGGAGAAATAAGAAAAATTCAGATAGGAGACCTTTGTATTTTCCCTCAAATAAGACAATAAGGTGGTTAAGCAGATCTAAATTTTGCTGATGCCTATGTGAGTCTCCCAGTGACATCCATACATTTGGGCATTTTTCCCATGCAGGTATAACAGAAAAATTCCTGTTATGCAGGTTAGTGGGGGATCCACATGTGCAAGTAATACCTTGCCATATTTTATACAAGTAACCTGCCAGTGCATCAAAGCACACACTGTTACTGGTTAGGTGTGGGTGGCAAGAGCTGAGAAGGAACAGTGAATATATCAAGATGCAATAGTTAATGCACATGCCTCAATTGTAAGAATGCAACTGAGAAATGAAATGATCATATAATACATGAGTGATTATTGTGCATATAACCCATACATATGCATCAAGGATGTGCAAAATCCAAGAATTAGCTGCCACATCTGTTAGATATGAACAACTGCAATGACAAAATATCCATCAGTAAGGTAGGTTAGCAATATTCACAGCAAAAATGAAGTGACATATCAAAGCAACAGATCTCACAAGGTTCTGTTCTTCTGAATAGCATTAGCAAAAGATTACTCTTTCTTATCTCATTTAGTTAACTTTTGGTTCTTAAATAAGACAATAAGAACACAAGGCCTCTGAGCTATATTCTGTTAAGGTCTCAAAATCATTTTTATTGCAAGCTAACTAGTTTGGACTGGTCCTAGGACTACAGTCCTTACCAGTCCTACCAGAACTGCAGTCCTAATTCTGGTTCTACCAAAACTGACCTGGTCTGGTCCTGATCCTGGTTCTTCTCAAAAAAGCAAAAAGATTGGACAGGACAGGGCTATACAATACTACTCAATATCAGCAGAAATTCCTATTTACATTCATTATATAGCTATTCAAATCATAAACAGGCTACTAGCAGCCCCATCTGAAAATCTGATTTTTGAATGAGCATGGGCAAGTGGTCTGGTTCTTTAGGGGCACTGCTGGAGCATTGATCTGTTGCAAAAGTAGTATTGCACAAGCAGAAACAGATGGTGCAGTGGCCATGATAAATTTCTCTCCCAACATACAGTTAGAAGATGAACCCACACCCATGAATGAACTTTGACAGCAACTTTCCCACATTTGTTTTGCATCCCTACGTCATGTCCCACCTTGCTCTGAGGTGACCAAATGCCTTGTTCAAATTCCTGCCACATTTGCGATGGTGGCCACAATGCCCGGGGTGTTCCCTCTCGGACCCTCCCTTCCTGGAGGAAATTGCATTTCCTCCAGACCCCCTTTGCTATTAGTGCTGCACTCTGATATGCTCCCAGACCTCCTGGCCTCTGAAAACACATTTTCTATTGATCTCTCAGACCTTACCACTTTATGCCTTAGCCTCCAAGATGAGTCTGACTCTTTTGCGATAATGTGCAAACATTTTGAACTTCGCTCGACTTCTCGTGACTTCTCTCTGACATTCAACATTCCTTCGACATTCATACATAACTCTTGCATCTCCTCGCTGTCGGGTACCACTTACCTGTTGTCCTTTGGTCTAGTTCAATGTGCTTTGGCCGATTTCCTTCTAAGTATATACTTCTCCGACATCACATTGCCTCTCTGAATGTCGTGCTGACTCGCTGGTTTGTCGTGCTGACTTATCGGTGTTGCTCAAGGGTTGTGCCCTCTTGTTTTGCAAATCTCATACATTTTTTCATTCATCCTTCCCCCTCAAGACCCCTACCTTCGTGGTGAACCGGAGATGCTGTTTGAGTATTTCATATAGTTCAGGACAAGTAACATATGTTTTCTTTCACTCTTCCTCTACTTTACCATTCATCTCCATCACTAACATATGACGTTCACCTCTCCACTCACTTTACCTATTTTTTCATTGGTTCTAGATCATTGTGACTCTTTCTGATGTCAGGATCCATCGTTCGACAGTTTGCGACTTCTGCATTTTCTCTCCCTTTTTCCCCCTCTATAAATACCTGCTGTATCTACATCAATTATCATCGAAGACCAGTAGGGAGGAGTTCTCCTTCACTTCAGATTACCGAGAAACTGCATTTACTACAATAGCGACTTCGAACTGTGATATACCCCACTGCGACACTGTGACATAGTGAGACTGCATACTGCATTTAGAGACTGTGACTGTGATAGTGATATAGCGACACTGCAATATACCATCTGCATTAGTCTTACTCAACTTTTGCATTAGACTGACTGTGACTTCATCGAGATGGCGAATACTGCCTTTCCCCATAGCGTTTCCATTACAGATACTTTGTAACCCTGACATAGGGTTACGATGCAGCCATTTCCAGACGCATGTTCATATTCCGTCTCGTGCCTTCGTTGGGTCCTCAGATCTCTCTGTACAACCACAATGAAGGTATGTATTTACTTGTCCCTACTGTTGGCTCATACTTACCTCAGATCTCTCTGTACAACCACAACAAAGATATTTCATTTTTGTTCTGTTTCCGAGTGCTTGCCGGTTGTGGACCGGCTCACACTTTTTTTTGAACACCAAATGAACCTCTTCAACCCCACGTTTCTCACTGAGAACGCATCTCCGAGTCTAGAAGGCTATCTCCCGGATCAATCTGTGTGCCTGTGCGGCCATGGAAGTATCGCCCCATCGCATCTCCGCCGTTACCCCAACGAAAGCATTGCCTATCGAGCGCCCACAGGATCATAGCGCTCGCATCTCGTTCCTGAACCACGAGCTACGAATGACTGCCCATCCTGCCTCCTAATATGCGTGCATACCTACATGACCTCTTCGACATTCTCCCATTCACCGACATCGAGAACATCCAGGAGGTCCTGAACCTCGAGCACCGCCCGGACTCAGTGTTCTCGCTCCTCACCGAAAAAGATCTTTCAGCACTTTCGTCATTATCTGCCTCCCCAGATCTGCCTCCTCGTTCCAGATCAATCTCGTCTTGCAGCTTCAACTCAGGCCTACAGATCATCATCACGATGTCATCTTCCAACATCGCCACTGTTGCGCAATCATCTTCGAAACACCCTCCCGTCCTCACATCAGGCAAAATAACTCCCGCCGTCGCTCATGCGTGGGAGAACACCTGCCTACAATACTTTAAGCAGAATGACACACCCGCGGATAAAAGAGTTGCGAAGGTCACTAGTGGCTTCCAGGACACCATTGTCAGTGACTGGTACTACAACGACTCTGATACCTTCGACGCCCTCCCCTGGAAGGACTTTCTGGCCACCTTCCGTTCTCGCTTCTTGCCCAAAGGATGGGAATCCACCATTCTCACCCAACTCCTTCGCTCTCGGCAAAAAGATGATGAGCCCTTCGAAGACTGGGTGCTGTCTCTTGAGAAGATGAACACCATACTCCGTGGCAGTACCTCCCACCTCGACGACACTCATCTGCATGCACAGATTGCTGCTAGCATCTGCGAGGACCTTCGCTTTGCATCTGACGATGATGATGTATGTAACATCATTTCCTTCAAAGATTGGAAGGACAAGCTCGCACAGATGGACACCATCTGCCTACGCGAGCGCGCTCGTATCTTACACATCACCGGGGCCTCCGCCAGGTCGAAGCCTCTGGGCCTGCCCATCAAAGCGATGTCCGGTAAATCCAACACTGCCCGTCTTCCCTCACTCACAGACAGTGAACTTAAGCTCCTCCGCGACAATGACGGGTGCTTCAAGTGTCGCAAATTCTTCATCGACAAGAAGCTCCGTGGCAAACAGAACTGCCCCGAGTCCTTCCCTGATCCCACCACATACTGCACACTCATGCAAGCGGACGTTGACAAGGTGAAGCGTGGTGTGGGCAAGGAAAACATTAAGCCACACTTGACAGTCAGTGTAGTTGTCGATGGATCTGATGATGCCGTCTACTCCATCAGCGCTATCTATCTGAATGCCCCTCCGCTCGCTGCCACCTCGGGCATCCTTGGCACAGGATCTGACAGTGATAATGAGTACGTTTCACCTGCTCTAGCACCTTTCACTGTCCCCCATATTCCTTGGTCCACGATCGTACACGGACCTTCATCTGACTCGCAACCTCTCCCCATGCTGATCAATTCAGGCTCTCCAGCAGTTCTGATTAGATTGGAACTTATATCGCATCTCGGTTTGCGTCGTCGCAAATTGCCTCAGCCCTTCCCGCTTGGAGATGTCTGGGGTACAGAGTCGAAGGATTCTGCTGAGTGGGTTAAGTTGCGTGTCTCTTTGCCAGATTCCTCCTGGTCTTCCATTGTTTGTCGTGCGATCGTTGTACAAAGTTGTTGTTACCCTGTAATCGTCGGTCGTCCATTCCTCAAATCCAACCATCTTGTCGTGGACCACAGCTGCAACATGGTCATCGACAAACGATCCAGGCATGATATCTGTGCAACTCTCATGCCCCCACCTCCGACCTCTACTCCTCCTACACCAACAACACTACTGCGTATATCGCCCGACCCCCACCTTTTCCGCGAACTGTCTGAGCGCACTGCAGCGCACCATGTTGAATGTGATGAGCACACTACCAACACGGCCGCCGCAACCATTCACACTCTTCGGAAGTGTACTGAGGAACTCGCTTACCAAGAAAAATTACGCGCTGCTAACCTAGAGGTCAAACAGGAATTCGTTGACCTTTTCCCCGATGATATTCCACACCTCGATGACCTCCCCACTGATGTGTATCACCGCTTCATGCTGAAAGACCCCCACATGGTCATTCAGAGATGACAGTATGACTGTCCAAAGAAGTACCGTGAAGCCTGGAAACAGCTTCTTGAGGGTCACCACAGGCGGACCCCCAGAAAGTCGAGAAGATCCTGAACTGGTCTGTTCCCCATAACTCTTCTCAAGTCCGTGCATTCCTGGGCCTCGTGTGCTACATCGCTCCCTTCCTGCCGAAGCTCGCTGACCATATGCACATCCTGAATGCACTGACTACTAAAGAGGCAGAACTCAATTTCCCTCAATGGACACTCGCTCACCAGCGTGCATTCGATGACATTAAATCCCTCATTTGCAGCCACAAGGTCCTTACCGTCATCGACCATGACAACATGGGGAATAACCACATCTTTGTATCCTGTGATGCTAGTGACTTTCGCACTGGCGCCCTCCTCTCTTACGGCAAATCCCTCGAAACTGCGCAGCCCATTGCCTTCGAGTCTTGCACTCTCAAAGGTGCAGAGCTGAACTACTCCATACACGAGAAAGAACTCTTGGTGATTGTCTGCGCTCTAAAAAAATGGCACGTTGATCTGCTAGGAACTCCTTTTACTGTGTACACTGACCATCGCACGCTTGAGAACTTCTTCCACCAGAAGGAGCTCTTGCGATGCCAGGCGTGATGACAGGAGTTCCTCGCCCAATATGACTTCGAGATTAAGTACATAAAGGGCGAGGACAATATTGCAGCTGATGTGTTATCTTGTATCCCGTCAGATATCAAGATTGTAGACCCCCTCTGCCATGCCGCTGTATCGCTCCTCCATTTCACAATGAAGTCACTTTGTGCCATACCCGAGCTGATTTCCACCACTCCTACGGCATTGACTCACCTCTCTATCTCCACAGACTCTGCCTGGCTGTCATCCATCTGCGCAGGATACACTTCTGACAAATGGTGTATAAAGCTACACACTTCCATTGACTCACTGGGAATCTGCAAGGAGAATGACCTCCTCTATGTCGGGGATCGCCTCATCATTCCTCGAGTGCCGGAAATTCGGGAAGGGATTTTCCGCCTCGCTCATGATGCTTTGGGTCACTTCAGATTTGACAAGTCCTACGCTGTGATCTGAGATGTCTATTATTGGCCTAATGTGCAGAAAGAACTCAAGGAAATGTATGTTCCCTCGTGCAAAGACTGTCAGCGAAACAAGTCCTCTACCCATCGTCCACCTGGTCCATTACATCCCCTCCCTGTCCCCACTGGCCACTGCAACTGCATTGCCATCAACTTCATTGGTCCTCTACTGAGGACGAGGGTTTTAACTGTCTTGCGATGGTGACTGACAGACTCAACTCCGATATCCATCTCATTCCCACTCGAACGGACATCTCCGCTGAAGCTTTCGCGTCGCAATTCTTCGACCACTGGTATTGTGAGAATGGGCTCCCTCTAGACATTGTCTCTGACCGTGACAAAGTTTTCGTATCCGCCTTCTGGAAAGGGTTACACCGCCTCACTGGAGTCAAGCTAAAAATGTTCTCGGCTTATCACCCACAAACTGATGGTTCATCGGAACGCTCAAATAAGACAGTGATTCAGGCGTTACGCTATCATGTCTCCCGTAACCAACGTGAATGGGTCCGCGCTCTCCCGCATGTACACTTCTCAATCATGAATACAGTAAACGACTCCACCAGCTTCTTGCCTTTCCAACTACTCATGGGTCGATCTCCGCGCATCATACCACCACTTTTTAATTCATCATTGGTGGACGATGCCTCCAATGAAACTGAGCATGCATCTGTTTTGATCCGGCAAATCGAAACAGACGTACTCAAAGCTCATGACAATCTCTTCCTCGCAAAGGTGAACCAGGCGGCACTGGCAAACCGATCGCATGGCAAAGAAATTGTCTACTCCGTTGGCAACAAGGTCCTCCTGTCTACCTTACATCGGCGTCGAGATTACATGCAATGCGGTGACCACCGCATTGCTAAATTTATGGTACGTTATGATGGACCGTACCCTATACTGCACGCACACCCCAATTGCTCTGCATACACACTCGACCTCCCCGATTCCATGAAAATTTTTCCAACATTCCACGCTTCCTTACTCAAACCCTGGCACGAAAATGACATTCCACGCTTCCTTACTCAAACCCTGGCACAAAAATGACAATGCTCTCTTCCCTTCTCACTCACATTCACAACCTGGCCCGCTCATCACCACAGATGGCGCCGAAGAATGGGAAGTCGAGCGTATCATTGACCATCACCCCAGACGATGCAGTTTCCAGTATCTTGTACATTTCCACGGTTACGGCCCCGAACACGACGTTTGGCTCCCGGGACGTGAGGTTAAAGACCTTGCGGCATTAGACGAATATTTACTCCTCTCGCCACACTAATTCTCTCCTTCTCTTCTTTTCCTCTCCTTCTTCCTACCTACCTTGCTCAATTTTTTACGACAGGGAGGAGTGTAACCCCGATGTAGGGTTACAACACTGCCATTTCTGGATGCATGTTCATATTCCGTCTCGCGCCTTCATTGGGTCCTCAGATCTCTCTGTACGACCACAACGAAGGTATGTATTTACTTGTCCCTACTGTTAGCTCATACTTACCTCAGATCTCTCTGTACAACCACAACGAAGATATTTCATTTTTGTTCTGTTTCCGAGTGCTCGCCGGTTGTGGACCAGCTCACATACTTCTCCTTTCCATTGCAATTTAGCTCGTCTTCATCTACGAGTTTGGTGATCTCATCGTGACTTTTGCTTCCCATCTCTGACTTTCGTGACTTCATCGTAGATTGTCACTCGACCTTGCATTTACATCGCAAGTCCTTGTTCTTTTACAGGTTGCATCCCCCTAGGCTTTGGTCGAGGTTCTGGGACCCACTTGTATCATTTACAGTGTCGCATCGCCCTTCTCTCTCACACACAGATTCCTTTTTGTTTTAGTTGGGTTTAGGTGTTTGTGTCGGGTGTGCACTCATCAGCGCACCTACTATGATACATCCCATAGTATACATCATGGTCCTACTGTGTACATTAGCTTGTAATTATCATTATTTGTGAGTTATAATCCTGTCTACAATGAGGACCTCCCCTCGCAACCAGCTTAACATTGGTTATACGACGGCTTGCATTTCTCCTTGTGTTGCTTCTCAAAAGGTATCAGTCTCTGCACTATACTCGCTGCAGCATCTGGGCTGCCCGTGACTGCACAAACATTAGGAGAAAGAGTCACAGTTGGCACTGCACTGCTGACCAAGATGAAATGGTCTGCATTGACCTCCCGTAGTGTGTGATAAGATGATCAAGGTGACGCAGGTGGCAAGATAATGCCATATTTTATCTGCGAGCTCCGCAATCTGTTGCCACAAGGTCCTAGCATCTGCCCAGCTTCACCACAGCCTGGATGGAGCATACTGACAGTGGATGGATATAAGAGCACTGTGCTGATGTAGGGACTAATGAAGGGCTCTAGTGTTTCATCGGGTTGGCCGAGTGCTTGCAGGCATCAGCTGTGGTTCCCACCATTGTATTACAATTGCTCACAACACTGGGCAGGCCATTGTGCACAACTCACCAGCCATTGTAATTGTAATAACACTGGGCACATTGTAATACAATGGCAATTACAATGCTGGCCACATTGTAATTGGAAAAAGAAGTGTTCACAGTGAGAGTTGAATCCCTAACCTCATGACCAGAGTTTTGCTTATGTAAGCTACACAAGACACATGCTTTAACCACTACACTATTAGTGCTTGCTGTTACTTCAACCTCAATTGTATATAATGAGTCTGTCCACTACAATATAATATACAAGCTTCTAATGCACATTTTAATATTATATCTAATACTATTACTTTAAAGAATTAGAAAAAGAGATAAACAAGTAAGAGAACATAAATAGACACTATAATAGTATTTAACAAAGAGTTAAGAAAGGAACAGTAACAAGTGTTAGTATTTGTAATAGAAGCTTGTATATTATATTGTAGTGGACAGACTCATTATATACAATTGAGGTTGAAGTAACAGCAAGCACTAATAGTGTAGTGGTTAAAGCATGTGTCTTGTGTAGCTTACATAAGCAAAACTCTGGTCATGAGGTTAGGGATTCAACTCTCACTGTGAACACTTCTTTTTCCAATTACAATGTGGCCAGCATTGTAATTGCCATTGTATTACAATGTGCCCAGTGTTATTACAATTACAATGGCTGGTGAGTTGTGCACAATGGCCTGCCCAGTGTTGTGGGCAATTGTAATACAATGGTGGCCACCACTGGTGCAGGGGCTCGAGTAGATGCATAGCCACAAATACACATCAGAAATATATTTTGCTGTGATCTTTGCATGATCTCAAGAATCTACCATTGTGTACCATTTGCACTGCATTCAATGATGCCATTCACGTGGGAGGGCAATATAAATGGCAGTTTCACTTCAGGGTACCCTTTATCTCTAGCTCTTAGCAACAAGATCTTCTATAGTATGTTATAGCTAAGAGCTTCTTAAGTGTCAAACTGACCATGGTACCTATTATGTCCCAGGGCATTCTGTGTAGATAGGGTATAGGCTGAGCATATGAGATGATTATTATGTGGGATATCCTACTAGACTAGGATATTAATTGTTCATCCCAGTATTACTGGTTGTCTCATGGTGTCAGGGATATATAAGGATGTTCCACTGTTAGCAGAAGATGTATTTTAGGCTGTTGTATATTTGTTGTTTCATCTTTTCATCTACTGCCATACTATATAAATCTTAATTACATAGTACAGTAAATCAGTGCTTTACTGATACTTCAAATGACATGGGAGATCCACAAATAGTGAGATATCTCATACTAAGTTTTATATTCACCTGCAGTGTTATAATACTAATTACTATTAGTGATATGTATAATATGTTTATTGGATCAAATAACAACTATAACAGGTCAAACAACAGTTCTTATTCTCGTGTTTCAAAAGTAATTATACCTTTTCTGATCCAATGTTCAAATTGATGTGATGTCACCTTTAGTATATTGCATCTAACATAAATATTCTATAACTTTCATTAATAACCAGAAAAAACACAGTAACTCAGTCTACGTATACACTAGCAAATAAGAGACGCTTTAGTCAAGTCTGCTACTATTGAATGTATCTGAACAAAGCAAGGAAGACATTTGACCTAAGATTGTAATAAAGTTGCATTTACAAACACATTCACCCAATGACTTCTTATACTCTGAGACATTATGCTATAGGATGGGATATCCCATCTAAGGACCTGTTACTCTCCAATCTTAATAATACAATGACTAGTATAGGTCTTTAGGTAATTATAGTAGTCTAACAGATATATTCAGACAAATAATAGCCTGAATAGCTGTCAGCATACAAATAAATCACATTTTAGGATGTTCTTAAAATGAGATGGAATATCCTTAAAATGGAATGTCTCATTTTTATATAAAGTGTTAATAAAGTGTTGATTTACTATACTATGTAATTACAGTTTATATAGTACAGCAGTAGATGAAAAGATGAAACAACAAATATACAACAGTCTAAAATACATCTTCTGCTAACAGTGGGACATCCTTATATACCCCTGACACCATGGGACAACTAGTAATACTAGGATAAACAATTAATGTCCTAACCTAGTAGGATATCTCACATAATAATCATCCCATATGCCCAGCCTATACCCTATCTATACTCTGGGCAATCCCACTGTAATGGGTCAGTTCTGACAACCATTATTTGTTATGGACTGCTTACTACTTACCTAAGCAAGTTGCTTTATATCGTCTACATTTACCATCTAGCTGTGTCTACACTCAGTCTTAGCTACTTTCGGCTATATATTGAGTCCACTGCAGCCCTGATGAGTCTGAGGATTTAGGCTCCTTACACCTTTTTTGCAGTCCCAGAATTACTGCTGAAATTCTGCTATGACTGTCTACTACTGGCTGGATGGGCAGGAGCGCTCCTTGCGCCCTGCACATCATATCTACCTGGCAACACCGCTGAGGACCTCTGAAGTTAAGGTCCTCACCATTGACATTGACTGTGTTGCCAACACCCTGCAAAAGTGGGTTGAGGTAAACAACCTCACCTATTGGCTCACAATTGCCGACTGGTTGATCAAGCGACATCTCCACCTCGCCACCCTCCATGAGTGCTACGCTTATGAAGATGGCCTCACCACCATCAAGCATGCTCACCACCACCTTGATGCCCTCATGAAATGCCTGAGAGCCACTGTCATCCACACAACATTTGATGTGGCATGGATGCATCACCATATGACATGTGACCACATCAAATGTGACACATCCCTCTCTGCTGCCAGGCCTGCACTCCCCATTTCCTCCCCTCTCACGTCCAACATCCTCGCTAGGGCCGGCCACCCGCATCACCTCAAGACCAATGTGCCAAGTCCAGAACAAAAAAACTGGCACAGAAAACTGGTGGGGGAAAGAGCAGAGGCAGAGGAGGCAGAGGAGGAGAGGAGAGCGGAAAGAATGATGCGAGGAAGGCTGCAATGCTCCCAGGAGCAGGAGCAGAAGCTGAACAAGTAGGACGAGGTGTAGGATACACTCACCCTGCCATCCCACATTGCACCACTGCCATGCACCCACATCACTGAGCACCTGATGGCCCCGATGCTCTCACGTGTGACACCACTGTATCGCAGTGTATGCACATATGCAATGGCTGTGATGCAGGATGCAAATGACGTGCCCGCCATGTCACCAACTCCAGAGGTGCATGACCATGACAGCACAGCACCAATGCACCCAAGCACAATGCTGCAGTGTGGCCGCATGATCATGCCCACAGCAGCCACAGCACAGGATGTGAATGACACACCCACAACATCACCAGTGTGTGGGGTGCAAGTCTGCAACAGCCCAATGCCAGTGCACCTTGCTGTCCGGGCCACTGACTGCCCAACAGCACAGGTGGCCCCAATGGACCTGAGCACACTGACACACCATTGTAGGGTAGGAGCATTGGCTGTCCTTGGACAGAGCACTTCTCCGTGCTTTGCCTTGCCTCGTGTCTATCGGACGCTTTGGATCGGATGCTCGGCATCCTCCGCGCTTCATTCCTATGCTTCAGTATGCCATACGCTTCATTTCTTCTGCTTCTCCTATTTCTTGTTTGTCTTTCTCGACGTATATATAGGTCCCATGTATCGTACTCTAGGATTACGATCCCACCGTATAGATTCTGTTCACCTCACATCTCGTCTGCTCGCCATATCTGCTCGCCGCTGCCATTTGTCATTTGTATCATCTCGTTGCTGCTGTCCGCTGTCCGCCATCCATATCGTGCCGTCGTCATCATTCGCCCCCTTTGTATCATCCCGCCGTTCGCCGTTCACATCGATTCCCCGCCGTCGCCCGCCGTTCATATCGCGTCATCACCGTTCGCTGCCATCTTTGTTTTGTCACTCCCCTCTATCCATCACTCACGCCCATGGCTGATCTCCACACATTGTCCCTCAACCTCGCATTTGTCCTTGCCCACACTCTGAGGCAGACTTACATATTGGAGCCCACCGCGAGGGGATAAGGCAGATTTAGCCCTATTCGCACACACACATCTTCAACAACACCAATTTCTTTTTTCCACCATTCCGAGACATGTTCCGCCGTCGCCTCATCACCCGTCTACCGTGCCATCTGTACCGTCATCGCCGTCGAGAGTTCCGAGGCCATCGTCGATACTGACTCGCGTTCAGCCGGCCCGTCTTGTGGGATCGTCGCGCCACGTTGACTCTAAGTGTCCGAAGCTAGTGGTAGATTCACCAGAAAAACCTGCACGAAAAGAATATCAGTACGTTCTGAAGAACCCGCCTTGTGCTCGCACACCGTCACCGCCGCCAGCTGATCATCTTGAGCACACGCCGAACATCGAAAATTCCGTCGAAGACACTTACTCTGTGCCCCTCGAGCCCGACATCACGTCCTCAGCACCTGCTACTGCCATACTCGTACCTGCTTCACCTCCTAATCCTTCGCTGTCTGACTCTATCCCTGATCCGGCTTCTGCATCTCCTCTATCAATTTCTTTGTCAGTTTCTCCTCACGCACCTAATTTTCCGATCATCCCTCTTCCTATTATCACCATGTCATCATCTACTGCAAAGGGCCTGAGCGGCATGCCCGCCCCTGGTTCAAGCAAAGTGCCTTCATTCCATGGTGAAAGTTCGGAGCTTCTCGAGTTTTTTGAATTCTTCGAGGACCTCACGAATGACTGCAAGCTCTCCGCACCCGAGAAATGCAAGAGCTTAGTTCATTATGTCGACAAGACCACGAAGCACTTCTGGATTAGCTTGGCCAGCTATGAGAGCCAAGACTTCGAGACCCTGAAGAAGAATATTTTAGCACAGTATCCGGGCGCCGACAAGGGTATCCGATACACCCTTCGTGAACTCGAGCAACTCGTTGTAGAACAAGCCGGAAGCGAAATTCAGACTGAAACTGAACTCCTCACCTATTACCGCCTGTTCTGTCCTATTTCTCAATGGCTTGTCCACAACAGCCACATCACCGATTGTGAACGCAATAGCTATTTCTGGCAGGGCCTTCCTCGGGACACGCGCCGTGCCATTGATCGCCGCCTAGAATTGACGATCCCAGATTTCAGCCGTGCTGCCCCACCCGATGTTGAGAAAGTGGTTGCTGCTGGTCGCTTTGTCTTCTCCGATGAAGCCTTTGATAGCGAGTATAATGACCCGATTTCTATGCGGTTGCGAAGCCTCAAAGGATGAGCCGGTGGTCGTACTGAAGACGCCACCCATCGAACTGTCAGAAAGACTATGGTCGTCGACAGCGATGACGAAGATGATGAGCTGAAAGACAACAAAAAGGAGGTGCGTACCAAGACCGTTCACTTTGATGCATCCGCAATCCCGAGTCGGTCCACAATTGATGAAGTCGAGGAGCTCGCGAAATGTATGCATGCACTGAAGGTCGATGATGCGGCCTACTCCGGCTGCTATACCCATCTGGTCTGTCTTGCTCCTGCCACTGCGAGTGCTTGGACTCCGCTGTCGATGCATCAACAGGCATCAATGCCATCTGCTGGTGCTCCTCCCCCATGCCGTACTTGGAACTACACGACACCTTCTACAGGCCACGTGCACTCGACACGTTGCTGTTTCTTCTGTGGTCAGCCAGGCTGCACGATCGGAAACTGTCCTACCAAATGGGCATATGTGCAAGCAGGATGGATCATCATTGTAGGGCATACTCACATGTTCACCGACCACTCACCTATTCCGTGGAATGAGCGAGGCCTTAAGTTTTCAGTTGATGAGCGGTTTGGCGGTCCTCTCCCTTCAATGATGACCCCTGCAGCTCCAGCTTCCGCAGCACCCAAGCCGCCGAGTTCTACTCCTGTCCGCGATGTGCCACCACACCAAGCGCAATTCACGTCTTGTCTCCTGGTTTGCGAGCCCATTGCGGAAAGCAACGCCGTCATAGCCAATGTCGAGGGCCCTGTCAAGGAGCTACGAGAACCTTTAGTTGCAGCCACCAAGAGCGACAAAGACAAGAAAAATCCCCCTGAGAATGATGGACGCAAGACTCGAGCAACTGACCATAGTAACCGACCATGCACGTGATCCCAGAGCAGAGCCCGTCTTGATGTACCTGCTGTTGAGAAATATGACCCGCACCCGACCAAGCCTGCAGACAGCACGATGCCCTCTCCAGATCTCAAGAAGTCCACACCTGCTTTTATCTATGAGTCCAAGGCTGCCGTTCCCAATGCGGCACATGCGATCTTCTCTCGCATGCTTGACGTTGTTGTTCCAAATGTTACTGTTGGGGAACTTCTTGCTGTCAGTCCTGACCTATGCAAGGAAGCCATCGACCACTCGAGAATGCACCGTATTGCGACTGCCCCGCAGTCAGCACTGTCCGCGATTACCTCTCTCACTCTGCCATCTGTCGATCATGCTACCCCCCTTCGCGAAATTGCTGTGTCGATCAACGGAAAACTTGTTCTCAGTCTTCTTGATGAAGGCTCTGAGATTGTTGTGATCCAGCAGGACCTGTGTGAAGAGCTCGGGCTGCACATCAATGAGACCATGCGAATGAATATGGAAACCGCAAACAGAGGGAAAGAGCCACTTCCGGGATGTGTGGAAATGTTGGAGATTAATGTTGAAGGAATTCGTACCTGGGCACATGCATATGTGGTCCCGAATGCTCCGTACCGTTTACTGCTCGGTCGACCTTGGCAGAAACACGCACGCCTGCACAAACACGAATTTGAGGATGAAAATGTCTTCATTACTGTCCATGACCCTTGCGACCCGACGAACACCCGTGATCTGTCCACCAAACCTCGGCTCATTGGTGTCCCCCGCGGATCATTCGCACTCACTGTCTCGTCTGCTGCTGTGCGCTCTGATGTGATACTGCCTACTATCAGCGGCCTTACTGACACATTCCTCGCTGATGAAGTCTTGCGCTCGAACTATGAATGGGACCCCGTTGCTCATGTCTTCGCATACAAGAAAGTCGCTAACAAAGTCCGCCCAATTGTCACTGCCATGCCAGAGTATGCGCGAATCGAACGGTGCATACCCAAGGACCCTCTCGCCACACTTTCCCCCTTGTCCCCTCATCCCCCCGATTTCACACCTGGCACTCAGCTCTCGCAGGAACGCATGGACAACCTGGGTGTCCTCATTAGTGATTTTCTTTGGCCCGAAGAACAGAAGTTGATTGCCCAGGTTTTGAAGCAAAATGAGACCGATATTGCGTGGGATGAGTCCGAGAAAGGTCATTTTCGTGACGAATATTTCAAGCCTGTCATCATTCCTACCATTCCGCATACCCCCTGGGTCCACCGCCAGCCTCCTATCCCACCAGGTATCCGTGAAGAAGTTGTCAAGCTGATTCAGGCAAAGATCAAGTCTGGTGTCTACGAGCCATCCAACAGTGCTTACCAATCAAAATTCTTCTGTGTTGCGAAGAAGGACGGATCAGTGCGAATTGTGCATGACCTGCAGCCGCTCAACCGTGTCAGTATCCAGGATTCCGCAGCACCCCCTTATGTCGAACACTTTGCAAAGCAGTGTGCCGGCTGTTCCATATACACAATGATGGACCTCTTCGTCGGATTTGACCACTGCACACTGGATCCATCATCACGCAATTTCACCACATTCCAGAGTCTGGTCGGCACTCTACGTCTTACTGTTTTGCCTCAAGGATGGACCGGATTGCCACCAATCTTTCAAGGTGATGTCGTGTGGATCTTGCAAGATGAGGTTGAAGTTGCCCCGAATTTTCAAGATGATATTAATGTTCTAGGCAAGAAGACACGGTACGAATTAAATGGAGGAGAATATGAAGTCATACTGGAGAACCCGAAGATTCAACATTTTGTCTGGGAGCACGCACAAGACCTCAATCGCGTCTTGCACCGTCTGAAGCACGCTGGAGCTACCGTCTCAGGCAAGAAGCTCTTCCCCGATCGAGAAGAAGTTATCGCTGTTGGCCAATGTTGCAACTATGAAGGACGTGCACCCGATAATTTGAAAGTCGCCAAGATTGTCAAATGGCCCGCGTGTACAACAAAGTCTGAGGTCCGTGGCTTTCTTGGCACAGCAGGAACAGTCTGCATGTGGATCAAGGACTTTGCCACCATTGCACGCCCTCTTGTGAATCTAACCAAGAATGATACCCCTTTCGAGTGGGGCCCCGCAGAACAAGAATCCATGGACCTACTCAAGGATGCTGTTGTTCACTCTCCCGCCATCTGCCCGATCGACTACAAGTCCGATAACGAAGTCATTCTCGCAGTCGACTCATCACACATTGCCACCGGTTACATTCTATTACAGCTTGATGACGCTGCTCGTCGCCGTCCCTCTCGCTTCAGCTCAATTACTTGGAATGATCAGGAGTCTCGTTATTCACAAGCAAAAATCGAATTATATGGGCTCTTCCGCTCGCTCAAAGCTGTCAAGATTTTTATTGTTGGAGTTCGGAATCTCACCGTGGAAGTAGATGCAAAATATATTAAAGGCATGATCAATAATCCCGATGCGCATCTGAACGCCACTATGAATCGATGGATCGCAGGTATTTTACTTTTTAATTTCAAGCTTGTTCATGTACCAGGACCAAAACACCGAGGACCCGATGGATTGTCCCGATGCCCACGTGCTGAAGATGACGCCGAAGATGATGGAGAGGATTCGGAGGAGATTGAGGAATGGTTGGATGAGGTTTTGAGTTGTGGGATATCGATTGCTGGAGGATTAGCAGACGGAATGATCGGAATACCAACAGAAGAAGAAGGACAGAAAGAACAGACAGGTTTAGTTTTAACCGCAGGATCACACGCGCACGACGCGCACGACGACATCATTATTCCCCCTTCCACGACTTCTCAATGTGACGATGACAACTTACACCGCATTCAACACTATCTGAGGACTCTCAAATGACCCGCACTTGACGACAAGGCTCTCACTCAATTCTACAAGCGTGCCTCTCAATTTTTCGTACGCGGCGCTCCACTCTGGCACAAGGAACCACTCGGATGACACCAGCTCATTCTCTTTGGCGACCATCGACTTCGTATTCTCCGCGAGGCTCATGACAAGCTGGGACATAAGGACATCTATGCTACGCGATGCACGATTGCCGACCGCTTCTGGTGGCCAACGCTCAACAAGGATGTACAGTGGTTCATCAAGACGTGCCATCAATGCCAGATCTGCTCCGTAGAAAAGGTCGTTATCCCGCCCACAGTCGCACTTCCCGCTCCCCTCTTCCGCAAAGTGCACACCAATTCTATGTACATGCTGAAGGCACAAGGCTACCAGTACATCGTGCAGGCCCACTGCAGTCTCTCCGCATGGCCCGAATGGCGAATGTTAAAGACCAAAACTGGACGAACACTTGGCGCATTTATTTTCGAAGAGATTCTCTGCCACTGGGGAGGACTTGAGGAGATCGTCACGGACAATGGTACACCTTTCGTCGTGGCACTAGACTGGCTCTCGCACAGGTACCACATCAATCACATTCGGATTTCGGCATACAACTCGAAGGCTAACGGCATCGTCGAACGCCCGCACCGCACTATCCGCGACTCGCTCGTCAAGGCCTGCAACGGTGACATTACAAAATGGCCATCCTATGCTCCACACGTCTTCTGGGCTGACTGCGTCACTACTCGAAAGTCTACTGGCCACTCTCCGTACTTCATGGCTCATGGTGTTGAACCCCTATTACCCTTCGACATATCTGAGGCAACATTCTTGCTCCCGGATATCACAGCCAAGCTCGACACCGCAGACCTGATTGCTCTTCGTGCACGCCAGCTCATGAAGCATGATGAAGACCTTGGTGACATTCACGCAAAAATATTGCGCACTCGCCTTACGTCTGTTGCCGCGTTCGAAAAGCGCTATGCCAACACGATTCACGACTACCATTTTAAGCCTGGTGCTCTCGTTCTGGTCCTGAACAAGAAGATCGAGCCTGACTCCAACCAGAAATGCAAGCCCCGCTATTTCGGGCCTATGGTTGTTGTCCGCCGCTCTCGAATGGGATCCTACCGTCTTGCTGAAGTCGACGGCACCGTTTCGAAACTCAAGTTCGCTGCTTTCCGCTTGATTCCCTACCATGCACGTTCCTTGCGGTCACTTGAAGTCACGGAGTTTGTTGATCCATCTGACCTTGCTGGAGTTGATGAAGACTTGGATTCTCAAGATGTTTCGGTTGGTCTTTTGCTTGGGGATCAACCAGGGATGGTTGATATCTGAGTTGGGGGTGGATGTAGGGTAGGAGCGTTGGCTGTCCTTGGACAGAGCACTTCTCCGTGCTTTGCCTTGCCTCATGTCTATCGGACGCTTTGGATCGGATGCTCGGCATCCTCCGTGCTTCATTCCTATGCTTCAGTATGCCGTACGCTTCATTTCTTCTGCTTCTCCTATTTCTTGTTTGTCTCTCTCGACGTATATATAGGTCCCATGTATCGTACTCTAGGATCACGATCCCACCATATAGATTCTGTTCACCTCACATCTCGTCTGCTCGCCATATCCGCTCGCCGCTGCCATTTGTTGTTCGTATCATCTCGTCGCTGCTGTTCACCATCCGCCATCCGTATCGTGCCGTCGTCGTCATTCGCCCCCTTCGTATTGTCCCACCGTTCGCCGTTCGCATCGATTCCCCGCCGTCGCCCGCCGTTCATATCGCGTCATCACCGTTCACTGCCATCTCCGTTTTGTCACTCCCCTCTATCCATCACTCATGCCCACGGCTGATCTCCACACATTGTCCCTCGACCTTGCATTTGTCCTTGCCCACACTCCGAGGCAGACTTACACCATGGCTGCATAACAAAGCTCACAGTGGCTGTGGTGCAGGATGCGGACATCACGACCAACACACTGCCAGTGCTGAGGGCATGCCATGCAGGTGCCAATGCACGAGTATGCCCAGCATCACCAATGCATTGCACCATGTCGACAGCACCAGGGGCATGTGCCCAGGATGATGCACCCACCATGCTGCTAACACTGAGGGCACACCATGACTGCGCCACAACCCAGCCATGCATCATGCCAACCACACACCCCACTGCCGTGTTGACAATGCGACCCCCTCCTTCGCCGACCACACACCCCGCATCTGATGTTCACGATGGACCACCACCCTCCTGCACCATTGAGCAGCCGACCTCAATGGCGCCAGTGGACCGCAATGCAGTGCCACGGCATCGTGCCCAGGACACCCCGAGGCAGCAGCACCTGTGTACAACAGTGCACAGTTGCTGCCCCACCCACCTCCATTGACATTGTCGACTCCCCTACCATCTGTCCCACCTCTGCGAACTCGAGGGCCTAACCCTCGACTTGGCCACATCAACCGGCACTGGCAGTAGGCCCACCCACAGGACTCATGCCTCCCAAACCACTGTGTGCGGTCTCCTCAGACACCCCCGGTTGTTGTTTATAGAACCCGAACCTAAGGTGGAGCTGATGGGTTTTTCTGGAGTGGGAGGGAGTGTGCACATCGCACATTGACTTTATGGTATATATCTTTTATCTTCCCTCTATGTGTGGTACATTTTATTTTATGATATCCCCACTTATTCCCCTCCTCTTCCTTTCTTTCCCCCTGGGTTGTTTCCGGTAGGGGAGGGTGTAACTAGTGTATGGCATGGGTATCGCCAACCCACATGGGTTGTAAGTATGGGTATCCATGGGTATGGGTGTGGGTCAGCAGTGAGTAACCCATGGAAACCTATGGGCCATCTTATGAGTTTGTTATAAACATAGGGTTCCAGAAGTGTGGTGGTGGTGTAACTGTACAGTACCTTTATTTAGTAATTCAAACCTAGTATCACACACAGCTCAGAAGACCCATCTTATCACCCCAAAAGCATGGCAGGTGACGGCACAAAGACTTGCATACTGCTATTGTACTATGACTCCCACACTGCAACCCATGGGATACCCATGATGGGTCTTGACCCATACAGACCCATAGCTGACCCATACCCAACCCATGAAAAACCCATACCCATGTGATGGGTATGGGTTTTCCGTGGGTATGGGTGTGGGTATACCTTGTCAGACCTATGGAATACCCATACCAGACACTAGGTGTAACGGGTCAGTTCTGATGACTGTTACTCGTTATGGACTGCTTACTACTTATCTAAGCAAGTTGCTTTATATCCTCTACATTCACCATTTAGCTGTATCTACACTCAGTCTTAGCTACTTTCGGCTATATATTGAGTCCACTGCAGCCCTGGTGAGCCTGAGGATTTAGGCTCCTTACACCCACAGAATGCCCTGGGACATAATAGGTACCATGGTCAGTCTGACACTTAAGAAGCTCTTAGCTATGACATACTATAGAAGATCTTGTTGCTAAGAGCTAGGGATAAAGGGTACCCTGAAGTGGCAGTTTCACATCCTAGTGTTACGTAAATACACTAGACAAGATACAGTAGCGGGAGAAGGAGAGGGGACTACGAGATGCCCATTGGGCACAAGAGAGATGAAGGGTTATCTACACCCACTGTACCAAAGTTCACCAGATGTTCTGCTGGGCAGGCTGCAACAGTTTTTTTGATGTCCAATATATTGGCTTTTGGCAGCCTCCAAGGCAGAGCCGAGGAATGGCACAGCATGGTCGTCTGGCTTGCGAGACTACAGTTTCTGGAGGTTTCCGGCACTCTTCAGAGTCTACATAATTCAACCAAAATATTTACCATGTTTGATTGTCCGCAACTGTATGATGACTGGCATGAGCATACAAAATCTACAACAGGAAACTCCGCCGGCAATCTCCGAGATGGGCGAGCTAAGTATCATGTCCAAGGCTTTGAAATAACTTAAATTTTACTTCACTGCAACATTTGAAGCACATTCTTACTATCTAACACTTATTGTACCCATATGCAAAAATATGCAAACAGCGGTCGGCACTATTCCGCTCAGCGCTCTCCATCAATCTCCGCGCTTCTATTTTTTTTGTTGGACGGTAAGCGGACACCTCATTGAATGAATACAACGTCCTATCAGCTTCCCGTGATGATCGCAGCAATCAACATTCGGCCTTCGTCGAAACATGCGGATTTCCGTCGGAGCAACCGGGGAAGACGCGGAGCCTTCGTCACGGACTGCGCATGCCGGTGTACGTGCATCGGTCTCTCAATTTTCGTGGCTCAGAACTAACTGTAAGCCTCAATGGCGGTGCTGCCTTTCCACAACGTGTGTTGGGGTGAGCCCAATCCTACATCTTCGATCAATCTCGGATACTAACTAAAAAATCTTAGATTTCGACCACATCCTCATCTACGATCATACAACATAGCGTCTCGCTAACGGGTTAGCGGGTACACGAGGCAAAGCAACGGAAACAGTACAGAAAACAATCTACAGGGAAATAATAGTAAATAACGGGTATTTTCCAATCTCGCTGCGACTGGGATAAATAGATGGCCAACGAGGGAGGAGAGTAACAGCCTTGATCACTGTGAGAGTGAGTACACGTCCGTCCAAATGTGCACAATATCTTACAGTCAAGGAATGGAATGGGCACCAGATGATTCCCATGGTGCGGACTCATGACACCACGTGCAATGCACATGGAAGCTAATCCTGTGTGGTCGCACCGCGTGGGCGAATTGCTCGATTAGAACCTGCAGAGCTCTTTCCCCACGCCGTACAATGTGCACGAGCCAACTCTCGCTCTGGTGGACGAGCCATTTACTTCTTCCGGGGCGGAGTCGTCGTCGTCGTTGGCGATGTAGCTCTCAGAAACATCCTCACAGTCGCTATCGTTCCAATAGTAGGCCGGCGATCCACGAGGCGCAGTACCACTCATGCTGGAGAAGGCGACGGGTGGAGAAGAGATGTAGGCAGGGGAAGACAACTGGTCCGCGTCACCAATGATGCTGCCAAAGGGAGGCAGGATACCAGATGTCGAGCCTGACTTGTGAGACCGATAGTGCCGGAGCATGTTTGAATTAACGCTGAAAAGCTGCCCACATGCAGGGCATCTGAAGGCTGGTATGCACCATGTTAGGATATGCTCGAAGTAGACAAGCTCCTCGACGCACTTTTCGCACCCGTGTGGCTGTTCATGTGGGTCGCGAGGCTGCTGTGCCTGTTGAATGCTTTGCGGCATAAACTGCAGACGTGTCTCTTCTCGTTTTCATATGCGCCCCGACTGGGACGGGTGGGTCGAGATGTCCGCCGTGAGTTCTCCGGATAGGTATTATTGGGAAGTGATGATGGTGAAAGAACAGCGGCCAACAAGGGAGGATTAACGGCTCCTGAACTACGGGAGCGCGGCAGCATCTGTGTTTCGATAGGATCCCGAAAATGGGAGCAGCTTCCACGCCTGACGAAGTCCTCATGGACTTGTCTTTGACTGGAGTCATGACTTAAACGTTGATGTGCTGGATGGTTCAGGTTCAGTAAATGATCTATTCTGTCCAGTCCGCATGGAGGAAGGTGGTGTATGATTTCAGAAGGATTTGGCTAAATTTCAACGCATGAATGAAGCCATATAGATCACCCGCTCTGACTAGACGCACCACGTTGTCTCCCCCTTCCTTGATTTTGTGGAGCTGATGGACGTTGTGGCGCTGCGACATTGACTTCAAGAAATGTTCTACCGAGAAGTGGCGTTAACAATAATGTCATAACAAGACCAGGAAGAGAACTCACCGGGAAACAGTTCATGGATACTAGGTAACGATATTCGCGTGGATGACCTCTGGCGCGGCATAACTTGACAGGACCAATGCTTTCGGGGAGCTGCGGAGAAGCTAAGTTCCATTCGGATTCTCTCGAACTTTTATAGGGAGGATGGTGAAGAACCAGAGCATCGCATCATCATATAATCAAGATCGGTTGGGCAGTATAGAGAACGGGTTATCAGACGGTATGTTGAGCCTCGCGGCAGAAGTAGCCCGGGTGGGCGAAATGACCAGGCTACCCGATTTCAACCCATTGGCACGAATGGTGTGATATTTGTATATGCACTAACCTCTGACGAATATACATTCGCCAAGCAGAGCCTTCTTGCGCGGCTCTGACAATGGCAGTAGACTGATGACGGGGAACTGGCGAGCAATGCTTAACGGTGCCAAGGGAGGAGTCGCCCAGTGTCATTGGGAGACGAACTTTAGATGCAGATCACCGCAACGAAACCATCCTGGTCGGTCTCTTCGGTGGCTCTGCTGATTTTACTTTAGTCCTCATTGCGCAGCCAAGAAAACGTCGTCTTTGAAGGCGCCGACTCGTGAGAGTGTGCCAGTGAGTTACATACACTTGAAGCTAAGTCTTCACGGACTGCCGGTGGATCCGCTGCTCCATAAAGCGACTTTGAGGGATATTGTGGAGAGAACTCGATCGGATACTATTCCATGTCACAGCGTAGCTGAAGACTCTTGAGATACACTCTAAAGCCTCATGTCCAATTCCGCAGGAGAAGGGCCGGAACGCTGCAGTTCCAGCGTCTACTGAAGAGCACCATTACTTTGTCTCGACGGCAGCATACGCACTCGAGTCGGTGACAGGAACATGCGAAGGACAGAGTTTACCGGAGTGCAATCCATGTGTGCTCCACTCGGGTTCTGCGGTAACTGCCAAGTACCGTATAGTTCAATAAGCCCGGAGTATTGGCCGACACTTTGGGATGCCCTGACTCGGAGGGGTATTGAGTCCTTAAAATGGGTTTCTTGCAAGAACAGCAATCAATTCAACCGTACTCGGGAAAATGCACGAGGATATTTCAACGTCACGCACTGCCAGGACGTTTGGCTGTGAGACGTGCGAAAGCGGATAGATCGGCTGTTCTACGTCGGCGAGCCGGCTCCGCACGGGCTCCAGAACATTTCCTGAGGATAGCGGGGTGAGACCTTGTTCAATGCCTTTATGGAGAACGAATTGCGACGAGATCTATTGTGATGATTCTGCTGAGATGTGACCACATCAGGAAAAAATGCCTTGACTACATGGCCCGACGTAGCCTAGGTAGCAGTGGTAGCCCGGTAGACAAGTCCCCGGTTATATTGTACCGGTAGCTGCTGCAGCACCTCTGTAGTGCCCTGTAGCCCAGTAGGCATCCTACGTAGCTGTAAGTAATCCATTGTAATCAGCGGTAAAGTGGTAGCCCCCGGCCAAATTTCATAGCTAGAAGCCGAATAGCCGTCAAATCACACTAATGGACACAGTGCAAGAAATATATTCAGAATATACTAGCTATATTACACTAAACCGGAGTGCTGAAGCAGGGAAGCACGAGCAGATCAGAGCGGCGGGAAACAACAAACAGTGCCTGGCCGTTCGTGCGTCGGCTGCCCGCGCGAACGAGGAGGTCAGAGGAAGGGGCGAAGGGCGAGGGGAGTGCGAAGCGGCGGTGCCCACATTTAGGCTTGCATGCACCGGGAATTGGGCACGTTTGAGATCTCAATGCACGGTAGCATACGAACCAACTCAATTTTTAAGATGCTTTAAAGCTCCGCTTGATAGGCGTAACCTCTCCATGGTGCTATGAAAATGTGAGTGGTGGTTACACAGCCCTACAGAGGTGTACATTGAGCGACGCGCGGCTACATGCCCTACACGTGTCTACGTAATCATGGCGGCAGCTACCTCACTTGGGGCTTTTTCCTGATGCACGGCTGCAACTTTGACCACAGCCCGCGGAGATGGGGGGTGGGGCCTCCTAGAGGAGCGTGTAGGCAACAGGGGTATCCAGATGGACGAGATATCGAACCTGATTAGACTGGTCATGGGGCTGAACCGGGGTGGTGTACACAGTTACTTGAAAAAGCTGAAAAGACTCTGGCTAATATCTTCGCACAACCCTGGATGAACTTTTAGGCGGCATCCTGTCGATACCGGACTTACAATGTCCCCAGAGGGTGTAGCACTGGGCAGGATTGCTGCCCAGGCAAGCCTGATCGCGTGACTGCGGCTGAATACAAAGCACATGGATGGATGTGAAAGGACATTGCTCACCAAGTAGAACACAGCCTTCCCAAGCCAGTGATATTTCAAGACAATCATCAACCAACGCCATAGCCACGATACCCGATGACAGCTCCGTATAGAGCTAAAGCACCGTCTTCGAACGGGAAATGCCAGCGGGACTTTCCGTCAAACGTAGTTGGCACTGAAGGTCTTTGGGCATACGAGAGACCACAGTCTCATGAGTCATTGATTGGCGATGGATATGTCAGAAAAAGGACCCAATCAATGAAATATCCAGACCTTGAAAGGGTGACCTCGGTTATTGGCATCTAAACATGTTATACGCAGCTGCGACCTACATCACAACATACTACGCGGAAAAGTGTCCAGAGCCACTTCAATCCTTCAATAATTCTGCAGAACAAGCAATGCGTAGGCATTTCATGTAGGTAAGTCATCGAATATTGAAGTCCCAACGAATTTGAAGCAGGTGCGTGGATACACGTCCACGGCACAATTCCCCAAAGCTCCCGCTGGAGCTACTTCTGGTTCAGTGTTCATCACCGCAAGAAGACAAGGACTAGGATCAAATCTCTGAGAAGAAGTGTCAAACGAATGACTTACTGACAACCCGGTGGGCCGCCGGTTCGGAGTTGAACAGTGAAGTGGAACTGTCCGGCGAAGCAAAGCGCTGCTGCAGGGAATCTTAGATTGGAAACACCCTTGATGTCATATGCACTATGACGGACCTCGTTTAACAATGTTGTTTCCAGGTTTAGTACATGACATGTAAACCGAAGGAGAGCAGGGGAGCCCCTCAGCAACGAGTGCGTTGTTGTACAGGGATATGATACCGAAGATTACCGACGGAGATGATAGTCGTCGACAGCGGATGTCAGGTGGCCGGTGTACGACCCATGTCGCATCCAAGTCGCCAAGGTCTCTGGATTCGTAGATTCAGGAACAAAGTTAATGCGTCGATTACAACCTGTCCTATCTTAAAGGCGCTGGCTGAATACTTGCACCACGTCAGTTAAGCTACGAGCGTCACAAATAATCACGATATCGTACGTATCTCTCACCGTCAACCCCTCAAATGTCCGCGAAAGTCTCTTTAGTCCACGTACAAGTGAGAGGCCTCGAAATATCTTTGAAAGCGAGCAGATCTGCCTGGGGTCCTGTTATTGAGGTCGACGGTCGCAAAGTAGGGTGTTGTGGTGAAAACGCTGAGATAATTGCGTGAATTTGCCTTGCATAATCATCAAAGTGTTGCAAGGTATGGTACCACGGCACACCCACAGGTGAGAAGCAGACAGTTAATGGCTAAAAGTCGAACAGATCAAATAGTTGGCAGGTTACAGTAAATTGCTGTGATTGCGAGCGAACTTAGTCTACACGGGCGGCACGAGCACGGCGTTGACACGGTCGCCTGACCAGCGGATTTTCCAAAGAGTTTCAGCGGGAATAATAGTAGATGCATACCGTCAATACAGAGCAATTGTAACGCAAACAGTCACTTGGTCGAATTCACGGCTCCTCTACACAGCCAATGGCCTGTGCTCGGTTCCGCGACTGGCGCGCCACGTCTCGACACCCTTGAATACATTTAAGCCCGCTGCAACATGGCACACGAGGCGCGATACACACCTTTTGGTTCTTCGTTCTCTGATTCTTGATTCTCCTCGCAAACCATTCTGCAGACGTCACGTTCGTCTGGAAGACGCTCGTGTCCTGCACCTTCGCCATAGCTTCCTCAACGAGCGAACTCTCCTCGGCAAGTGCGTGCAGGGCGACAGAGTTGCCCGGGCGGGTAAAGAAGACGAGCGACCACCGCTCGTAGTAGCCTTGAGCGCCAGGCGGAGAACTATATTTCGAAGGATGAGTATCTCACAGCATTGTGATGACTAGGGATGATAGCGTACACGACACGGTGGAGGTTGGACCGCAATACACCCCCGCTGAAAATAGTCAAGGCATCGCCGACGTTGCATATAGCATGTCCCGAGATAGGCTGATGGTTTACAGTTTGTGTCAGACTCGGAAAAACTGGGACATCTGCCATACGTACCTTGATGTATTGCCATTCATTAGTCCCAGGGACCATCACTTGGAGTCCGCCAAGGCGATTGTGCAGGAACGACTGCGTACGGGTCATTACGAGTCAAAGTATTGGCGCAACGCAACATACGAGGGATCCAAAGTCAGTGTGCGCTCCAAGGGCGGCTTTCTCTTCGGATATCCCGTTGGGCCTCGGAGGATTCTTGATGCACCGTGCCTCGCTACCGCTAGGCTCGCCAAGCATATGTTTCCGCAGGAGAGTGCCATTTGGCAGTCCGAGCTGCGCATTGAAGATCTCGAGAACAGTGTTGTTAACCTCTATGGACTTCTTCACGAAGGGAATTATAGTTGGTTCCATGCGGGCGTTGACCGTCATGGGGTATGTGCGGTGTGTCGGAGTCGGCCAGGACAGCGCGTCGTCCTTGGCGATGTTGACAAACTCAACGGTGTCCAATGCACCTGTTTCGTCTGTGGCGTTCGCTCCGGCAGCCTTGTAGCTATTGAGAAAATGGTCAATTCTACGTTTTGTGAATTAATGCATATTGCGATCACTACTCACCCAAATGACATACCGTCATCGCCTTGTTCGAACTTCATTTTCTCATCCAGGGGAAGACCCATTGTCTCAGCACCCATGTCGAACATCTGATTGACGAGTTCGTCGGTACCATGGTTCTTCAAACTGTACAAGGCGTTTTTCGTTAGGAGATGCGAAAGAAACTACAAGCCAACTTACTACCAGAACCCTAGCTCTGTCGCTGCTTTCCAGAGCTTTGATATTTCATCCTTGTCTCCTGCCTTGAGTAGTGTGTAGTCTACCACGAGTAACGGGTGAGTGGGGACGTTGTCGGGGAATGGGGGGAATGACGTCAGGCTTGGCATGATGATACTGGGAATCTGATGATGCTGGGGAGTAAGTTGTAGCTCGTATGGAAAATCAACGTCCTGTCGCTGGTGAATGACGAGGACACGGCAGCTCTTTTTATACTTGAAAGTAATTTGACGCTGTTCGGCATGAGGCAGCCCATCCGATCCATTCTTCGGCGCCAAGCAGCAGAAGCTACACCCGGCCGCAGCATGCTTCCATCACACTCCCTAAATTAATTTTTGGCATCCAGTGAAGCAAGAATGCTACCATAGGATCTCTGACCTTCGCATAGATTCACCCTACTAAACATGTATCAGAAATGGCATCGTTGCATGAGTCGCACGAGTTCGGCGAAGCGCACCTGCAGCTAAGACAAAAATCAATATCGATATCTTTATGAGTAGAGGCTATGCTCACATGATGACTTGTATCGGCGACGCGTGCGAGTTGCCTTCGCGTGTCCGACTCAGAGTCCGAAGAGAAGTCGGATCGACGCTATCACCGCGCCCGCCCATGTACTCGTAAGCCAGGTGTTAATTTGCATGACATTCACACTACCGAAGAATAGTGCAGAGGGAGAAGCTACCCTCGGAAGAAGTTAGTCTGCTGACTCTGTTCTCATCTCAGTGAGCGTCCGTGAGAAATAACGCGAGATCGATTCTGCGGTGCACGAAGCTCGTCCTTGAACAGTTGGGCTTCAGTGGAGAAAATTGTAGATCTCTGAGGAGGACCATCGACTCGTATTTTAGTGGACTACAAATCTCAGAATGACTCGGAACACGAAGTATAAGCCTGGGAGCGCGGAGCAACAAGCGTCAATATCTGGTAAGATTAAATTCCAAATGTTCTGCGTGCATCGCCACGCACAATGGACACGCAGAACTACTCGCGAACAAAAACACCAAACTATCAGCAAAGGAAAGAGACAACAGAGGACTCCAGTCACGAGCTATCAGAGTAGAAAAGAAGTCTGCCCAGTGTGTACACGTATAAGGATCTTACAAGTCAAAGCCATAATCTGTGCCACATAGAGAACGCCAAGTAACTGTGGTATCTCAACAGGAATGTCAATCGGCCGGTTAACGAAACAAGTATATGGAACACAAAGTAGCAGATCACGTCATACCACTACTTTGGCGTCCTTAGATCGCAGCAGGCGCGTGCTCCATTCCCCTACTCGCGCGCCATGTCTCGGGACCCTGGCGAAGAAAAGCATTGTCAGTTCGGACGACGCGTCAGTGCGTACACGAGATGAACGAGCAGCACATACCGTCCTATTCTTGACTCTTTGATACTTCACCCGCCTGGCGAACCACTCCTTGGCGGTCGAGCCGGGTTGGAATTTGCCCGCTGGCGCCCGTGATACCGTTTCCGCGATGAGTTGACTCTGTTCTGCAAGAGCCCGCAGCTCGATCGAATTACTTGGCCTCAAGAAAAATACCAGAGACCAGCGCTCATAATTTCCTTGGTCTTTCGGCGGAGGACTTTACAGCAAAAAAATTAGTATATGATGGTAGCGGATATGTGTAGCAGACTCACACCACACGATGGAGGTTTGAGCGAAGAATCCCACCGCTGAAGATTGTGAGTGCGTCCCCAATGTTGCATATCGCATACCCGGGGATAGGCTAAGTAAATCCAATTGCAGTCAGCGACGGCTCACGTGTATGGGGAGGGCTGATTACCCTGACGTATTGCCACTGCGCCGTGCCTGGGACTAGAACCTGCAAGCCGCCAAGACGATTGTGCAGGAAAGACTAGTCGTGATGACAAAGAAGTCAGCCACGTTTCGTGCTTGCATCACCATGCACGCTCACCAACGAGCCAAAGTCGGTATGAGCCCCCAGAGTCGCCTTATCCTCTGAGAAGTCAACAGGGCGCGGCGGAGTCCTGATGCACCTAGCCTCACTTCCGCTATGCTCCTCAATTGCATGCAGGTTTACAAGCGCGCCACCTGGGAGGCCGAGCCTCGTATTCAGCACGTCAATCAGTGTGTTCGTCACCTCCACCGACTTGCGTACAAAGGGAATGATGGTGGACTCCATGCGGGCATTGACCGTCGACGGGTAGATGCGGTAAACCAGCCCAGGCCATGCCAGCGCGTCGTCTTTGGCGACATTGATGAACTCTGCGGAGTCTTTCGCGCCCGTCTCATCTGTTGCACTGGCGCCTGCTGCTTTATATCTGGATACGACGTCATCACATGAATGCTGGACGCGAGTACCCCATCGACAGTGCTCACCCGCAGGACATGCCCTCGTCGCCCTGCTCATATTTCATTTTCTCCTCCATCGTGAGCGCCATCGTCTCGGCACCCATCTCGAACATCCCGTTCACCTCTTCATCCGTTCCATGATTCTTTAAGCTATAATCAAACAATTTTAATACGAAAACGTGCATTTTATGGCCCGAGTTGCACGACGCATAGCGGTGAACTCACTACCAGAACCCAAGCTCGGTCGCCGCCTTCCACAATTTGTCGATCTCCGAGGGATCACCGGCCCTGATCAGCTGGAAGTCGACGACGAGCAGCGGGTGAGTGGGCACGTCGTCCGGAAAGGGCGGGAAGGTCGTAAGGCCTGGCATGGTGCCAGAGCGATAACGGGAATGACGAGAAGGGCGTTGGAGCGGATATCTATCAGTAGTCTTTCGTTATCAGCTGATGACGCTCACACTCCCCGCTGTACCCGCTGGTCAGTAAGAACGTCAGAGACCGCGGTCTCATGACGTACGATTTGTCTCACGAATGCGAATTAGCTGTTAGTTGTCAGCATGATATATTTAGAACAAAAGCTTACGGTCAGGCCGACGCCACGTTGATGCTCTTCCAGCTGATTACATGCAACATGTCCACAGGTCCACAGCGAAACAGCGTGGCACAGCCTGAACAACTTCCGGCGAACGCAAGTGAAGCCTTATCGGCATCTGTGTAAGCAAACATGTGGCACATGAAGGAAGACATACAGAAGTCTGCAAATCACGGTGTGATTAGGAAGTTATCACTTCATTTGCGGTCGTGCAGAACAAGCAATAGGCAGCATCTCGAAGACGCGGCCGGAACGATTCAGCTGATCATGACAACCGCATGCTGGCAACCTCAAGTTTCGACATACGGTGATCAGCAGTGGGCACGAGACTCTGCGTCGGAAGGTTATCACGTATTCGCAAGTAGGGCACCCGGACTAGATACTTGTTCGCAGTAGCAAGCCGTCCTAGCATGCAGTCGCTTGGTTTGCTGGCCCGGGAGGTGTGAATCTTTTTTGGCAGGATTTTGGCTCGGCTGAAAGCGGCCGTTCGTCGGCAACAGCCGAACCATCCGGACAGCCGGCCAGATCGAGAAAATATTTGTAGATCGTTCACCAGGATGTGTTGGACCGTCCAGAAGTTGTCGCGAGCATCTGTTCCGATGCATGAGAGACAACAGCTAAGCGAACACAAATTTTTCGTAGGTGAGTGCACTTAGTTGTACACAGCCGCCTCTCGTTCATCACATGAATCCTGTGTTCTCGTTAGATGATCATGATTTGCTCGACTTCTCTTTGAGCTTCCTGTTCACTTTTCTGCGGGCGAACCAAACTTTCTTGACAAACAGCGATGACTTGCACAGCCTATGGTACGGTAGAGCGTCACTGCATTCGGAGATCAACTCGGACGGAGCTCCGCCATGACCCACTTGCACTCAGCCTGAAGCTTATTTTGAAAGCAAATCGACCCACTGAGTTCTCGTCGATGACGAAGCACTGTGCGATGATCGTGCTGAGCACCATGACTAGTTGCGACCATCATGATACTCCCGGTTAAGCTTCTGTCAGGCTGAGACGTCGTCGTTGCATCTCTGGCCTCCTCTCCTGCACTGGCCTTTCCCCAACGCCCACTCCTTTGCCGTCCAACCCCGCCTTGGGTTCTGTTGACTTATATCCACACAATACACGATTCATTTCCGCTGATTTCTCATGCCAAGTTGGCCCAACCGTTGATAACGTTCTGCTGCAATTCATCCAGAATACTTGGCGGGTTCGAACTTCGTCTGTGCTGTATCGGCGTCTCGGTCCTAGAATAGCACAGCGGTATCTCCTACCCGCGTCCATTGCTGAGGCGTACGTACACCTGAGCACGAGACTCAGCTGTGTAACGGTATGCTGCCTAATCTCTCGTCCCCTGCATTCCGATGCGTGGCTCTCGCTAGGTCACCATCCCGATGCGCCACGGCGCAACGCTGTTCATCCGCGGTGTCCGACTCGGCTGGTTTCTCCACCGTCTACTGCTGTGGCACGGCACTCCAATTAGGTTCATCATTGTGCATTCCCGAAAATCTTACCCGGCACTTCACATGACTCCTTTGGACTCAGTAAAACATCTGCATTCAAGGCGACGTCGGCTGTACACTACATTCGCTGAATACTAGTACACATCGGTGCTGGTGATACAGAATGGTACTGGTACGGAATAGTTCTTTCAATATCAAATCATTACGAAAGCGGGGAAGTAAGGAATCGAGACAATGGAAGCGGCATTCGAAATATCAGAGCAATCCAGCAAGAGGCGAATCCAGCAGAGCAAATCAGCATGGGAAGACAGCGATACAGAGCGGCGCAATGAGATCATTGTCCAAGCAATGCCCTCGTGAGCATATCAAAATATAGCAGGAGAAGGGGTAGCGAACAAAACACCGAGGGGGATGAGAAGTGGAGACGCAAACGCAGGGCACGTAGATCGAAGCTGGACGGGCGCAAAGATTAAAGTTGAAGTTGAACAGCGTGCTCTCTATCACGGCACGATCCCAGTGCGCCGCAGTGACTCCATTTGTAATTCGTCCATGCGTACCCTGGGCCCCTGATGTACTGCGCCAGAGCATGCGGCATGACGAACCGAGCGAATCTAGCTCGAACGCCAGCGCTCGCGCTCGCGTTCGTACTCGACGCGCTCCCTCGCATACGGTGAGCGAGACGGGAGGGACTCGGGGAACGCAGGCCGGAGCGCGGTAGATATCGTCACAGTGCATGTACACCCGGGGATCGTGCAGCTTGAACTCGACGTGGAGGTCGAGCGATCCCGGAGATTGGGTGCGGGCTGCGACTGCGACTGCGCCAGCCGGCGAGCCTGTTCATTATGATATCGCGGCGTCGGCGACGAGCGCGAGCGCACGCGGTACCGGTCGGTGCGCACGCACGATTCAGGTCGCTGCACGTACGCGCTGACCGAGCCCTCATCCACTTTATAGTCGTACGCATGGGACTGCTCATTTGTGCGTGCATCCGCGGCACGTCGCTCCTCCTCTGGGTCGGAGTAGTAGGACGACGGCGGAGAGGTGTGCGAGGAGCTGGAGGCGGTAGACGGGAGGTGCTGCGTGTACGGATCCTCTGGCGAGGCAGACGCGGAGATAGAGGGGGATGCCGAGGGCGGGCGGACAAGCTTGGCAACGGTGTCCCGCCGCCGTGTCGTAAGGTGGTTACGGTAGTGTCGTCGCATATTCGAGTTGACATTGAATGTGCGGTTGCAGCCGGGATACCGACAGACGAACGCTATTTTATCGGAGAATTTTCAGTCAGTGCTCGCGATGGGCCGAGGAGATAAGGGCGTACGTTTCGCTCCTGTATGTGTGTTGACGTGGATATTTAGGCTGCTCGGACGGTTGAACCGCTTGTGACAATGCGGGCAACGGTGTCGGCGCTCTTCCGAGCTGGCACCGTGCTCTGGTAGCAAATGTTGCTGAGCTGGCCTCTGTGGCGTTCGGATGTTGCTTGGAACATTTGGCACCGATAGGTAGGTATTCGCAGCGTAGTTTGACAGGTAGCCGTAGGCAGGCTCGGCCGCACTCGAATGGCCGTCGGGGTTCGAGCGCGCTGAGATTGCGAGAGAAGGAGGCATTGTCGCCGGCTGGGCGTTCAGCTGTACGCGAAATGTCGGGCGCGCCTTGGTGATGGACGCGAGCACGGAGTCAGCGGAAGACGCTGGCGGGTAGCCCAATGCGCCAGCTGTGGGTACGCGCGGCGGGACGGCAGGATCGTCGCTGGAAGCCACGTTCTCGAGGCGAGCAGTCAGCGGATGCGGCCGGAGGACATCAAAGGAATAGGAGGCGGCTACCTGCGATGATGTGGCTGCGTGACCCGGGCGCGTAGATCCACTTGCGTTGGGGTCTCCCCGGGCGTCGGGCACGCAGCAGCTGCCGAGGCATTGTTGGCTGCCGCCATGGGCGTGCGCGCTTACGAACGCGGATGGTGTGGCGTAGGTCGGGAATGCCTGCGAGCATGCCCGATCATTGATGCTGGGAACGTGATCGCGTACATTGGGCATGGACGCAAATCCAGACGATGGCAATGTTCGTGGGGAATGCACCTGACAAAGACAAAGAAAAATGAGAAAGTGTTAGTACGAAATGGAGCGGGATGGAGCTGCAGATGCTCACTGCAGAATGATTATTTGTGCTAGGTGGACCGCACACGCCAGGATCAGCGGGAGAAGTCGACGAAGGATACCTGAAGGTACCCGCTGGTGGTATAGTCATGAGATGTTCTGCGATCGAAATGAGGTTCAATAACGCGATGTCGTGCGCAGTGAACTGACCTGGAAACAATTCGTTGATGCTCGGCAGGGTGATCTTGCACTGCGAGCGTTGCTGAGCCATGGCGGAGAGGAGTGGCGGGGAGATGTGGCGCAGCTGGAAGAGGGGAGGAGGGCGGTAGGCTGGATGCGCGACTTATATAGATATTTCAACCCGCTGTACACAGCCGAAAATCGGACGCGTCAAATATCGAGATTTGCAAATGAAAAAATGCTTCCACAGATCTTGCTGGATCCGGAAGGTCGATGGGCAGAGGAGATGCCGTCCTTCGGGGCGCCCGTAATTTTCGGCGAGGAGGCGTCCAATTGGCTCACCTAACCCTATGCCAGTCATTATATTCATATCCCGAATACTCCTCACATGCGGCGACTGTCGACTCATCGCACAAATCAACCTCCGCGAGGCAGCCCATCTCATGATTTTCGCAGTCCGGCGCCACATCCGTATCCCGGAGCCTGGCACACTGCACCCAAGAACCACAGCTGAGAATCAACTGAGGTGTCTCCATTCAGCCATCCGGTGGCACTTCGCCGCCCCATCCACCACGCGCACGACCGTGACCGTGGCCATCTCCGGACGCGAGCTGCGATCCACATTCCGAATGGGTGTAATCAGCGTGCGACCCGGAGAGTTGCGCCCTGCCCATCTTGCGCCCGTCCGTCTTCGAAATACCAGCGTATCGCTGGCAGAGGATGGTCTGACGATACCCACCGATGGGACCTACCTGCGCCCATCGTCGCCCTTGCCCTCGAGGCACGCGGACCACGGCACCCGTCCTACGCCGCACCCTCAAAACACGTGTGCCAGACTGATGACAAGCACAGCGCGTCCAGTGGCGGACTCTTCGAAAGGTCCGAGCGCAACTGCCACGTTCAACATGCTCTGCACAAATCAGGCTGTTGATCAGGGAGATATGGAAACGTGTAACCACGCCGGGCGGCTGACCGCGAGACGCCCGTCGATGCACGGGCCAACGCCACTCATATCGTCCGGATTTTCAACGCCGGCCGGAAATGGGGTCTACGTCCGGGCTCGCCGACTCCCCAGCGTTGCAGCAAGATATCCATATACAGCCCAACAGGCGACGGAGGGCGGAGATCAGGCGGGGAAGCCAGTGGCACGGACACCAGGAGGCCCATCGCGCTGTCCCGCAACGCTCCCCTCGCGGCAACAACGATTGACAAACCGGGAAGCTCGCCGCGGATGGGATTGTCGTGATCGCCCTCTGCTTGATCTGTCACCTCGTGCGAATGCAGCAATTACGTCCCGAGCTCGGCTGCGTTGCAAGTACCATAATGATCTTAACACGCGGTCCGTACTAGCAAGGAAGATCCGGCACCGAAAATGCATTCGCAGTTGCGCTGTGAATATTGCCATGGAAAGTCGTTTCTGTGCTTTGCCTTTGCAGTTAAACGTCGCCAGTACTTGATGAGGGAATGCAGGCCCGACGCGTAATGAAGCTCAAATTCGGCGATACAGCGTAGCCGAAACCTTGGAGAGCAAGGCCCAGCGCCAGCGCCACACCAGGATTAGGGCTGCCTCGCCGCTGGTCTTCTATGCCAAAACCAGTCAGCTATCGTGCAGATCCGCATGGCGTGTACGTAGTACGGCAGTAGGTTCGTCATCTACAAGGCTTGAAGAGTGCAGATATCTCCGCAAGTGGTGTCAGGTGAGGCGGAAGAAGCAGCTGCGACCTGGGAACCTGGGACTCTGGTGTTCAGCTAACTGTGAGGATGGCGAAAAGAAGATGGCCAACGGGGGCAATCATGCGCAGCACGCTACTCGAATGACAGAGTTTGAAGTTTGCTCTTGCTAGCCTCGGGTATCCTATCAATCAGCACAGAGCTCAGAAGCTCGGGGAGAACTATCTCGCAGTGGCAATTTGCGAGTGAATCGCGCGATGGTTGCCAGAGAATGTGATAAATGCTAGAATGGGTGGCAAAAATGCCGACAAAATCGCACATGACGCAACCACACTAGTGCCACCACGCACAAATGATTTCCAAGCGCAGTGGACCACTGCCGGGTTGAACGAATAGTGGTTAAGCTGACCACGTCGAACACCTCGTGGCTAGGCACGCGTCAATCACGTGATGTGGACGAAAAGTTCGGCACTGAAAGGAAATGCCGGAGCACGCTGATCTTGATCCACTTGTGATACTCTTGTGATCAACGCACGTCCGAAAAAGGAAATCTTCTAGCGCCTCTTAGCGCTCTTGTAGCGCTCGGAAGCTGAGTTCAACCGCTTTCGCTCTCCGTGTTCTCAGACTCAACTTCGCAAGTTCTCCGCGTCTCGTACAGCCTCAGATTTGAAGCTCCGCCAGCGCTGTTTGGTGGACTGCTCGGGGCAGCTGAATCGCCGCCTGAGAGATATGGCGCCGCGTGGCTGGAGAGCACGTAGATTCTGTGGGCGCGGGAGCATTCTGCGGAAGCAAAGTTTAGATTGGAAAGCGGTGGACAATATGTCTGCACTGATCGATATTATTGATCGATAGCTGCGATCAGTCTTGCTGTCCTGGAGCCTTAGTAGAGCACGGTGTGGACAGTGAGCAACTTATTCTGAACACACTTACAAACTGTTTACCCTGTTCCTCATTATTAAATTTGCCAGTGTTCTTAGGTTTGCACAGCGAGAATAACGTGCAGGTGGCGACTTCGCGCGAGCCAACTTGAACAAGCCTCTGACACTGATTGCACGATAAGACGGGGTAGTGCACCGTCGCATGGGCACTGTATATCGCTGCACTAAGCTCACCTTCCGTGCACTTCCAAAATATGACCCCGCGTACTACTCCTTCCCAGTGTTCTTCTCTCCGGAGAAGTCGCTTCGGACACACCTAGCCATCTCGGAATGACCCTCGCTACCACCGTGGTGCCCGTTCACGCAGTGCTCGTGAAAACGTGATTTTCTATCTCATGCTAGCCCCCCTGAACGTGGCTTGCGGGTGTGGCGCGCTGGGTGAGTACAGGCGCTTCTTCGGCGCTTTCGCGATCTCCATTATTCTCCGCTCCAAGGGCGCTATGCATGAATCGAGAAACCACGGTATTTGCATATTTGTGGCTATTCCCATTACCCATTCATTGGTCGCCGTCGCCCACGTCGGTATGGGCAGTGACGGTATTTCACCGAAAGAAGTTCTGTCTTGCCATTCAAAACTCGAGCGTCTCAGCTCACAGTCGTATCCGACGGCTTCAGCCTTTAAGGAGATACATGTCCTCCATGCAGACACTACTGCTACTGCTGAACTATCGCAAGTTGAGACTCATCGCCCTTCGCCCTCGCCGGACGGTGCTCTCATCAGAGGCCGCTGTCGACGGGCCGGAAATCTCCGGAAGCCGCCACTTCTTATTGCAGACGATCCAGATCTGGTTGCATTGTCCAACCGCTTCTCCCGTCGAGGTGGAAATGTGGGATCAACGAGGATCCTGGATGTACGCCTCGCCTGTGATCTCTGTATGTTCTCTCCGTGGACAAATTAATCGTCTGATTTTCGCGATTTGCTGTTTTCCGCAGGATCAACGTCTGTGAGCTCCACCCAGCGGTAGTGATCTGAACTTCGCATAAACGCCTTGAAGTTCGGGCCATTGTCAAGCCCCGTACTTCACGGGTCGATAATCCCCTTCTTTCCCTCTCATGATGTGCCAGAGGGACCGAATCGCGATTGTATTCCCCAACGGGCTTTCCGGTTATTGTTGCGGCATAGGATCATGTTGCGGGATTGACGTATACGGAGAATCAGGCATTGTCGGACATGCGTAAATGGCGTGTCGACAAAGGTATGTTTCCTGTTGGAAGAGGTCTACTGCTTGCGGAAGTCCGATGTCCATCGGAGCTACAGGAGGACGGTCGCGCAACTGGGTACTCTTCTATTCAGCGGCATCTGGCCACCTCCGTTAACGCGGACCCCGTGGATATGGGTGCTTTCCATGATCTCATACGATGGTTTATTTGGGCTCGTCATGGTCTGACACTCATGCACGAGTACACATTTCATCTGCAGGACTCATGCCGCAGTAACAGTCATGCTGATGTTTTTCCTTAGAACTACAGCACATGCCAGTGACCAAACACCGTCGTCAATAATCATTTTTTCTCATCTGGACACAATACCCGTTTGTAGTTGGATACGCCGACTCTGTTACTCGGTGCCAAGTCTCCCCAATTCTCCCAACTAGCTGCGGAATGCTCAGCGACGAGTGCTCATGAATTTACTTGTGCAAAGGATCCTGCCGGTGTCGCTAAGTCAACGCCGTTCCCAGAAACGCTAATAACACCGGTGCCGGCCTTAGCACGCCGTCGTAGTTTTCAAGGCCGCAGTCTTCGATTCACACACTTGAGAAGACGAGGAAGATATATAGAGGAGGTGGATCTTATTTATCGAGGCTCTACGCGGGTGAGATCAAAGTGCCTTTGTCAGTTTCTTCCGATTCTGATCGGGATCGAACGCGCACGCCACTAAGCGCCCATGAGTTTGCGTCTACCACAGGACTCTCCACGAGCTCTGGGTTCTCCTCTTGCAAGCTCAAGACGATTCGATCTGATCTACCCGGTATTCTCTTACTCGATGCCAATTTTTGACCGAAGCCGATTTTCAACTTCATCAGCGCTATTGTTCCAGCCATACATACTACGACCTCGGCGCGACATTCCCTGTGCCGGCGGATCTTTTTCAGCGCGAACCGCTACCTGTGGCCCTCGGATTGTCTGTACACCAACCGTGTTCACTTGTTTTTATCTGGTTGCATGGACTCTGTCTGCTCCGCGCGCTGTTATTGCCATCAAGTCGGTCCGGAAGGAACACGGTGCGCTTCGATGGTCGAAAGTTACTGCAATAGGTGGGCCCGAGGAGATTAGAATCTCCGACACTGTGCGCCGAGCCTGCAGGCGTCGTTTCATCTGACCTTGTAGCCGACTGCCTGCCACTGGCGCACTACTATGCCACCTGCCGGTTGTTGAGGTAATTAGTGAGCTTTCTCCGTTCTATCCATCTGATGTTCAGTGCGCAGTAGTCTGGATGCGCGAAGCGCCTTATTGCTGAGCGAGCGAATTCTTTATATTTGATAAATTCGTGAATCAGAAGGCCGTTGCAAATCCGCCAGTTGGAGGCAGATTTTACCTTTGTCGAGCTTCGTGCAGTGGGACAGGTATTTTGGCACTATGACGCTGCACGGCGCGGTTGATTCTAGTTTTCTAGAAGTGCACCCGCTCAATGGAGCGCACACGCACAGGCATCTCGTAACTCCGGCTAGAACAGGCCTTACGACTTCCATCATGACTCACAATGCACGTACACAGGATCAAGTCACATAGGCTGATTCGGAACGAATCACAACCTGCTGATATGACTGGCAGTAGGACCTCAAATCAATTCGCAGATATCCTGCCGCGAGAATGGAGCTGGATGAACTATGGAACTTCGGTGCTCAGATGGCAGACCGTACCCCACTTTACCTGGCGCTGATATCGCGGAGTGCGTCACCCTTCATCGTGCTGTGCATTTCCAGAAGCTAATCGTCACATCGACCGAACTTCTCAAATTGCATTCGAGAGAATGCAGTACCCTGTTTTCCTTTCGACGGAAAGCAGTATGTTCTTTTTTTGCTCAAGATGATCTTACTGGCGTGTTCGTGATACATTGCTAGCAAATCTTGACTTATCACCGAACGCACACTGCAACCGCTGATACAAGCAGGCCTATGCGTTGTGTCTTGTGATGTTCCATATTCTGACTGCTATGATGTGTGCAACGTCCGAATCATTCACGAAATTTTTTTGTTCTCCGCCGACAGCCCGGGTATTCTCGTCCTCCTGAACGCCCCTACGATTTGATTGAAATCTGCGAGGAGTGCAAAAGTATGATTCTTCCTGGAGGTTTCAGGTGCGCTATCCGCTTAGCCTCTGTTACATTCGAGGCTGTTTCTGCAGACCAGACGTCAAAGTATAATTTGGCGTCGTCTACCGATAACAAATGCTATTGTCAAGTACCTGGTTATAAGGCCGGTACAATATCGCTGTGATACCTGCAACGTGCGTGCAGTAGTCCAACTTCACCCACCAAGGCACTTTGTTGCTCCGGAACGATGCGAATGATCATTCTGCTGCTGATGTTTCATTGTCAGGCTCGTTGCAGCTGCGATTGTGTTCATCGGTTGTGATGAGCGTCATCATAACCTTGGTGGTTAGCACTCACATGGCTTGCTATCGTCAATGACTGCGCCCGGATGTCGACATTCGTCGATGTCACTAGGCCAGAGCACCTCGCATAAATCGGCTTTTGATGCCACGTGGTCCATCCACGGTGAATGTCAAGATAGCCTTGCCGACGGATGCATCCAGTACTGAGGGTCTCTTGTGCCTCTGTTGTCTGTGGGAGAGCGCGCCCACTTCATCGGCGAACTCCAGATGAATGGTAACCTCGTACCTGAAGCCGCTGGGTGTGATGTAGTCGTCTTGACAGGAGCGAGATTTGATCCCATTTCACGCCTTGTGGAAGACGTGGAAGAAGTTCATATGGAAGTATCCGGCAGCTCCGACATCGACGTATACCCATTAGCATGCGGCCATCAGGACGTCGTCTGACTGTTATCATCTAGAGGGCACCATTCAATTTCGACGTCGGGCGACGCATGGACTTACAGGAGGCGTGCAAATGAATAGCAGAAATTTCTTCCAATCCTACCAGGCGCAAGCAGTGACGGTAAACACATCATAGGTGGGTGTGAATGCCTCGAGTCGGTATGCGCTGAAGTTTGATCGATTTCTCTGGGATTCCTATCAGTAATCAGGATCTCTACAGCTGTGCCCGAACCGCCATCGAAAAGGACCTCTCCGTCGGTTAGATCCGCCTGTATTGCTCTGTTCTTTTCTGTCCTCTGCAAAAACAACGCCGGGATGACGGGTGCTGATATTGACTACCACCCAATAGAAGAAGATATAAATCTCTCGCTGGTAGCAGTTTACGCAACTTCGTGTGTGGGGCGATTGCTATGGCATGCGAGGGACATCTACGCGGACAATAATCTAGGGAGTCCAGAGGTTTCCCAGAAGGACACCCTGGCTGCAGTCCGTAGATCGAAAGTCGGCGCTGCATCCTTGTGACCAAGATGCTGTGTTGCCTGTGTAAGACTGTAACAATACGTACATCTCATCAACCTGCGGTGGCGGTCATCCCTGAGAAGGAAGATGGTTGGGCTTGTCGCTACTAGTGCTTATATACTTAGGGACCGAGAGGGCTTGCATCGACTTATTAAAGCTTCTAGTACTGTTGGTCCATCTTGTTTGACTTCATCATTGGACTGATGACTCGAGGACAAGAACTTAGCAGGAAGTGGTTTAGGAGAGGGACTCGGACAAGGGCTTCCTCAAGAGCATGCAATCTTTTCACCTGGGAGGATCAGAGCAACAAGTTTTGTGATGTCACGAAACTCGTCACAGGCCTCAATTATGTTCTCTCCATCAAGTTCTGCAAGGATCTCAGTCACAACCTCATATGTGAGGATATCCATACATTATAGTCACAGAAGCAGCATCGACTTCATTCTAGAATGTCACTCTTTTTGAGTGCAGATTGCGGAAATTGTTAATAATATACTTCACGGTGCACCAAACATAGTCAAGTTACCGCGCGTATGAACTCAATCCATTGTTTACATTGTGAGAGAATACTACTATTTATCCTCAGGTTGCTACCTCCGCCGAGGAGGGATTTGGTTCATTCACGCGCTTGTGCTTCGCACCACTTAGTACTTAGTGAGCGTCTTGGGTCGAGGGTTCTGATAGCACGGACCGTTGGTGCTCAGCGTCTAGACTAATCAATTTGTAGTGTCCCCTGCAGGCCTGTATACGACATGCACCCATGCACTCAGGTACCATGTACGTCTACATAGTTCTATCGACTACTGGAGAGCATATGCTGCCGATAAGCCTTAGACGGTTCAGCGCAGTGTCTTCAATTTTTATGCTCGTCATACCGGGTTCCGTTTCCAAGCTATGTACTTAAAACTCGTATTTACTTCACGTTGTGCATTGTTTTGCATTTTCTCGCGGGACCCTTCGCAATGTTTTTCGAAGCCATCCGGGAGCTGCACCTGGAACATGCCGTGGGACGTGTCTTCTCACAGCTGCATGGAAGTCACGGGCGTCTTAACGGAGAACATTGCCTGTCTATACAATTATGACAATTGTTGTATCCGGGGAGACCGAGTAGGTCAGTTTCATCATGGCGATCTCAATCTGATGGTGTTTCTCACACCTTCAAATGGCAATAGGGCGCCTCGTTTCGAAACTGTCAATCACTGGTGCCGGACGCTCACAGTCTGATAAAAATTCTGAGAAGTAAGTCGCCCCAAGAACCGTGTTCAGTGCCGCTCAGAATGTTGTCAATAGAGTCCACGTGTCATGACCCTCGGAAAGCATGCCGTACCTCCGAAACCCACACAGCTTTGATAATGATAGATTGAAGTCTCGCAGCACGGCCTCTGCCTCTGCACAGGCTCTCCACCTTCTTCTACCTCAAGACCAGAGATGTCATCTGATTCCATGTATTCAATGCTTCCCAGCTCATCTCGATCATATCACAATATTCTGCCGCGGCCCTTCGTCATCATTTGTATAAAAATCCATGCGGTATCTCAAACGAATTCGGCCTGCAGCTCCATCTCCCCAGAGTCCTCGAACTCCCTGTCATGTCGCTCCAACATACCCGCACGCAGGTTTCGTTGCCAAGCATACATGAAGTGTTCCCTGGTGTGTATGCTCTACTGATAGCACTCGGTGTTTGATCGATGCCGACCGTAGTTCTCTGTCAGAGCATTTCTCTTCAAGGGCAGCGACGTCGCATCACGGCCACGTGCACCAAGCCCTCGAGGCAAGGGAAATAAATGGAAACACGACCGTAGGTTCATTACACTATTAGATGGTAGAACAATTCTGATTTACTCGGAATAGGGTCAAATCTCGACAAGCGGACATCGTACCCACGTGCCCAAGGTCGACATGAACCATTCCACACTTGTCAGACCTCTTAATCCCGAAGCACACCACTATGATAGCTTGCATGGTAGCGAAGATACTCGAAAGTGTCGTCACTACGCACGTACACAGTACTCCATGCAACCAACGCCAGCAAACTCGAACCCTGCCGGCGTTGGCAACCCTTCGCTGTCTAGTGCTGGTTTGTCAACCGCTTTTCCATCCAAATCTCCTCCAACTCCCACCCAAGCTTATTCGAGAAATCGGCGCGGGTACGACAATGATAAGAGACACGTCTGTGGATTATGTGGCAAGGGTTTCAATAGGCCCAGCAGCCTTTCAACCCATATGAACAGTCATACTGGGGAAAAACGTGAGTCGACGAGCCCTGTTGCTTACTGCACCTTGTTTATCACATTTCAATCCACGATAGCGTTTCAGTGTCCCAAGTGTGGCCAGTTATTCAGCGTCAATTCCAACATGCGTCGTCACTTCCGCACTCACGGTCCGGACGCCATCTCTCCCATTCTTCCGCCATTCGGAAGCCTCGTCGTTGGCGACCATGCATCCCCTTTCCCTCCTTTTAGCTCTCCACCGTCCACGTACTCTGGCAGGAGTGACTATCGGCCACATGTCTACGGCTCAGATATGAGCTACGGCAGCGATAGCGACTGTGAAGATGGGTCAGACCAGGGCGCCCTGAGCGACGGCGATACACGTCAAGATATCCTGGAAAAGACAAATGTCTCCTTCTCACGGATAAAGCTCGGCTCGTACTCATCCTACAGCGACTCTAGGGCCGCGCCGCGAGGGCACTAGATGTGCTATTCGTCATATAACGTCGACTCGCCAACCATTTGTTGGCGTAGACAGGTCGCTGGGCTTCGGGCATACCTCTTCTCATACTCTTCTTTATTCATCTATGTCACCTTGAAGGTTGTCAACCTCGTATGTTTGTCGCTGTTAAAAATCGTATTCCTCCAGTCGTGGTACAGCCACCGCCTATTTATTCAAGTAGCGGTGAGGACTCCCGTTATTTCTCATGAGCTTTCTGAATATTTTATTCTTTGTGCTGTCACTGTAGCTTTGCTATCGACCAACTGCTATCTATACGCTGTGTTGTATCATAGTGGGCCAGCGTGGACCTGCCGCAGGAAGGATCTGAGATTATTTAGTTATGCACCCGAGATCGATCAAAGATGTTGTATCGCACCACCCGTGTAATGTAAAAAGCAAGCCGTGCGTGTTAGAAAACCGTTGAAGTTCGTTCTGAGCTGCTGGGATTGAGAAACCGACGAAGCGCGCCTGTGCACGCGGTGGAGTCCTCAATTCTCCGCAGCTTCCCTTCTTTCTCCGACGGAAATCGGCATTGCCTTGTGCCATAGATGGCCGAGAGACCATGGCTGTGTGCACCAGACTTCGCTCGACGCTTAACCTTCCTTCTGAGTCATCCTTCTGACGCGCAAGGACAAACCCGAGAACGTTAACGTTACAAAGATGCGCAGTAAGCCATAGAAAATTCTGAACCCATTGAATCGATCCAATGTGAGTCTCAGCATAGCAAAACCGCAGATCTCCCTAATACGAGGATTGCAAACCTGATGTCAGGTTGCATGAATGATATTCATTGAGATGAAAGCCTGAATAGTTCAGGGCTTCGAATTTCATCTTACAAAGTGGCAGAGGCCAGTCCCTCAACCAACGAGGCCACATGGGGAAGACAATGTCCACGGGATACGAGGAACTTCACTGAATTGAGGTCCATCACTCAAGCCCTGCGTCGCGGGAGACCTTCATGCGCCGCAGAAGCAAGGCCAGAAACACCTTGGGCTGGAGCGTAATATGTGGTCAAATTCCAAGGTTGAGAACACAAGAGATTCCAACGTGGGACAAGAACGTTCGTTCATCGAGAAGCCAACCATATGTCGAAACCGGGCAGACGAGAGCTGTAGATGCTGTGCGTTCGGGCGGCGGGAGATAGGCTGAGGAGGGATTGGGTGAGGTTAGAGTTCGTCCAAACACCTGTTAAAAAAGACTCCTGTTCTTGAGGATGCGTCAAGGGAACTCGCATAGATCCAGTGCTTAGCCGCTTGGACGGGAGATTTTGAGAATACAGAAGCACCGTGGAAATGACAGATTTTGACGTCCATTGAAAGGTAAGAGACTTGGTGCATAGCGATTCTTGTAGCTGCGGTGGATATACAGTCTGCAGCTACGATCACATCGTGCAGAAAGAAGTCCATGAAGATGTCGCGAGTAACACGGGTACACCTATTGCAGGTTGGATGATAAGCTGACAGAAAGAACGACATCTGCGGGTCAGCACATCGACGTGTGAGTACCAAAGAATCTCGGAGAACGAGCATGTCTACCATGATAGGAATTTCGTCTGCTGGTATCATGCTCGATGCTTTCCTAATCCTTGACGGCCGCTGGAGAAGTTTGAGCTGGAACCGTTGGATACGGTCACGGTGGAACAAACGCAAAAATAGTGTGATCAAAGTTCTTCTGTCTTCCGTCTTCGAGAGTTTCCGGTAACCTTACCTTTGAGATGAGGACGTTCTTCTAGCCACGCTCGCGAAGGAAGCGCCTCGAGACCTGAGTAACACCATTCCGTGCTCACGGGACACGGCGATGGTGTGAAGCATCTAACATAGTCCTGCGTCAGTGGACATGGATAAAATTAACGACAAAGAGTGAATAATCATAGCTTATCTCTGCCGGTCCCATATGCTGCTGGTGTGCTGAAGCAAAGTGCAAGTACGAAGTACTGACAGTGAATCGACTTGAGAGCGAGAAATAAGAATAATTTCGTCATTTCTGGAGTCAAGTTAGAATATAAGCCCAATCGCATAAGTTCCAATTATTTCAGCTCGACCAAAGCCTAGTCTCTGTGGCCAACCAAGTACTGTTATGCAGAGATGTCGTGGGCTGTCCACGGAGGAGCTTGCCATCACAACATTTTCTCTGACCTCTGCCGAGATGCATCTGTTGAACAACTGGACTTCGCGCATGCGGGGAAGATCATCGACTGGCGCTCACTGGCAGCAGATATATTCCTGGATGTCTTTCATCACGTTTTAGCTGATCCTTATCGACAGCGCAGCTTCCGGCTTCATAGCATTTGCTTCCCTCGAGCATTCCTTGTCGTTTGCTGTGCGAGCTGAGTGCTTTCGCACGTGAGGTGTGGGCGTTTAGTTTATGCGGCCTTCAAGTTTGAAGCTCATCAGTTCAATCATCTATCTACTTCACCAGATCGCAATGGCTAACGCTTGGGATGTCTATGCTACGCAACTGTTCCGGTGTGGCCACGGTTATCCGCTCTGGGAGCCCGAGCCCACGAAGCACGGCGAGGTACGAGTCGGTGACGTCGGGTACATGCGCGAGGGTGCCTTCTATCGTCTCTTCAACGCTACAGTTCCCGCAGATGATCCCATCAATAGTCGCTACGGTGTGCCAGACCGCACGTCCTACAAGCCGTTTCAACACAGCGACTACATACTGAATCGACTCGAGGCTGCTCTTCCAGCGCTACCCATTTGCAGCAAGAGTGTTAAATCTGTATCCGCGAGTGCACAGGCCGGCGCGTAAGTACGTCTACCCTCTAAGCTTTGCTACGCATACATATTATCGAGCCCATCCACACAGTCAGAATGTCTCTGGGGGTTTTCAGTTCGAATGCACAGACGAACAGGGTGCGCTCCTCATCATGAAGGACCCCGCCGATCGGGAAGAACTTCACCCTAGTCGTCGCATGGCTAATTACATGATGAGCAATTTCCAGAGTTGGTACGAATTTGCGACGGAGGTTTGCGAAGTCGATGTAGAACGGGACGACATCATTTTTGTGCGCGGTTGGGTAAAGACCTCTGAGTGGGCCGTCGCTGCGTTCGTGCACGAAGGGCGTGCGGCACAGCTAACGTTCAGTGGCAACTTCGGACTAACCGCGAATGTGAACTTCTCGCTGTCCATGACAAAGGAGGTCTCTGCATTCCCCGAGCGCAATACAGGTCCTCGTCGCCGATTGCCTTCCAGCCCTAACCCTAATCTTCTCCCGGCGACACCTCAGCAAAGCTCAAGTACCGTAAATTTGGCACCTCTTGATCAATGTGTGTTCCTCCACTACTACAAGATGAAAACACGCTTCTTCCTCCCGCCCAAGGCGATCAACGCAGCTGCTGGACCATATGATTTGTCACCTTCTGGTGGCGATGAAGACGACCACAGTCACAGTATTGTAATTGATACTAGCAGTGTCACGTCGGATGAGGTGGAACAAGTCCCTGCCATTCCAAAGGTGAGTTCTTTTAGCTTGGCACAGATCACAAACTGCCATACTCATGCGAATGTAGGCATATGATCCTGTCGGATTCGTTCTGGACTACATTATTGAGGTGGGCAGTGTCGTTCAGCGTGTTGAATCCTCGTTGATTCCCCCTAGCATTCAGAGGCTGCCATCGCTATCGCCACCGATGCAGATATCGCTTCTCTATGCAAAGTGGGTTAGTTGGCTCGAGGGTCCACTTCCTTTTCTGACGTTCACACAGGGTCAGGACATACCTGAAGATATCCAAGAATTCCTGAATACCGTGCAGCCACATATCGAAGTTAACGAGGATGGTCGTAAGTTATATTTGATTCTCTCCATGTACTGCACTGATCAGTACTCTAGTCGGCATGCTAAACTTCGAAGGTGCTGTTGTAGTGGAGACCTCAGTACAACTTGAACAATTTGATCCCGTACGCACTGATGACAGCATGTCAGTCGATGGTCCTCCGCCTGTTGCACAACCTCCCACCGAAGGAGGCTCAGGTACCGGCGCTCATGTTCCCGGCCCTCCAGCTGGAGAAGAGAAGAAGGAGAGCGCGCACCTTGGGAACGGTACTGTTGTTGTCTTGGACGAGCACAAGGGCGGAGTCTGCGCGCTCGCGTACTCTCCCGATGGCCGCTTTGTTGCGAGCGGGTCGGAGGACATGAGCGTCATCATCTGGGACGCATCATCTGGACAGCGTTGGCACACATGCCAGGAGCACACGGACACAGTTTGCTCCATCGCCTTCTCTCCAGACAGCCGCGAACTCGTTTCTGGATCGCGCGATGGAAGTGCGATTATATGGACCGTTGCGACTGGCGAGCGTAGGGCCGTACTCGAAGGTCATGACGGCTTCGTCTACGTCGTTGCATGGTCTCCAGATGGTTCCAGTATTGCCACTGCGTCGGTCGATAACACCCTCCGCTTGTGGGATACTGCGTCGGGTCAGGAGCGCCACAGGTCTGATGCGCACGGTGCGATGGTGCTGCTCGTTGACTACTCACCGGACGGACGTCGCGTCATCTCCGCTGGCGCGGATCAGTGCGGATGCATCTGGAATGCCGAGAACGGGGAGCTGCTGTCAAGATTAGAGGGCCATGAGGGCATGATTTATACCGCCGCATTCTCGACGGACGCTCGCCGGGTCGTGACAGGTTCTGAGGATGGTACGGCTCGAATCTGGAATGTGGAGACAGGTGATGAGCTCGTAACTTTGCGCGAGCATGCGGGTGCGGTGTGGGCCGTTGGCTTCTCCCCAGATGGGAAGCACGTAATGAGCGCGGCGAGTGATGGGACGGTGAGGGTGTGCGACTCGTTCAGTGGCGACCGGCTCCAGGCACTCGAGGCCGGCGACTCTGTTGTGAATGCCGCCGCATTCTCACCGGACGGCACGCGTATCTGCGCGAGCACAAGTGATAATGCAGTCAGGGTATGGGACGCCGACTCGGGAAAACTCCTCGTTACGCTGGAAGGCCATGTCGACAAGGTGACGAATCTCCGTTTCTCGCCGGACGGAGAGCGCGTTGCGTCATCTTCGGACGACGCGACTGTCAGAGTGTGGAATTTGCGTACCTTGCGGGTTGCATGATGCGTGTGTAATGTGACTAGTTTTCTCGATCTATCTGTCCCTGCTAATTGCTATGTCAGAGTCTCAGATTTATGGGTTGAATTCTGAAGATACGCACTGTACATCGCTCCAGCTACCACTAGATAACATACCCCACTATTGGATCAGACGTCTCCTTTTTTGCGTTGCCTATGAAGTACTAGTGGCTCCGGTTTATTGTCCTCGAGGGCGAAGCCCTGTGGTAGATAATAACTACTGTAGCTAACTGATGTACGGATTTGGTTTCGAATAAAACGGCGGCGTTACTTGCCTAGTTGTACTTCCTACTCGGACTCTGGAGCAGAGGCCTCTATGGAACGATTGTGTACTTCGCGATAGAAATTGTCCCGGGGTCAGCGCGGTAGGAAGACTTAAATTCGTCCGAGCAGTGGGTGAGTTTCATCATACTCATAACATGAAGTCTCCGAATCAATCCTACACATTGGCGCTCCTGATACTGATAACGTAGGGTTGTCGCTACATACATGAGGCGTGCTTACTTATACGAGAATACAACAGCTTATTTTCTGTATTGGCCGATCACATCGGTTCAAACCAGTCGCCGGAAAACTTAAGCGAAGCCCTTCCTCTCGCGCGTAAGGTCCTCCACTGTCTTCCACTTCCAGACACTCTGGTTCGGATTGACGAGCTCGTTGTCGTTATCCGAAAAGTCAATTTGCCCTTCATTGAGAGTAAGACTGAGACGAGTAACTGTGAGCCAGATGAACCATCACATGTAGGAAAAACAACATACTGAAGAAGGGGAATAGGGGAGAAGTTCGAGTTATTGGCGAGCGACTCCTGCACCCCCTTCCTGGTGGTCTCAAGGTCGACGCCTTTCAAAGAAACTTCACTTATGTTCCCGAACTCCCTTCTAACGCGCTGCACGATGTCGCGCGCGTCCGTGAAACTGATGGCAGAGCCGGAGATCCGGATTTGGTCTGGGACGCGCGCCGATATAGCAGGCGTTAGAACCAGAATGGAGAGCTCCGCGAGAGCGCGCCCGATGTCTGCCTTCGACGTGAATGTTATCTTCTTATCACGAGTACCGAGGGAGGTGTAGGTGTTGTGGTCAAAGCCAACTGCAACAGTATTTTCGTGAGAAATAATCTCTTCCGTTGTTCACTCGCTGATATCGGCGAGAGACTTACAGAATGACTGAAGGTCACACTCAGGTTCCCGTGATGAGGAAGACCAATATTTATGCCCACCGCAAAATACATCTCGAGGAAGAGCCCGCTGTAAACATCAACAAACTTGAGTTTTCCCTGGCCGAGGTCGCGCGTCTTGCGGTCGTGGGCATTCTTGTCAGCCGACTCGCGCTGGCTCCAGGCCCAATAATCCTTGCGACGGTCACTACGCCAGAATGACCAATTCAAGGATTGCGACCAGAGTCATCCGAGACTTACACACCGAATTCAGTGGGGAAGTAAACTTTCACGTGGCGCTGTACAACGGCTTGGATCAGAGCATCCATGAGGTCACGCGACGCCCCGCCTGGAAGTAGGTTCACGACGACATTCACACCTTCAAGTACCTTGAGGAGGGACGGGAAGGGATCCGTCTCGCTAACCTGACGGAGCTCCGCGCCCTTCGCGGCGAGGGCTTGAGCGTCACTAGATGCAGGATCACAAACGAGGTAGGAACCAGGTACGGTAGTAAGAATTCAGGAAAACCCCAATAACATCTTGGCCTGCAAGGAGGTGGGACTCAGGGATTGAAGGAGGACGGTTCTTCAGATGGCTCACCAAGATTACCTGTGGCGCCGGCGACGGCAGCAACGTGAGCTTTGGAAGGAGCCGACAACGTAGACATTTTTGCGTACGTGGAGTTTTGTGCGCGTGTGTGGTAGCTACTGTGTAGGCACTGGCCCGCAGCTTGGAGGTTGCCACGGCAAGGTCGGTGATTTTATACTCGCTTTCTTCTCCACTTACGTTGAGCCTAGTCGCGCATTTGGATGCATATGGGTTCTGACAACGATCCGTACCCAAAAAATAGTTGATTCTTCAACAGCTAGAATAATGTTTAGACTGGGACTGAATCAACAATAGTATCATCAGCATGTGAAGGCTGATCATGCCCTTGCATGCGAGTCCCTGCTTGCAAGGGTACTTCTAGCGGAGCATGTCCAACTCACACCGGAGACAGCGGGCAATATCGCATCTGCAGACATTGTGGGAAAATTCCGCCTTACATTGTACATGTATGACCGGCTCTTGTTGCCTGCGGAAATTTTGCCTTACATCCTTTCTCAGCCAATCAGGTCGCAAGAATAAGCCTGTTTACAAAAATGTACAACTGTCTGACATTCTACCACATATGTACAATGGTAGATGGGATATTTGCACAATATTAGATGTCCAGATATAGCTCGCCGTCTCCGGTGTCACGGACCGATAACTCTTTACGTTGTGGGGATGACTCAGCGCTTTACTTAACGACTTGCCAGAATCAAATCATGCAGAAACGCAGAGATTCTAAACACGATCAAAGTATGGGTTCTTATGTAAAAAAATACAATCTGTGGGCTGGCTGCCAACAGGTTGAAAGTAGAGGAGCTGCTCTATAAGGCTCAGCAAGTGAAGCAAGACGAAGAACACTCAACTGGCACATGTAAGGTGTATCTTTATGTTGTGAATAATAATTATTGCACAAAGAGAGAAAAAGTTCACAACATTAACCAAGGGTTCTGCCAACGAAATCGGCCCTTGCGAGGCTAGCAAATCTCGCAAATTCAACTGCCACTGGCAAGCAGCTCGGTATTATCGCGTCAGTACAGGGTATTCAAAAAACCTTGACGAGCGCCCTCTTTTTCCAGCTTGGTTTCTTCGCTTGCGAAGAACAGAGCCCTTTATTTATTTATTTATTTAATTTTATACGGCATTGTGGCTGTACCGCCACCATCCGTACCCCAAGTGCTAGTGTTCCCCAGCTTGTACAGAAGCAATTCTGCAGTGTTATCGACATTGGAATGCACCAGAATAGTCCAATGATATCTTACTGTATTGTTCATGCTCTGGAAGTGATGGTTGCTCCAGATTTCCGCTAATTGCATTCACCTTGTCGTATTTCAGGGGACCATTTCCTTTCACGGTAACGGCGCCAGCTTGCGAAATGGCATGCGACAGAAAGCCCTGCAGGCGTCAAGGTTTTCCGAATCGTCTGTAATGCAGTCAATCTGTTTTGAAAGTAGATAAAGATTGACTTGTTGGAAAGAAATGAAGCTTCGGTGACAGAACTCAACAGAACTCAATGGTGTCCCAATTTCTCGGAGTGGAAATTTTGTACAACCACTCGGCTTTTGCCGGTGTTGCTAGTTGTGCTCGAGCCGCTCTAGTTCCTGGTCCGAACCATCAGCAAAACGCGTGATATTTCACAGAAATTGTCGCTCTCTATGTCTGCTAGAATTCCTACCTGGAAGATTGCCACTGGCACCCACATAGCGGTCCTAGCCTCACGCTGGTTTCATCTACGCTTGGTTGGATGCACAAGCTTTTCCTGCCAGTGAACACAAGCTGATGGTACAAATAAGTGGCTTCACGTCATACTTCTCCATTATCCTTAGACACTGGCTTCTACACCTGCTCTCTCTGGTGATATTCATCAAGCCCATGCGACGTCTGCTTGACACATTGTACCAAGGTAATTACGGCGAACCCACAATGTAGCGTCAGTCTTGTCATATATTTGCCTCAGATATTTGGCTTTCTGACGGGTTGCTGGTGCAGGCACGGTGAATGCGAGGAAGCATTAAGTGAACAAGGATGCACGAGTGACATGTTTTCGTTCACTTATTGATGGAGATCCGTTGTACTTTCTTACTACCAATTATCTGACATGTTGTTGCTGCATGCGTATTCCACCTTTTCATTACAAGCTTTGCTCGGACAACAAACTTTGGTCCAGTGGTGACTTTCTCGCATCATCTTGATGTACATAGCTTGCTCCTCCAAGCACAGTTCGCATCGCAGTCTGCGGTGAGCAGGATGACGCGAGTTATAGGGATCCTCGCGTGGTCCATTCAGCGCTGCTCGAATCTACAGGTGAGAAAACCTGACGGAGTTGCCTTGATGATACTCATTCTGTGAACTTGGCAGGAGTTCGCGTCAACCTTGTTGTGAGGGCCCACCCTCAGCGATACGCTGCGCTACACTTACTCTTGACTACTTGCTATCGTGAAGAAACGAGTTTATTAGATGTGTATCTGATGATTTTGCTACCCTATCGAGCACCTGTACTTATAATTACCTCTAGGTATACTCTGTCTGCGAGTCGATGCCTCTGATACTCCAATATGCCTTACAGCCGACAATACAGCCTCAACGTACATCGTTGAACCTTGCACTGGCATTTGGCAGCATGAATGGATAATGATGTCGTTGCCTCACAGCAAGCGAGAGAATACCTCACGGTGGAGTTGAATCTTTCTGACGGTAAGACGGCCATTCACCGATCTCAGAAGTGCTGATAGCACCTCTTGTCGCCGCGGATACCTTGGTGGTGAGATAATTGCGACCGCATGCCAGAGCGAAGGCTGACCGATGCTGACCGATAACGCTTCTATTCCCACATACATTATTCTTGCTGCTGATCTGATATGACCTCGACCTGGATGAATACCCTATTTGCTGCGTTATCGCCCCGCTTGACCCATCTCCTCGACGATGCCTGGCCTTGCGACATTCCCGCCGTTCCCAGAGAATGTGCCCACTCACGCGTTGCTCGTCGTAGACTTCCTATTGCTTAAGGCGGGCGACGCAGCAGAGATCGATAAGCTATGGAAGGCAGCCACGGGGCTCGGATTCTGGTAGTGAGTGTCCGCGTTAACTTAATGGTAAACGTCACGATCGAAACATATTCAATCACAGCCTGAAGAACCACGGAGCTGACGAGGAAGTGAACGGTATGTTCGACATGGGCGCGGAGACCATGGCACTCCCTCTGGAGGAGAAAATGCAGTTCGAGCAAGGCGACGATGGCACATCTCCCGGGTACGTGCCTCTACTAATATGAAATTTTCATTATAGATTCAACGTTCACTCGGCAGGTACAAGGCGGCAGGTGCTAACGTTACCGATGAGACCGGTGCGCTGGACTCAGTAGAGTTCATCAACATCTCCAAAGATGATGCACTCGCATGGCCCGGGAAAGTCCATAGGTCCTACCCACGCACAGTCAATACCCGCATGGAGCCCACCATCGCTCCCTTCGTGCGCAAGGCATTAGATGTGAATCTCACTATCATAGACATACTGGAAGCCAAGCTCGGTTTGCAGGAGGGCGCATTGGCAAAGAGACATTCGATCGATGAGCGTAGCGGCAGCGAGGCGCGGTGCATCAAGAGCCCGCCGCGGCCCCATGGCTTCTCAGAGGACAAGGCGGCGCTAGGATCACATACAGATTTCGGCTCTCTGGTGTGTTTGCTGAAGTTCGTGTTGGTTTGACTGACCTATCCTGAATCAGTCCTTCTTGCACAATCGCCTGGGAGGATTGCAAGTCATGGTACCGGGTGCGACGCAGTGGCAATACGTAAAGGCAAAATATTTTGCGCCATATCTCGAAAGCGTGCTTATCAATTGCTTTCATGTAGCCGATACCAGGTCATGCCATCTGCAACATCGGGGACGCACTCACAATTCTCAGTGGTGGAATCCTGATGTCCAACCTCCATCGTGTAGTGTACGTCCACCGATCATTGATTCACGACATCCCCGACTAAAATGTCCGCTATCATAGACCTCCGCCAAAGGAGCAGGGCAAATTTGAACGCTGGTCTGTCGTGTTCTTCACAAGACCGGGCAACTCTATCGAGCTCCGAGCCCTAGCAGAGGAGAGCCCGATCATCGCTGAAGCGGTCGCGCAGGCACCCGCTGGGAAGTATCAGCCTGGATCGACGGCGAAGGAGTGGTTCGCCAGGAGAGTGAGGAATGAGAGGAGAAATAACAGGACGGTATGTATTTATTCCTCCCGGGTTACCGTCTGTTTCTAGCACCCGCACTGCCGAATTTTATCCTTCTGAGTTGACCTCTTGTCACTCCGCCAGGGCCCGGAAACATATCATGCCAGTAGGGGTATGGAGCACACGCCAGCGGCGATTTGATGATGGGAGAGATCCAATTGAAACATGGTGTACGTGCTACATCACTAGAGGTCAGGACGCAGAATGCATACTCGTTGTTTGCCGACCAAGCTGTGCTTGAAATGTTGCACTCACGCGGCTAACAGATGGTATCTAAGAGCTGTGTTCGCAGCATGCCAACATTTTGCCATCACAGCAGTTCTTACTAGAGCAACTCTCGGCGACACCTCTCTCATTGATTCCACCATCACTCCGCCACCTCTCCATTTCCCTCGGTGGTGTAATTTTCCCATACAAATGTGACTTGACCGAGGATGGAAAAGCTGCGCAAGACTATTTGAAGTCCATTTTTGCCTACGCTCCCCTACTACAAGATATATCCATTTGAGGAGTCCGTAACCCGTTATGTCTGGTGCCTGTCAACTCTTGCAGGGATCTTTCGCTAGTCCATCTCAATCTAGATCACCTCAATCTTTCCCTTCGGGAAGGGCTGGCAACGTTGCCGTGTCTAATCGATCTGGACATTCAGACCACCTCGATCTCTGCCCACGATGCTGGCTGTAACTTGGATTCACCACGCTGCGACGGCTCGCTATCTGTGCCATACTTTCTGTTGCCACGCTAATCTTGTCTATGGTTCTCTCCCCGTCCATCGCTGCAATTCTGCTCTACCTCACGGATGGAACAGATATCGAGCCATTCCACCCTCAGCCACTCTTATCGACCATAGCTTCAAGATACCCTTCTTTACGTGCCATTGATTTCCATGCTTACGTTCACCATCGGACATCGCTATTCGATGTTCTCGAACCACATATGTCCTTGCGTGACCTGCAAAACATCAGCATACAGGTTCCGGCAACGGTATTACTTTCTGACACTGATCTCATTGCAACGGCGGTCGCATGGCCAAAAATAGATGCACTTGGGATACGCACGAACTATGTGTCCCTGTCTCTGATACCAAATGCATGCCATGTACTGGTTGCGTTTGCGCGTCTTTGCCGGAACCTGAGGTTCCTTGATCTACCCCCGATCGACTTCCATGGGCTCCCTGCACCCGAAACCGCACCCCAAATGCCTGTGTCGTTCTATGCGCTATCTCCTTTCAAATCCTCACTGGTGGAATCCCTCGATCACAGACCCTGCTGGGGTCACATCCTTTCTCACTGCTATCTTCCCTGACATTGACCTTCGTCGGCTCACAAGACTCGCGTCCCACCCCGTTCCTGGAGGAGGCGCTACTCAATGGAGACAAATGGTGGATGAGCTGAGAACCTACCGGCAAAACCGGATGCGTCGGCTGGGACTGGAACGCAACTGGTGATAGCTTCATTTTAGCTTTGTCGCGCCGCGTTCACTGTCACAGTTCACGCTGACTATCTGCATTGCAGTATATATCGTCGACGTTATTAGTCTGTCTGCGATCATCGAGTTGAGGAACCTGTTTCTCGTACATGAATCATATGTTGTAAAATGCTGCAAGATTTCGCTTCACCCCGTTCCATCCCTGATCTACTTCAAGCTCGACATTTCCGCCTTGTAAACCAAAACAATGTATGTGGCGAAAGACTTCTGGGAGGACGGTGTCTTCCCTTTGTTCCACGCTGAGCCATGATTGAGGTGCGCTCCGCCTTCTCTTTTTATACCTCTTTGCGCCTTCCATTTCCTTCAGTGACGACTGACCGGCCCAGGAGCAAGCTTCTTGTACAGGTTTCAACTATTATCGTAGTGACCTAGTCTCGGCTGGTGTCGGCTGGTGTCTTTTACACTCAAGACGACGTGTTCGATGAAGTAGAGCAGAGTCGCTCCCGGATTTTCACGCTCTGCGCGTCAGGATGCACGTCAGGTGAGGACAGTTTCATCCTAAAGTTTGTCAGACAGTGTTCCTGCTGTAAGGATATTTGTCTCAGCTTCCGTGACGCCACGGAGAGGGAGCCGGTGACGTCTTCGTGGCAAGTCTGGGGTGCTCCTCGATTGTACAGGTGATCAGGCCTTTGGAGCTGTTGGTCAGGAAGGTGCGTTCCCAGCACAATAGATGATTCTCATTTGTCCTCAGAGGCTTGCGATGTGTGTACGTGGCAACGCGTACCGAACTACTACCTATTTCTCAACATCTTGCCTGGCGGATGGGAAATGCAAATCGTCTTCCATGACAAGGTGTGCTTCTCAACCTCCTTTCTCGTCGTTGGCGAGACGTCTGATGAAGAAGTGCGATACCATAGTTCGATCCGACCATCTGTTCTCTTTCCCACCGGTTCTGGGATTGCCATGAGTGCAGGATGCTGCGGCGCTAAAGGAACATACGTCAATAGTCAGCTGAGCAAAATCTCTCGCTATCGGTTATATAGGTATTCGCAGGCCTCTATCAGCGCGGTACACCGAGCTCCATCACTATGCCAGGCCTCATAACGATTCCCCCCTTCCCTGAAAATGTGCCCATGCATCCGCTGCTTGTGGTCGACTACGAGAAGATCAAGGCGGGCGACGAAGAAGAGATCGACAAACTGTGGAAGGCGGCTACCGAGCTTGGGTTTTGGTAGTAAGTACATGCACGCAGTACATCGCATCGTTCTAGCTGAGTTCGTGGTAAATTTACAGTCTGAAGAACCACGGCGTCGAAGAAGAAGTGAACGGAATGTTCGATATGGGCGCGGAGACTTTGAGTCTACCGATGGAAGAGAAGATGAAATATGAACAGGGCGACGAGGGGATGTCCTGCGGGTTCATGAATCGCTTATTGTCGATTGAGTAGAAGATTACTGATGTCAGATCGTCCAGCTACAAAGCCGTAGGAGCCAACGCCACGGATGACACCGGCGCACCGGATGCCGCAGAGTTCATCAACGTCGCCAAAGACGATGCACTAGCATGGCCTGCGCAAGTGCACCGCGACTACCCTGCGACAGTATATGCCTGCATGGAGTCCACAGTTGTCCCGTTCGTACACAAGTCGCTGGAGGTCAACTACACGTTAGTCGATGTCCTCAATGGGCGACTCGGCCTACCGGAGGGTACGCTCGCTTCGAAGCACAAGCTGGAAGAGCACAGCGCGAGCGAGACTCGTTGCATCAAGACCCCGCCGCGGCAGCACGGAATGACTGAGGATAAGGCGGCGCTGGGCGCACACACTGATTTTGGCTCCCTGGTGAGTGCGGCATCCGAGTTGTGCTTCCCAAGTAATTCAGTCAAGTCCGCAGTCTTTCTTGCACAATCGCCTTGGAGGGTTGCAAGTGATGGTACCAGGAACAACGGAGTGGCAGTATATAAAGGTAGAGTACACGCAATTCTCTGACGGAATCCGGTGTTCACTCGAATTCTTTCCAGCCCATCCCTGGACACGCTATCTGCAACCTCGGGGACGCCATGACAATTTTCAGCGGCGGCATCTTGCGCTCCAATCTCCATCGCGTAGTGTAAGCTTCGTATGATATTCTATCAAACGTGTACCTTCCACGCTAATACCGTGTATGCAGCCCTGCGCCGAAGGAACAGGGCATATACGAGCGTTGGTCTGTTGTCTTCTTCTTTAGGCCAGGGTTTTCTGTCGAACTCCGTGCTCTGGCCGACGAGAGCCCGTTGATTGCACAGGCAGTCGCACAGGCGCCGGAGGGCAAGTATTCTCCCGGCGTGACCTCGAAGGAGTGGTTTACGAGAAGAACCAAGAATCAAAGAATGAAGAACAGAAAAGTGCGATATCGCCGACTTGACGGTAGAATGATGAGCTCAGATGTATTCCGTCCACAGGGTCCAGAGACTTATCGTGCTAGTAGGGGAATGGAGCACCAGCCCTACGCTGTTTGAACGACGAATTCCCTCGAAAGTTATAAACCCTGTATTGGTACCTGTGATTCAAATACCTGTGTTGTATACGCTGCCGTCAAAAGATCTAAAAAGGTGTAAGATTGTGCATTCGCCGCCGCCCAAAACGGCACGTGATTGTGACGCGACGCGATCAGTCACGCGGGCGACACAAAGTACCAAACGCGCTTGTACAGTACTTATCGTCTGATAGTAGCAATTGTCAGTACTATCACACATTGGCTGCTGAAACATGATATCAAAATTTATGTTTCCAGGCTGATCATGTTTTCTACCGCAATTCGAGATGTCGGTATGTCTCCTGGAGGACGCCATCACAAACATAATTTTCTTCAACTGCGCTGGTCGAATTCGTCTACAAAAGAAGGATTGTCGTACTTCATACCAGATCAAAGGAATTCACTACACACCAGCGTGCTCGATGACCAAGGCTGAGGCTCCGAACTCATCTCGAACACGATCTCACCCCCGTTCGCGATCTGGGAGTGCAGAATAATTGGTATTTGCACGTCCTCGCCGTTGATCTTCAGAGACTTGATGTATGGGTTTTGTGGTCCGCCTTTGGAAGTGATCACCAGCGGGTGCGTCGCATTGGGGAAGTCGAGCGTCACTTTGTCGAAGAATGGCCTGAGCAAAGTACACGTTTTATCAGCACCGAGTGGAAATGAGGAACTTGGTCAAGGCACAGATAAAGCTGCCAGAAATAGAGAACACATACGTGCCAACGACATATTCAGCCGACACAGGATCCACGGGGTAGAAGCCAAGGGCACTGAAGATGTACCACGCGCTCATCTGGCCGCAGTCTTCGTTCTGTTAAAACGTGGGGGTGAACAATCAATCTGTTTATGCCCTTTAAGAAGTATGCAGATATTCACACCGGATAAGCCGTTAATGGACGCGTTGTAGTTCGACACCGCTACTTCGCGAATGCGCTCTTGCGATTTCGAGGCAGCGCCTGCGAGAGAGTACAAGTATGGGATATGGTGCGATGGCTGCAGAAAGACGTTGTAAAGCGCCATACAACACCGGTCGAGTTAATCATGACCTACCTCATTAGTCTGATCGTTATGGCCTGCACGTCACATCAGCAACAATAATACGAGTTCAGGTAATTGAATGATCCTTGCCTCCATCGAAATGCTCGTCCAAAAACGCCACGAACGATGCGTTGCCGCCTCTTCGCTCGATCAGGCCGGGAATGTCCTGCACGACGTCGAACGTGTACGCCCACATGTCACCCTCGGTCCAACCCGCGTCTTGGCCGGCCCACGAACCGTTCGCGTCGCGCGCTTCCATAAAAAGCGTGTCGTTGTTGAAAATCGTGAACGGGGCGGACATCGCACGGGCGCGGAAGAACGCGGCATCGGAGGTCTCGGAGAGCGCAGATGCGAAGACGGAGACGGCGTAGTCGTCAACTGACGTCGGCATTTACAGTGAGGCTATCCGGTTTGAAGGGATGGAAGAGGTCTCACAGGCGTAGTCAAGCGTGCGCGAGGCAGCCTCGGAATGGATGTCGGACGCAACCCAGCCACGCTCTTCGTACACCGAAGACAACCCTGCACGAACTTCGTAGCCTACATTCTGCAACCAATCGCACATATATCAATCGCCGTACAGAAAATGTAACTCACCTCCTCGCGATCGTAGTACCTAATCAATATCAGTTATGCCGTTGTCAAATAGGAGAGACCAATACCCACGAGATGGTCCCGTCATCCACTGGCGGCACAGTAGCGTCCTTGTGGACGGCTTCATACGCAGTCTTGAAGTCAAACCCGGTTACGCCCTTAACCACGGCCTCAGCGATAAGCGCATCTGCGTGGGTCGCCACCTGTGCACGGTAAGTGTGGAGGACACAGACGTCACCAATACAGTGCTACCATGATATTCGTCTCTGTTCGGCATGAAAGGTTTTAGTATGAGACGACTCTGTCGTTAGAGAGAATTGCTCACCCACTATGTTCTTCCACATTGGAAGCCATCCGCCCTGGAAGAGATACGCTGAGCCGAGAGATGGAATCTAACAACCGTTGAAACGTACCTCTTTGTAGTCTTGGAGCATGCTCTGCACCATACCGGGAATACGTTCAGGTGCAAGCAGGATCTGCCACGCCCACTCAGCGCGGAATGTGTCCTGAAATAATTCGATCCGTGAGACTTCGCATGCAACTAAGGCAGCGGGAAGCTCACCCAGATAGAGTACCCAGTGTAAGATTCTCCCTCGTGCACGGACTCGTCATAACCCGAGTAGTACTGACCATTTTCGCTTTGTTCGTACGGATACTGGCGGAGAGCGAGCTCATCAACAACATGCCGAATGAAGAATCACCTCGGGCACCTGAAGCGTATGATACACCCCAGTATAAAACACCTTCAGGTCGTCCTCACTCGCGCCCTCAACCTTGATCCGATCCAGCTTCTCCGCCCACGCCTGCCGCACACCTCTCGCGGTCTCTTCAAGACTGATATCATCGGGGATCTCTGTATCCAGATTCTTCCGCGCTTGCTCCACAGAAATGAACGACACGCCCACCCGCACGCCCACCACGCTGGCGCCCTCAGCAAACCGTACGAATCCCCCAAGCATTGCGCCCGCGCCCGCCGTCGCGCCCTCTGCAGTACTGCCGTTCGCGGTAGTGCCCCAGCTCGCGAAAGGGAGGTCGAAACGTGCGCAGAAGTAGCCTGACCAACCGAGCGCTGGATTGGGCCCGATGATGAAGTCCTGTCGCTCAGGGTTGCGCCCGGTAATCTCTTGTCGTGACGGGTCGATGGTGATCTCGCCGTGCGGGTAGGTTACGTTGGAGGGGTCGGCGGAACCCATGACAGACGCGCGTGTTGCTTCAACGAAAACGTATGGGATGCTGGTGTTCATGAATGTAAAACGCAGATGTCCAACGCGAGAAGCTGGTAAATAAAATGAATTGTAGATCGATGTGTTAAGCGAGAGAATATAAACTTACTCGCAGATTTCTCCGCGAGAATCTTCCCTCCCTCAAGTGCATCCATCTGCACGCTGTAGTAGCTGGCAGTGATGACTTCGTCGTCGTGGCTGAACGGCATGCCGCGCTGCTCGAACACGCTCTGCACCTCTCCTGCACCGGGCACGACGACGACCTGGCCGCTCTCGCCCATCCAGATGGCAGGCTGGTGAGTGCCCTGAAATCCGTGTACTTCCGTGTCTGTATAATTGTACGGCGTCACGGAGACATAGTTCTGGCGAGTCTGCGCGACCCAGCGCGTCATAGCAAACGGTGGGGCGGTGGACGGGATCATCCCCCCCGAACCGTTCGGAGAGTCTCCCCCGGCGCCTATCAGCCTTTGACGAATGTCAGGAAGATGCAAAAGTGTAGAATATCACTCACGGGTCAACATTATCCACACCAGAGCTCGGTGGCTCTGCGAATGCAGAAGGTAATCGTGAGCGGGCGGAGACGGTCGCAACGAAAATGAGCTGCAAGGTGGTCTGCAGTCGCATCCTCGTGTTCAGCGTTTCTCAGGCGTTGACTGAGATATGACTGGCAGAAGTTACGCGAGAAACGACGAGTCCAGGATGAGTCCAGGACATGGTAGGTTGCGAGCGCCGGCAATTGGCGCCTCCTCGAAATTGAAAAATCCCACGCATCTAGGGCCTAGATGTCACACGTTCGCGTTATACATATCTGACTGTGACCGTAGGCGTACTAGTAGCCTAGTACTACACAGGACAATATTTTGAGCTTCAACCTCAACTTCATCCTGCTTAGAACGCAAGCTGCGGCGCTGTTGCATCAGCAACATGCCTACAGACGGCGCTTCACTGGTTGTAATGTTTGGTCTATTGGGATTGAAATCCTTAAATAGCAAAAAAGCAAAGCAGGCAGCATGTCCTCAATCCGCCGCTGGAAGAATGGCTCTACCTTCTCTCACGGTCGCAGTAAGGAATCCTTCTTGTTTCCTTCGTACTCACTTGATGGTCACTGTCTTCTTGCCAATAGACTATAGTATAGCTGAACGGGACGCCACGGCCCGCGCAGGATAGCTTTGCCAACTTGTTATGTTACCCGCTAGTACAGAGGCATCTCAGGGCAGAGCTATGTCAGCTTGTTGCATCGATAGCATCGATACATTCGCTGTGCGGATAATGCTCGGTGATACGTTTCTGCGAACGTCTAGCAGCGGTCCGTTGGAGCAGTCGGTATGTGCCCACCTGTAGCTTCGCACCATATGACCCCGCAGTCTGACGAACGCGCCCGTGCCGGCATATGGCTCTACTGCACCTACAATTACCGCCTGGGTTCACTTTACGCCGACAATATAAAGCTCGTTGATCCTGATAATAGCGAGAGGTCTTGAACTCCTTGCTGAATACAGGCACTACAGGCGACCATGGGGATGGCTCTGGGTGCAACTTTTTGCACTCTTCATTTCCTAGCGGTGATCTTTGTCTCTGCGATCATTGCTAGCGCCTCCCGGCTCACAGCGCACGAAGTCCGCGGAGATCTACATTTCCCCCTCCGTGCACGCGGAACGAATACAGATGGATCAGTGCCAATATACAAGAATCCTAACGCGTCGATCGAGGATCGTGTGAATGATTTGCTTCCGCGAATGACACTGCAGGAGAAGGTAGCGCAGATGTACGTGCAATCGCGTTGTATCGTTACTCTGTCCTTCAGCGTACTCGCACAGCGCTAACCAGGCTGTGGAATATTTGAGCGACAAGATGCGCGAGATCAAGTCTCAGCGCCAACAGCCATAATCATCATGTTTCTGTCCTCCAGAGGGACCTTTATTGGTCTCGAACACTGGTGTCCTCTGTATTCAATTTATTCACCTTTTGTTGTCTTAGAATTCAAGGCGATCTTGATGGGTGGATGAACCTGACCGATCCACTTGATGACACCAAAACCTACAATGAAACCGGTCTGGTACGTGTCTATGACTACACTTCTCCAGCGGCGACTCAACACGCTGTTGTAACGCTCTGCAGATTGAAATGATGGAATACAAGAGCGGTGCGATCTGGGGCGGATATCTTATGCCCTGGGATAAGTGGGTCTACGGCATAACCATTGGCCAGAAATACCTTATGGAAAACACCACGCTCGGCATCCCTGCCATAGTGCAGTCCGAAGGTAATTTTCGTCTATAGTGGCCTTCTTCAGACTCACTATAAGGGTATTACATGCAGGCTTGCACGGCTTTACTAACAACGGTACAATCTGGCCCTCGCCCATTGGCCTCGCAGCGTCCTTCGACACCCCACTTCTCACACAAGCAGCAGCGACGATTGCGGACGAGGCGGAGGGCCTTGGATTCTCTCAGCTCTTTGCACCTGTCTTAGACCTCTCTCGTGAGCTTCGATGGGGCCGAGTGGAAGAAAATTTCGGAGAGGACCCGTTTCTGTGCGTCAGAATTTGAACTGATCCTCTCAATAAGACAACGAAGCGTATTCCCTTACAGGACCGGAGAGATGGGACACGCCTATATCACAGGGCTGCAAACCGGCCGCCGGCGGAACACAAGCTCAGAGGCCATTGCACGAATGGCATCGACTTGCAAGCACTTCGCAGCCTATGGCAGCCCGCAGGGTGGTTTGTGAGTAGGCTACAGGTCCGATACTTACGACATGCTCAGTTGCCTTCAGAAATATTGCGCAGGTATCTGGCGGAGAGCGTGAGCTGCGGACGATGTATTTGCGACCATTTAGTCGTGCATGTGTGGATAGCCTGTCCATCATGACTGCGTATGCAAGTTATGATGGGATCCCCGCAGTCTCGAATTACCGTGCGTGCCCAATACCTCCATGTCCATTCATCTCGGGCTCACCTTGCTGTAGATTTGCTCACAGAGATTGTAAGCAGAGCTTCTGTGCATTGCGTTCATGTTTTACCCTCCAAGCTAGCTCCGCGAAGAATGGGGTTACAAGTACTTTGTCACTACGGACGCAGGCTCTGTCGATCTACTATACTCCCTCCACGGCACGTGTGGCACGCGCGAGTGCGCGGCAAAGGACGCGCTAGAGAACGGGCTGCAGATGGAGATGGGTGGTGGAACATACACCTATTTGACATTACCTGGTACGCCTTCTGCTCGCCTTACTGTTCTAATCTGCTTATAGTTGCATGCTGTAGATCAGGTTGCGGAGGGAATTGTGGACGTCTCGTACATTGACGAGACTGTCAAGTATGTGCTAACAACGAAGTTCGCCCTGGGTCTATTTGAGAGTAAGTTCGTGACGTATTGTGTTTCGCTCTCAATCAAGTTATTCCTTAGATCCATACCCGTACCAGGACTATCTGTCTACGCTGCGGACTCCGGAGACGAGAGCACTATTGCACGTCATGGAACGAGAGACAATCGTACTCCTCGAGAACCGACAGAATACGCTCCCTCTGAGCAAGAGTATGAACTCCGTCGCTCTGATTGGTCCTCAAGTCAACCGTGTCTCTGTCAGTGCATATCTGTATCATTCGAATATGTTCTTGCCTTCTGACGCATCACTGTCGGCAGTTCGGGGACTACGTCTTCTACAACGCCTCACTGAACGGGATCTCGCCGCTCGAAGGCTTCACCCAGCTCCTGGCGGATACTTCCGTACAAATCAACTACGCCGAGGGCTGCAGGCTGTGGTCAAACGACGAGTCTGAATTCGCCGAAGCCATCGCGGCCGCGCAGGCATCTGATGTGGCAGTTGTCATGGTCGGGACGTGGTCCCTCGACCAGACGCTACTTTGGACGCCCGGCACGAACGCAACAACGGGCGAGCACGTTGATCTGTCATCCCTCGCACTCGTCGGTGCGCAGCTGAAGCTGGTGCAGGCTGTGAAGGCTACCGGGAAGCCCACGATCGTTGTGTTTGTCAGCGGGAAGCCTGTCTCTGAGCCTTGGATCCAGCAGAGTGAGTTGCTCCTGCGAGGAGAGTGATCATATCATTTATCATGTGCTAGATGCGGATGCCGTGGTTCAACAATTCTATCCCGGAGAGTTAGGTGGACTCGCCCTCGCTGAGATCATCTTTGGGGACGTGAATCCCTCTGGTGAGCGGCAATTCACCACACCGATCCGCTCACCTCCTGAAAATGGTCATCACTACAGGGAAGCTTCCTGTATCTTTCCCGCAGAGTGTGGGCACAACTCCAGTATTCTACAATTACCTTAAGGGGGCTCGCCCTATTGACCCTGGGATGGTCTACCCCAATGGAACCTTGGTATTCGGACATCAGGTGGGCTCATTGGTCCTGTATAGTGCTATACATTAATTATCATGCCCTTCGTCAGTATGTCTTGAACACCCCGGTACCCATATGGAGCTTCGGGCACGGTCTCAGCTACACGACCTTCAACTAGTGAGTGTTTTGCATGTGATGACTTCATCCAGATTTGACTTTAACTGCATAGCACGAACTTGGGACTGTCCCCCTCAACGATTGGAACTGCGGACAACTTCAACGTGAGCATGACGGTCCAGAATACGGGCGAAAGGGACGGTATGGAGGTAGTCCAGGAAAGTCACACAACTACGCGTCGAGCCTCTGTTCCTGATGAATTGTTCCACTGTCCAGGTGTACATGACGGATCTCGTTAGCTCTGTCGTGACCCCCAATCAGATGCTAGTCGGCTTCCAGAAAGTGAACCTCACGTACGCCCTTCTCTCTACCTCCGCACCCGGAAAGGCTGAGCATCTCTTCTTCGCAGAGCGGGAAGTTCTCGAACCGTCACCATCCCCGTGAACTCATCGCAATTGGCTGTGTGGTCGCTGAGCGACTCGTGGGTAGTCGAGCCAGGCAACTTCACAGTAAGAGTGGGAATAAGCGACGAAACATTCCTCATTACAACACTTGTCATACAGTGATGAGAGGTGAAGTCCACGTCTAATGTTAGGTATGAACAAGGGGATTCGAAGATTCTATCACCTTGTCGCTTGGAGTGCAAGTGTGTATATCCTAGATCCACATGTCCGTTGTCTTAACATATCTATCAGAAAATCATTATTTCAGTTGAAAGTGCTCAGAACCCCAGGAACGCTGCGTCCGGAAGTTTGCGGGCGCAAAGCTCATGTTTGCGCTTCTGAAGCTCACCGCTGCTATACGATTAGGAAGACCACACGCTCACTCTACACCATCACTTCGGGTATGTTCACAACGGCTTAAGATGCCCCAAATTTCCCCCCATCCCGAGGACGTAGGAAGTGATTTCTTCGTCGAGTTACAATGGTGAACAACGGCACATGTACGCATTCCATGGATGCCTGTACTTATCAGATAACAAAACAAGGACAAAGGCATTTAAGCTTCGCCGCAAATAGTGTACTTCTACAGCACGGTCTGGAAAAACGTCAGTTACAAGAAAGTACATGCTACTAGCAGCAAATGTATGTGTTGGGAAGCGGCGAAGCATTGGCAGCGAAAAAGCTCATAGTGGAGTCACAGCAGACGTGTGCATATCAACGGTTGAAGAGGTCTGATAGGCAACGAGTGCTGAGAATACATCATGAATCGACCAATAAGAACTCACAAAAATCATCGGGCCAGTGCTTCAAGACGTTCCATGAAGAGCCTACTACCAGTTCTGATCTCCCTTGGTTCTTGGACTTGTATCCGATCCGTACCAGTTATCTCTGTCCTCCAAACTACGGTGTTTTCCCCCAGGGTCAGATATGCGACAAAACCGTCCACATATTCTTTCGTCTGTAGAGTGTCTAGGTAGGAGATCACCTGACCTACGTATGCATTTCTCCCGAGCTCGCTCGTCTTCACCTCTAGGAGCACAACAATGGAATCGAACTGTGCACCAGTATAATCACTAGCTTTGGCGACAATGAAGTCCGGAACTTGAATTGGGGATGGAAGAGGGGATCGTCGCTCTCGCAACGTAGTGGGATCGCCGTATGAATCAATCGAAGTCCTCGAATCCACCGAGAGCTGCGTGCTGTGGCCATGCACAGGCCCAGGCAATGCAGCAATACGTGCCGACTGCCGAACAGCATCGGGATGACCCCCTGTTCCAGGTGGAAGTACCGTAGACGATACCACTGGGACATGAGATCGAAGAATGGCTTGTGGTTTGACTAAATAACCTCTGGAAGGAGGGAAAATGCTCGACAGAAGCGCATTGACTGGGCCATAGAGTTTATACTCCAGCTCGGGGGATAAGTTGTGGTAGCTTAGAAGACGATTGATGAACCAACGAGCATTCGGAGCCTGCGCCATCTATGGTCGAGTGAGCTCATTAGAAGACGAAGGATCGTGCACACAATCACTGACATGGATGTGCCTCTTCGAGAACTGGGCGCGTTCTAGGTGTGGATGAGGTGAAGTCCTTTAGACAGAGAGCTGACGATAGAGCGATGCGATTGGCGAGCGGGTGTAACGTTGGTGTGTCAGCGAGGGAAGACTGTGCTATTCGCAGGTACGGTTTGGATACTGACGAAAGCCCCCAAATGCCTCGTAATTTATACGTGGCGCGGTCGGCGCTTTATTGACCATTTGTCAGAGACGACACGGTAATTTCGCCAGATGCATCACCAGGTGTGAGCAGCGAGGCAGGAAAAAGGTTTTGGCAGTGAATCGGTAGGCATAAGCAACGCCATATAGAAACAAGCCACCAGACGCAGCGTCGTAACAATTACCGTATGTGGCGTCATGATAGAATGAACTTTTCAGGGGTCACTGGGCCCAGCGCTGTGGCAAGACTATCTTTCCTTCGCAGGCGCACACGGCACCACAGCAACACAAAACCAATCAGCGGTGCCAAGATCCAGTGAGGAAGAACATCGAGCATCAAGGTACCCAGCGCCGAAAACCACGAGGATCCAGCAGTCTCTCGCATCAAAAAGATTTTAATCGTGAGGGACATGAACCGAGAATGTCAAAAAGAGAAGCACACAAACGCGGTGATGCGGCAGGGAAGCTGTATTAATCGGACGACCTTCCAACGGACGATTTTTAGTGACTCGTGGTGAGTCAACGAGGAAACAGTCAACGAGGAAACACACTACTCACGATCATGTCAGACATCACCTCAATCGCAAGCCGTAGGATTCTAGGGCTCATCCGCTGATAGGCTGAGACTCCATTCGTTTCAGGAGTGCGGCACCCTTTAGGGTAGCTCATGGAACTAAGGCTGGAATCCGAGAGTGCACACTATGGCGTACCTGATGAAACCAACCCTGTTTCGAATGAACTTCTCACCAAATCTTCACATTATTCTCGTGCTTGTTGTTGCGCCCACTGTCCCTGTGAGATGATGAGCCAAGTCACCCGACCTCAGGCGATCTGTGTAGAATTACCCAGGAAACTTGAACAAAATCGGATCGCTCATGGTACCGAGTGTGGGTGGAGATAATGAGTTGAAGGTGCCGGAAACAATCACTACCTAGACGAAAATCGTAGGAGTCAGAGAGGGCGGGTTCTCGTGGAGACGGTTCTTACAGCAGATATTGGTCTGCGTTGCGGCAGTCTAAATTGTGAATAGTCCGCAGTCGGCCACATGCAATCGCGAGCAATCGTTGTATTATCATCTTGTGGGTCCGCGCGGAACTTCCTCCGTGCCTCGCCGTAACAAGTTGTACACTTGTGTAACCGTTTGATGTCAGGCCTGGACTAGGACAGAAGGGGAGACACGCTGTATCCGGGCTCCGCTCATGATCGATTGATCAGCCGCCCTACATCACAGCCCCTGAGCTACCAGTGAAGTTCCGTCCCAGAAGAAATGCGTGGAAGTAAAGGAGACGGAGAAGTGCCATTTAGGAACCCTTCGGCGCTCACCGCCACTGCGCCGTTATGACAAGCGCTCGGCGTGACTCTTTCAGAGGTGTGGCCAAGGTGTAGCGTCGCCCTGCTTCTCGGTATATAAACATCGGCGCTGGCCTTGAGACGTCCCAGTCTCGACCGCGAACTGTACTTGTGTATCCAGCTTAAGCCTCAGGACTCAGGTATGTACGATCATTGCTCTTACTGAACGACATCGGTCCGATTGCTCTCCATCTAGCCTATTCAACCAATTGCCTTGGCCGTAAAAGCCTGACGTTCACCTATCCCTCGTTGGTGGGTGCACGAAACTCACTGCTAGCGCTCATACTAAACGGCCATATCGTATAGCATCATGGTCTTTGTCATTGCCGGCTACTTCTTGACCAACGACCAGATGGCCACCTTCGGTGCTAAGCGTGGTTTTGACAACCCCGACGGCCATGCCTATATTCTGAACCGCTGGTTCCGATCTAAAGGATACACAGCTGTGGAAGCAGTGCCTGTCGCATTACGCCACAGGCTCCCTGACAGCACGGGACAGGCTGTTTGCGGGACGTTAATCTATAAATCGAACAACGACTCCCAGCGTATGGCGTATCTCAGGGACTGCAGGCCATTGGTGCCAGATGACGGCGACAAGGAAATTGGAGCGTGGCTGCAGCGACATGGGATAAACGCCGTGTGGGAGACGGTTCCAGATCCATACGGGAAGTTCAAAGATGATTATACTTGGTCGTCGCAGCAGGAGCTCTTAGAGTGATAGCGTACATCAGCAGACAGTAGCATCAGAAAATTCGCGTCTGTCTGGTGCATTTGGTACGGTACGCCAGGAATTCTATGTAGCATCAGGAAAATCCCATTTTTACTTTGGCTCGCTTTGTTCCCTTTTTGGACTTATCCAAGGAAACAAGCCCGATAAGTACTGAGATCAGCTTATTTGACTTGTACAAGCTCCAAAAGCAGCAATCAAGCCGGAAGTGGTAAAAAGTGGCAAAGCAAATTGGGATTTTCCTGATGTCATAGTTGACCCTAATTTACATTTTCCCCCAACTGTCAAATTTAACCCATTCACCGCACGCTGACCGTCAAATTTATACACTTCGTTCTGAAATACATACTGTGCTATTATGACCAATCCGGCCAGTCACGCGTCTGAACGGGGTTGGCCTGGCCGGAATCCTAGACATGTCTTATGTCACGGGTGCAGTGGCCGGATTGGGTACTCAGACCGTGACTTTGCCGGCTGGCCGGTCACCCCGTCAGTTTTCCCTCCCCAGCGGCTGGCTTGGTCGGCTGGCCACAATGTGTCCACCGTCCACTGTCATGACTGTTCTGGCCAGGTGGCCTGATCGTTATAAGGCTGTCCATTGTCACACCCCTGGCCGGATTGGTTGTAATGGCACAGTATACTGTTGACCTCTCACATGAACTGTTAATTCTGGGCATTTTACCTATGTGATGCCTCAACCATCAATTTTCAGCGCCTCACGTGCTCTACACATCAACGGTAAATATCTCGCACCTTGTTCTGTGACGTGTCAAATGTCAAATCTGTGCACTTCATCATGGTGCGCTGACTGTCAATTTTGACCATTCCCTGACACAGTAACTGTCAAACCTGGATTTGTCCTGTCCGCCTCGCTGACTGTATCCTTTTGACACTCGGGGACCACTTGTCTGTGAAGTGCAGGGTGAGCAGTCTTGCACTTGCTGGTTTGCTCCTCCATGCTGCACATCAGGCAGCCTCCCACCAAGCTCATGCCCCACACAACATGCACAACCTCTTCAAGAGAGAAGGTGACTAGCATGAGCCCTAGAAAGTGCAGAGTCAATAGGGTGGAGGCCTTGTTAACTGAATCCATGGCACCTGCTCAACCAATGACATCTGAATTGCTCCAGCATAGCGACCTCACCACAGAGCAGTGGTACAAGTCCAAGAACACTCGAAAGGTCTACGTGAACTATGTTAAAAGTGGGAAGGCATGGCTGGTGCAGTGGGTCAACGAGGGGCAGAAGGAAGTGGACAGCAGGCCCTCGAGCACCGAAGGTGAGCAGAGTGGTGAATGCAGCATCCCGGAGGAACATTCTATGTTTGCGGGAGCTTTTGACAAGATCAGTGAGCACATGCTGATGGTGCTGTGCCTGCTAATGGCATACAAATGTGACCACGAAAAACATGGATATGCGACCACCGAAGGATTGCATTCAACATTCAAGGAGTACTTTAAGCTGTGTGTCCTCATTTCAATTTCTATCCAAAATATTCACCTTCTCCATGAAAGGATACACAACTGCCAAGGTGACTACTGGCGGTACAATGCCCACACCAACAAATGAGAAGACATCCCGGTATTCCAGATGGAGCTCAAAGCTTACTATGACTCCCTGCACAAATGTGATGGAAAGATGGGAACATCAGCATAAGCCCTATATCAGCAAAACCCAGCTTTTACTTAAGAGCACACTTAACTGACTTAGATGCACTTATAGTCCTTATTTAAGGATATAAGGACAAAAAGGGGCCTAATGCATATTATATGAGTGTCTGAAATTGGACTTATTGACACTTATTTGATCACTTATTACCTTAAATAAGAGTTGTCAGACCAAAAAGTCTAAATAGCTCCTGAAGAAAAAGTTAAGTTTTGCTGATGTACCCATGTTGCCGATGGACCTCAAGGTATTGATGGATCGGTCAGATCGACTTGATGCTGCACATGAGCTCAAGTCCAAGACAAAGCAGTTGTGTATGAAGGCCTTCATGATGACAGCCTTCTGCTTGTGGACACGGTGCGTGTAGTGCTTATTTGGTATAACCAACTGCTGACCATGTTTATCGGCAATAGGAATGATGAGTTAATTAATTTACACAGCTCTGACATCTCACCAGGACAAGTCTTGCACACACCTGTCCCTGGCATACTGATATATCAAGTATGAAGGTTAGAACCAAGGACTGATACATGGACAGTGGTGTCTACCATAAGCTCTGATACATTATTCTGCAGTCCTTACCAGCCATTCTTGCACTGGGCTCACTTTCTGTACTCTATACTCATTGGCTTCCTCCTGGATCTCCTTTGTAGGTAGCTGATCGCACTGGCTTTGCCCGTCATTCCGGCAGATTTGGATTGTCTTGGATTTTGTAGATCTCCATGATTCCCTTTGAGTGCACGAAAATCCTGCTTCCTGTGCTGCCCTGTGCTGTCCTTTACATCTTTCTAATTGTTTTCCTTATAGAGAATGTTACTTTGATATGAAAATTGATAATTATTAAAAAAATACTCTCCTCACAACATTGATATACAAGCGCAACAATCTGTCTACAAAGGATGAAACAAAAGACATATATCCAGCCACACAATGTCGTGTGTTACTTGGGGCAGGAACAATCACTTGTTAGCTATAAATACTAAACAACTAAATAAAACTAGTTGTAGAGAGGAGTGTGCTGATGTATTGGTGCTCCAAATTATACTGGGTGTAGCGGTAGTTGTCGTTCCTCGGCCAGAGGCTCAGTTGAGTTCATTCAAGAATAACTGTACTACAACTAATATTCTACCTTACAGTGTACTTGCTTATGCTAGTTTTCTTATACTAGCTTCAATTGCTTGTTCAGATTATAGTCGAATCTATTCTTCAAGAGGTTGTTAGTAAAACCTGATAGTATTTCTCTTACCTTGTCTGAATATTAAATCTTGCTCTAGTTTCCTTGTCACTAAAGGATTGCTCAAGTTACTTCACACAAAAGTGTACAGTCAAATTCTAGGCTTTGCCTGAATCTATTACTATGTAACTAAGTCTTAGTAAGACTATTACAAGCTTGACTATGCTGCAGTGTAAGCTGAAGTGGAGTTTTGGGGTGTGTGGTCAGTTAGTGTGTTTTATGAGGTGTTGAATTTCTGGATTGTCTGAATGACTGACTTGGTTCCTTAGGGGTGAGAGGTGAAAACTCCAGCTTATATACTGCTGCTACATTGATCACTAAGCATGATTATACGTATTACTAATCAAATCTTATGTATTACTAAGCTAATTCTCAATATTACTAAGCTAACTTTCAATATTACTAAGCTAAATCTGAATATTACTAAGCCAATAGCTCAGAATCTTCCAGAATGTTACAGAATCTTCTGGCAGTATGGTGACTAAGCAATATCTGAGTTACTAAGCAAAATTGCATAAGAACTCTGAATACTATAAATATGGCTGTTCTTCTGCTAGTGAATTTATGCTGTCAGTGCTCTGACTTGTGCATAATTTCTGTAGGCATCATTGTCATAGTAACTAAGGTTGTTACTGTCGCTGAGTGTACATCTGTTGTTATGGGAACATGATCTTGAGGTGAGTACATTTATATACACAAGTAAGGCTGAAATTGCACAGAAAGTGCCTGTCCATGTATCAATCACTTTTGGTGCATGACAATGAAAGAAACATGCAGGTATACACAGTGCAGTGTGACATTAGCCTACTGATGACATAGGCACGGGAACAGAAGGCATCTCAGTGGAACATGTCAACACAGCAGCAGGTCCAAGCACAGCTGCAAAATCAATTGCAGGAGAATATTGTAAAAGGGCAGCCTTGCTGGAATTAACACCAGTGCTAACATTGCCTCCTGCTTTCAGTCAGGCAGGCACACTGCACCATATATACTGGCAGTAGTTCTGCATTGACTCCCGGATTTCCGCCTGACGGAATGCATATGCATTGGCACCTTTCAGATGTTTTGGCGGTTGTGCAGGGATCACATTGACTCGGTCCAGCCACCACCACACCATCCAACCATGAAAGGTGATAACCCTGCATATCTCCTCTGGCAGCTGATGATGCTCTTCAATCCAGTGATGGGCTCGAGCATGAACCTCACACCACTTGATTCAGAGCTCTAAGGAATTCCATTAGCATTTTGGTTTTGTCAAGTACTAGTAAGTGAAATCTGACAAACCTTCACTGATAATCGAGTCCATCGCACTGCTGTTCCCCACGCCATGTCTCCATCAAATCCATTAGAAAAAACATCAGGAAAATTCAACTTTCTCTTATGGACTTATTTAGACTTTCAGGTCCGACAACCCTTATTTAAGGCCATAAGCATTCAAAGAAGTCAAATTTCAGACACTTAGAGAATATGCCTTAGGCCCTTGTTGTCCTTATGTCCTTAAATCAGGACCATAAGTCTATTTAAGTTATTTAAGTGTCCTTTTAAGGAAAAGTGGGGTTTTCCTGATGTAGGTGTGGCAAAAACACGAGTTGAAGGACGAAGGACTGGCAGAGGATGCAAGCAAGAGTCTGGATATCTGGTGAGACCTGAGGCCAACATATATAATAAAATGAGTGCATGGTCTCCCAAGACTCAGATCTCAGAATTTGTGAAGTCCAACAGCATGTGATAAGGATAGTTTGACCAAACAAGAGCAAGCACAGATTTGTCTTATTCTCCACATCTTCTCTTCCACTTATCTTCCAAGTTCCACATCTTCAAATATGTTCTGGTGTGCCAAGTAGGTTGACTAACTGCATATATCTTTGATATGTGCTTCCTCTGTCTCACCTCATAGATGTGCCACACAGATGAGTGTTGTAAAGCTGATTTTTCATGTGGGCTTTGCATTGCTAAGGGCCTGTTCGGTAGACGAGTGATATCGATAATTCACTCGAGTCCGCGATTCTCGGAATCGCTCTGGCAACAGCGGCTCTGTGATCTGGTGTGATCCAGTGGTACAAGCAGTCCATCCTCCATCCAGCGTGTGCAGC